CTCAAGGACATATGATTAGGGTATAGGCTATGTGGTTAGTGTATAATGTATTGATGGTTTAGGGTATACAATCAACAACATATACTAACTTAATATTGTTGATTGAGGGTAAAGCTAAGTGTATAGGATATTTGCTATTGAGTAAGTTATGATTGAAGTCACAATAATTTTACTAAATTTGATACATAATCTTTAATGGTTCAATTTTTAGGATAATTCGAACAATTTTACAAATAACTCGTTTAGCAACAGTTTACTAAAGTTATTTGGTAAATGAGTTATTTTGAAATAACTCCTTTTATCACTATGCTTTTGCCAAATACCACACGCCAAATACCAGATTTGCATGGTTATACTAAACGAGATACTTTAATCCAATTACTACTGAATTAATACTAAAATATCAAATAAATAATTAATGGTGTCTTTTGGTTGCAAATATTGATATCACCATTACTATTAGCTATAATACTTTACCAATTATGATTAATTACATAACAAGTTTGCAAGTCATACAAATTGATTTAACATTTTGACTAGTTTTTTTTTCAAAAAAATAAAGTATATATAATTATATATACGAGGTAGAAATAAATTGGTTCAAAAGTTGAGAAAATATTTTAAATTAGTGTAATAAAATGTGTAAGTTGGTAATGAGTAATGAGTTAAGTTACGTGATGCGCTGGCCCGAACAACCCGAAACCCGACCCGCCCACAACCCGCCCGACCCAAAACCCGATGAACCCGCAACCCGATTTGCCCGCAACCCGATTGAATCCGAACCCGATGAACCCGCAACCCGACTAACCCGCAACCCGTTTGAACCCGAACCCGATGAACCCGCAACCCGACTAACCCGCAACTCGTTTGAGCCCGACCCCGATTAAACCCAACCCGAACCCGCCCGATTGACACCTATAGTATGAGTATCAACTTTCAACCTGCCCTGCCCCGCCCCGTTCTTGGCCTGTTCTAGGTCAGTTTCTTACGCCATTCATTCATGTATCTTCGATTTTGGCTTTTCTACAAATATTTAGACTTGATCTTTCAACTAAATAGACTTACTTACCCATTATATTATCACAATTATTCATTAATGAAGTCTTTTCGCCTTTGTTTTATTGTAAAAAATAAAATTTTGCTTGTCTTTTTTTCAAATAGCATATAAGAGTGAGTTGATCCGTCCCGCCTCATACCCACGTGAGTATTATCCGCCCCGCCCCGTACCCTCGTGGGACGGGGAATGGGTATTGAGGTACCCGACCCGCCCCGACCCATTGCCATCACTAGCTCTCTGATTTCTATTTTTGTCAGAAAAACCAAATCATAACCGGATTGATCCAATTCGGTATAACAAGATTAGACCGCATCCCACCTCTTCCGACTATAGGTCTCAAAGCATAGCCCGACCCGATTAACCCGCCCGATCAACCCGACCTGCAACCCGACCGCAACCCGAATTGACTCAAAGTCAACAACCCGTAACCCGCCCGACCCGCAATCCAACTAACCCGCAACCCGACTAACCCGTAACCCGATTAACCCGAACCCGATTGATCCGCAACCCGACTGACCAGCAACCCGATTAACCCGAACCCAATTGACCCAAACCCGACTAACCCGTAACCCGACCGACTCAACCCGAATTTCATCTAATCCACTTGAATAATTATAAAAATATACAATACATAGTTTTTCAAAATAAAGTTTTTCATCCTAAACTTAAGTAAAATTATTTTTTCATTTCGTATAAGAAATTTTAAAAATACGAAACTCACTTGATATTACGTATTTTAAGAAAATTACAAAAATTGAAACATGAAGGTCACTTGAGATTATGACAATATTAACATAATATATAAATTAAAATTTTGGTTAATTTAACTATTCAATAAAATTATCAATTGAATATAAATAAAGTAAAGTAATGTATTTGGTAATTTGATGATTTTAAAAGAAGCGGGAAATTTTGGTGTATTCAAGTTTTTGGGAAGAGAAAGAAGAGGGAAATTTGGTTCTTTGAATTTTTTAGAAAAGAAACAAATGGGAATTTTGGTGGTTTTGATATGTGGGAAGAGAAAAAAGTGGGAAAGTTTGATTCTTTTGATTATGAAAGCGAAATAAGGAGGGAAACTTTTGACTTTTCAACTTTTTGTAGAAGGAAAGAAGAGGGTAATTTGGTTCTTTCAATTTTATAGAATAGAAAGAGGAGGGAAAATTGAGTTTTTCTAATGTATGGAAGGAGAAAGAAGGAGGGAAATTTTAGTATTTTTGTGAAAAGAAAGAAGGAGACAAATTTGGTGTTTTCAATTTTTTGGTTTTTCATAATTTTAGCTTTCGAAATATGAATCTTTAACTTTTATATGGAGAGCATGACTAGTTAAAATTATTCTTATATGCTTTGAAGGCTAATATGTATATATGTATGTAATTTTTTATGGGCTAATAAATAAATTAACCATTAGTTACAACAATTTATACTAAACTTGATAAGTAATCTTTGACGGTTCGTTGTTTAGGATATAAAGTATATGGTTAGGGTATAAGGTATAAGGTACATATGGTTTAGGGTGTATATGGTTAGGATATAAGATATTGATGGTTTTGACGGTTCTAAATTTTTTATTAACATATGTTCACTTGAAGTCATTTGAAGTCTTTAACGGCAGGAGATCCCTTTTTAATTTATGTTTATGCTACGTGGTTAGGGTACAAGGTATGTGGTGTAAAGTATAGGATATATGGTTAGGGTATAACAATTAACAAATATCACTTTTTATCTATGTTTTGAAAATCAAAGTATGAGTTTCACTTTTAAATTAACTATACTAACAAAATCACAACTCAAGGACATATGGTTAGGGTATAGGTTATGTGGTTAGTGTATAATGTATTGATGGTTTAGGGTATACAATCAACAACATATACTAACTTAATGGCTTAATTGCAAGTTTGGTCACTCGAATTGCTATAAAATTTCACGTTTGCCACTCAAAATGATTTATTCCATTTATAGTCACTCGAATTAGCTGAACAGTTCAAGTTCGGTCACTCTCCATTAACCTCCGTTAACTTTAACTGACGTGGCGGTCAACTCTGACAGTTGACCGTTAAATGTGTGACGTGGCAAATAAAAATTAATTAAAAAATAAAAATTAAATTTATAGAAATTACACTTCATTATCACAAAAAATTATTATTATAAAAAATAAAAAAAGAAATTCCTTCCACGTAATTATCACAAAAACAAACAACACAAACTCCCAGAATGAGCGGAGGGGAAGAAGATAATCGCCGTCGTCGGCGCCGAAATGAGCTGCTTGCTCGCCTGCAAGCACCTAACGGAAATGGGGCTCGACCCGACCGTGTTCGAGTTCTAGAATTCCGTCGGCGGGGTCTGGTCGCAGACCATCGAATCCACAAAGCTCCAAACCCCTAAATCTCTTTACCAGTTCTCCGACTTCGAGTGGCCAGATTCCGTGGGTGCGCCCTTGCCGTGGGTCTTGGAGACGCTGGCGATCACGTCGATGCAGACTCCGACCACCAGGATGATGGAGACTCCTATTCCGATTGCTTTCTTGTTCACCGCAATTATTGTGTGATCTCTTATTCTAGTGGCGGATTTTGTTTATGGTATTGTAATGGCGGTGGGGATTATTATTATATTATTATTGTTATTATTGAGGTGTTTATTGGAAATGTGTATGAAGTGTGTTTACGTATTGGTTGTTGATGGAGGATTAAGGGAGGAGGAGAGGGGTATTTATATGTATACGTAAACTAGTGAGGAAGATGATAGTGACGTGTTGTTTGTTTTTGTGATAATTACGTGGAAGGAATTTCTTTTTTCCATTTTTTATAATTATAATTTTTTTGTGATAATGATGTGTAATTTAAAAAAATTTAATTTTAATTATTTTTATTTGCCACGTCACACATTTAACGGTCAAATGTCAGAGTTGACCGCCACGTCAGCCAAAGTTAACGGAGGTTAACGGAGAGTGACCAAACTTGAACTGTTCAACTAATTCGAGTGATGATAAATGGAATAAATCATTTTGAGTGGCAAACGTGAAATTTTATAGCAATTCGAGTGACCAAGCTTGCAATTAAACCCTAACTTAATATTGTTGATTGAGGGTAAAGCTAAGTGTATATGATATATGCTATTGAGTAAGTTATGATTGAAGTCACAATAATTTTACTAAATTTGATAGCTAATCTTTAATGGTTCAATTTTTAGAATAATTCGAACAATTTTACAAATAACTCGTTTGGCAACAGTTTACTGAAGTTATTTGGGCAATGAGTTATTTTGAAATAACTCCTTTTATTACTATGCTTTTGCCAAATACCACACGCTAAATACCATATTTGCATGGTTATACTAAATGAGATACTTTAATCCAATTACTACTGAATTAATACTAAAATATCAAATAAACAATTAACGGTGTCTTTTGGTTGCAAATATTGATATCACCATTACTATTAGCTATAATACTTTACCAATTATGATTAATTACATAACAAGTTTGCAAGTCATACGAATTGATTTAACATTTTGACTAGTTTTTTTCAAAAAAATAAAGTATATATAATTATATATACGAGGTAGAAATAAATTGGTTAAAAAGTTGAGAAAATATTTTAAATTAGTGTAATAAAATGTGTAAGTTGGTAATGAGTAATGAGTTAAGTTACTTGATGCGCTGGCCCGAACAACCCGAAACCCGTCCCACCCGCAACCCGCCTGATCCAAAATCCGATGAACCCGCAACCCGATTTGCCCGCAACCCGATTGAATCCGAACCCGATGAACCCGCAACCCGTTTGAACCCAAACCCGATTGAACCCAGTCCGAACCCGCCCGATTGACAACTATACTTCCGACACCGGTTCTCGGAACCAGACCGAACGGTTCGGTTCTAATTACAAGGAAGGACGGCCGATGCATTCCTATCCGGGAATAAATACGATGATGCGCTAAATTGTTTTTCCCGAGGTTCTGGTCAGTGTCATGTTATGCACAGTGTGAACTCTGTATAGCACGTTTCCAGCCGTATCGCCTCAATTTTGGTATTTTGCTCTTTTATGATGTCACAAAATCAAATTCAACTTCATTTTTTGTTCCCCTTTATAAACAGGTAGATCACAGGACGATGAAAAGAATACAGACCAATCATGGCGGGAAGTTTATCCCCGAACAACGTCCCTGGTCATCATTACTCAAAACAGCACGATGAAGATCCTCACAACGGTCTTAAACATGGTAAGTGAAATTGTTGCAACTTGTTTTCAGTCTCATCTGAAAAACCAACGTTTTCGTATTTTGAATACTCCGGGGGTTTTTTTTTTGTTGCTGCAGGGGAGGAAGTGAACGACAGTCCAATCGAGCAAGTCCGGCTGACGGTTCCGATCACCGATGACCCAACCTTGCCGGCGCTGACGTTCCGCACATGGGTCCTGGGGATTAGTTCCTGCGTGTTCTTGGCTTTCCTCAACCAGTTTTTCGGCTACCGTTCCAATGCTCTGTCCATCACCTCTGTTTCGGCTCAGATTCTGGTCCTGCCGCTGGGGAAGCTGATGGCTGCCTCGCTTCCAGAAACCAGGATCAAACTGCCCTTCACGCGCTGGTCGTTTTCGCTGAATCCAGGACCCTTCAATTTGAAAGAGCACGTGCTGATCACCATTTTCGCCAACTGTGGAGCCGGTGGGATTCTGGCGCTCGGTATTGTTACTGCCGTCAAGGCGTTTTACCACAGAAAGATTCATATCATGGCCGCTTTGCTCCTCGTCCAGACCACTCAGGTTTCTCCATTTTCCCCTTCTTCTGCTGCTTAACTGTTTTACAGGTGACTTGTTTTCTGTTAGGAAATTAACGGTACATTCTGTTTCTGAAAATATTTAGTTACTTGGGTATGGATGGGCTGGAATGTTCAGAAAATTCCTGGTGGATTCACCTCACATGTGGTGGCCTTCAAACCTCGTCCAAGTCTCTCTTTTCAGGTATACACCTTCTTGAACAAATTACCATGGTGGAGATGATGAAAATTGGGGTTGCTGGTATTAATGTGGAAAAAATCAAATTACAGGGCGCTACATGACAAGGAGAAGAGATCATCAGGAGGGCAAACCAGGCTGCAGTTCTTCACCCTCGTGTTCGTGTCGAGCTTCGCTTACTACATAGTTCCAAGCTACTTATTCCCTTCGATCTCGACGCTTTCATTCATGTGCTGGATATGGAAGAACTCCATCACTCCTCAGCAGATCGGGTCGGGGCTGAACGGGCTCGGGATTGGCTCGTTCGGTCTCGATTGGTCGACTGTGGCTGGGTTCCTGGGGAGTCCTCTGGCTACTCCACTGTTTGCCATCCTCAATACAATGGCGGGGTTCTTCCTGTTCGTTTATGTCATCCTTCCAATTGCATACTGGAACAACGCATTCAGCTCCAGGAGGTTCCCCATGATTTCTCAGCAGACGTTTGACAGTTCTGGACAATTGTACAACATTACCAGGATTATCAACGAGAGGGAGTTCGACATCAACCTCGGCGAATACGAAAGTTACAGCAAGCTCTATCTCAGCGTCACTTTTGCTTTTGTGTATGGGTTCAGTTTTGCATCTCTGGTCTCGTCGATTACACATGTTGCGCTCTTTGATGGGAAGTAAGTTCATCTTCCCCAAATTTCCAAACTCCAAAAGAAGAAGGAACTGTTTCATTTTTTGCTGAAAAAATTCCTCTGGTAACTATAGATCAATTTGGGACCTGTGGAAGAAGACTTCAGCAGGAAGCAAAGAGCAAGACACAGATGTTCACACAAGACTGATGAAGAAGAACTACGAATCTGTTCCGCAATGGTGGTTTCTAGCAATTGCAGCAGTGTCCTTTGCACTTTCTCTGTTTACCATTGAAGGGTTTGGTGGACAGCTGCAGCTTCCATGGTGGGCGCTCCTTTTGGCTTGTGGGATCTCCCTCATCTTCACCTTGCCTATTGGGATAATTCAGGCCACAACAAATCAGGTCAGTCTTTTCACCTAACGTATCGATATGACAATCATTAGAACAAACTGATTCTTAACATTTCGAAAACTCATCGAGCATGGACGGTATTCGCATTGCAGCAAATGGGCATAAATGTGATCACAGAGTTGATCATAGGGTATATGTACCCTGGAAAGCCTCTGGCTAACGTGGCATTCAAGGCATATGGCTACATTAGCATGTCACAAGCTCTGAGTTTCTTAGCAGACTTCAAATTAGGGCACTACATGAAAATTCCTCCGAAATCCATGTTCCTGGTCCAGGTAACTAAAGCAGATTCATTCCATTCCATTCCATCCCATTTACATCTGACATTAAGCTAAACAAACAAATCATTGATTTTCACAGACAGTAGGGACGATTGTCGCTTCAACAGTCCGTTTCGCGACAACATGGTGGCTTCTGTCAAGCGTCCAGAACATCTGCGACACGACGAAGCTCCCCAAGGGCAGTCCATGGACGTGTCCAGGAGACAGCATCTTCTACAACGCTTCGATCATCTGGGGAGTGATCGGTCCTCTCAGGATCTTCAACGTCAAGGGGAACTACGCCAAGATGAACTGGTTCTTCATGATCGGCATCCTGGCCCCGATCCCAGTGTGGCTCCTGTCGCGCAAATACCCCGAAAAGAAGTGGCTCCGACTGATCCACATGCCCATCTTCATATCGGGCATGGGCGGTCTGCTGCCCGCGAAGCCAGTTCACTACCTGTCGTGGGGAGCGGTCGGGATTTTCTTCAACTACTACGTTTACAAGAAGTACAAGGGGTGGTGGGCTAGACATACATACATTCTCTCTGCTGCAATGGATGCTGGTGTTGCTTTCATGGCTGTAATGGTGTACTTCACTCTGCAGAGCAAGAACATCTATGGCCCGCAGTGGTGGGGTTTGGAAGCCGATGATCACTGTCCTCTGGCGAAATGCCCTACAGTTCCTGGGATTGTTGTGCCTGGATGCCCTGCAGTTTATTGATATCACTGGATTGGAAGATGAAGTGCATTGGCTGTAGTGATCCACATGTTGTGTAATGTGATTCTTTATTGGAAATGGGAAGTTGGATTCTGTATATGGTCGACCAAATGGTTATATCATTCAAGAACAAGTTGCTCTTAGGGGTGTCAGTTCGGGTAGGGTGCGGTTACTCAAACCGAACTCGAAAATTTGACCCGTAATTACTGAAAATCGAATTCGATAAGGAATTTTGATTTTTCGGTTACCCGAAACTCAAAAATTTCTTATCGGGTTTCGATTCAGTTAAAGCAAAATCGTAACCCGAAAAACCCGAACGCCTAAGAATACGGGCTGAATGCTATTCCTTGAAGGTTTTTAGCTGAACCCCGAAAAAACTGATAAGCAAAACCAAACCGAAAACCCGAAACAAATCCGAACCCCAAACACTAACAATTATTATTATTATTAGAATTATTAAGGCCTAAGTTATTTTTACTGTTGCATAAGTTAAATGAGTACCGTATCGCCAGTTCGACCAAAAAAACCTCCTACCGGATGCGAAATCTGTAGGCAGTATTTAACGGTATGAAACGTTTCAACCACGATTTTAATAAAAAATATCATACCGCTGACTTTTCCCGTCCGATACGATATTTCAATCATTGGTTCTTGTTTGAACCTAATTGAGTGTAGGAGTGAGGTTCGGGAAAACGGGCCGAGAAGAGTAAGCAATGAGAATCTGCTGTGGATTGAAGAACAAAGGAAAGGGAGAATGAGACCGAGAGAGCTGTATCTTAGAGAGAGAAGTTGGTCGTTTTTAGAGATAGAGCCTGAAAAATCCGATCCCCTCACCCACCAGAGTAAATGCCATATTTATAGGCTACATGGTGGTGGGTGAGTTACATGGTGACATGACTACTGACATGTCAGAGGTTTAGACTACACCTCTACCTAGGACAAGGACATTTAGTCCATCATTATACCTAGGACTATGATGGTGACCACTCTTCGGGGAGCGCGGCGTCGTTTTCATGGTTTGTTGGTCTAGTCAACGCTAGACTCAAACGTCGTCGTTCGGTGTTCGGGCCGCAGCTTTGGTCGCGTCGGTGCTAACGCGCCTGATAGGGGTGGGCATCGGTACGGTTCGAACCGCACCGCACCGTATAGTTATAAACCGCACCACGCCGCATATTAATTGGACCGCACCGTATGGTGGACCGCAATGTAATCGGTGCGATTAAACCTAACCGCATAGATTAGCGGTTTGGTGCGGTTTAGACCGCAACCGCAAGTTGGACCGCAAAGTGCTCCCACCAATTACGAAGTTGGAAAAAGAATAAAAAAGAGCAGTGGAGTTGGAAAGAACAAAGAAGAGGCATGACACTGAGAACCAGTAGTGAAAGCCTTGTATCAGCAGCAATGAAAACATGCCACGGTAAATTAAACTTTCAATTAGTATATCACAATCCCAATACAGAGCATGGAACTTTGAACGAGGACACTCAAATATAATCAATCCGCGGTGACGTTGGACGGAGAAGTAGAGCAGGCAATTGCAAATAACGACAATGAGCGGCGCGCCGCTCCTGAATCCACCGGCGGCGGGGCAGCAACCAATGGCACAACAAGGAATTGGCGGCGGCGTCACTCCTCGTCAGCTTGGCCGTGCGGCGACTAATCCTTCCGTCACTCCACCACGCGTAGGGCCACCTTCCCCGCCGTCTGATTTTACCAACGAAAGCACTGACGGTGGCAACGACTCGCCGGCCGGTAGCAGAGATATAAATGGAAAAGAACGACAACGCTATGTGGTGAGAACTGAGGGGCGTTGCTGAGTATTGGTGGGTGATCTTAGGAATTTAGCGGTTTGCGGTTTTGAACTGCAACCGCGCGGTTTCGGTAAACTCGCACCGCAAAACCGAGAACCGCTTAAGAATTAGACTGCAAATGAAACCGCAATCTTAATGATGTGGTTTGGACTGACCGCATAAGCGATTTGGAGCGGATCGAGCGGTTTGGACCGCACCAATGCCCACCCCTAGCGCCTGACTCTTATGGGGGCGACGCCGGGGTGCTTCCTTGGCGCGGCGAGATCCGAGTCATATACCCAATAGTTCTAATCACACTTTACTAAAGGTTCTATAAGGTCAATTAATTTTATTACTAGACCACAAATAATGAAAATTTTACATAACATCATTCTATAACATTTATATAAATTAAAAATACATAAGGTAAATTTAATGAATGGGTAGTATTCAATTTGTCTAGTACTTCTTCTTTTAGTAATTTTATGAATGGGTAGTATTCAATTTGTCTAGCATTTCTTCTTTTAGTTTCAATTGAAAAAAAAAACAATGTGTTTGTTTTAACATAAGGTTCTAACTTCTAAGGATTAAAAATCGTATCGTACTGATAGTTCGACCCGAAAACCTCTTACCGGAAGCGAAACAGGTAGGCGGTATATAGTGGTATAAAACGATTGAACCACGGTTCTAGCATAAAATATCATACCACTCACTTTTCCAGTACAACCTCTGGTACGGTATTTCAAACATTGGTTCTAAACACACGTTACTAAATGTTCTATAAGTCAAGTTAATTTTTACATAACATTTTAATGGGATACTTTCAATAACTTGATTTTATTACTAGACCACAAATTATAAAGATTAACATAACATCATTCTATAACACTTACATAAATTAACAATACATAACGCAAATTTTATGAAGGGATAGTATTAAATTTGTTTGGCACTTCTTCTTTTAGTTTCCGTTGAGAAAAAATCTATATGTTTTTGTTTTTACATAAGGTTCTGACCAAGCATTGAAAACCGTATCGATAGTTCGACCAGTAAAACCTCCTACCAGAAGCGAAACTGGTAGGCGGTATTTAGCGGTATGAAACCGTTGGACCACAGATTTAGCATAAAATATCATACCGCTCGCTTTTCTAGTAGGACCTCCGATACGGTATTTCAATCATTGGTTCTAATCACGCTTTACTAAAGGTTCTATAAGGTCAATTAATTTTTACAGAACAATTTAATTTGATATTTTCAATAACTTAATTTTATTACTAGACCACAAATTGTGAAAGATTTACATGACATAAATTAAAAATACATAACGTAATTTTATGAAGGGGTAGTTTTAAATTTGCTTCCCCTTTTTGTAGAGGGTACTATTCACTATATTGTGTTTATACTCTAAAATCAAATTTACTACAAGCTCTTTTCCCTTATAGTCAGTTGTTTATGTAATTTTTTTCTTTTCATCTCTTACACCCAATTTCACGATAATGTTTTTCTTTTTTACCTTTAGAAAGCTATCTTGGTACTTTTTCATTCTTCACCAAAAATTTTTGTAATCTACACCTAATTTTATCCTAAGTTTTTTTTCCACCGTCGTCTAATTATGTAAATTTTTCATTTCCACATAAGCTTTACATAGTATCTCGATACTTTTTCACTGGTGTAATGTAAATCATTCATAAATGTATAACAATTATTTTAATTAAATGTGTATCCACTACACAAAAGTATTGCATAAACTTTATATAATGATTACGATAGCAGATAGAGTTATATTTATTTCTTAAATATCAATTAAACAAATGAATAATGTAAGATCTTTCATAATGATTAAGAGAATAAGTAAAACTTATACAAGTATTTTACGATTTTGTGAATTTGATTTCAACCGAAACATTAAATGAGTGAATTAAATTTTAAATATAATTAATTTCTTACCGTCGTAAAGCGCGGGCCAAAAACCTAGTGTATATACTTAGATCTGTTTTGGTTAAAGCCTATAAACCGAACCCGAACGGACACCCCTTATTGATCCCAGTAACTTTGGGAAAGATTCTAATTGTAGACTAGCTTTTTACCCGGCCCGTTGGCCGGAGAGATTTATTTTATAATTTAAATTAATTAACTTATTTATATGTTTAAATCATTTTGGATCTTCTAAATATTTTGAGCTCTTGATTCATAAAAGAGTTTGTAGTATGTCTATATTGAAAATTTCCAATATTTAGCACACTCACTTCTGATGCTTCGGTTTTCTAATAATAAATTATGCCGTTGTCACGTCCCACTTATAACTTATGTCAAAATTTGTCAACCAAAACACTAACATTTAGCGTACGCCAACCTGAACCACACACACACTACCATACGACCATTGAGTTTTACTATTTAGACTCCGGATTTTTTTGGGGCATGATACTATACCCTAACCTCTAACAGGTGAACTCTAATCCCTAATTCTCTAACCTCTAATTTATGCAAATACTTTGTGATACCTATCTTCTATCGTATCTTGAGAAAAATGAAAAGATAGTATACCTTGATATTATATATATGGTGACTACTTCGGTGCACTCACTTTTTTGGATGCACTTAGTGCACCCAAGCGTTCATAAGACATCAAATTTTGAACTTTAAGTAGTACTCTCAATATTATATGATGATTACCCTAACCCCTTAACCTTCAATTTTGAATCCCAACCCAAAATCCCAAATTGTAAACCTAAACCCTAACCCTAAATTCCTAAATCCTTCCAATTAAGTAAAATTTGAATGAATTTTTTTCAAATTCATGTGCTTCTTGTTCATAATATCATAAGCAACAATTGATACCGTTTTGACATGAATCTCATGGTCAGAATGACGATTATGAGGCGGGTGCATTGAGTGCACCCGAAAAAGTGGGTGCACCGAATACGCCACCACATATATATATATATATATGTGTGTGTGTGTGTGTGTGTGTGTGTGTGTGTGTGTAGTAGACTCAAAATTATCCAGATACTTCGCCAGACCTATCTTATCTCGCCTAATACTCATATTAAAAGTGCTACTCGCCTATCCCCCACCCTAGGGATAAAGATCCCGCTTTTACCCCATAATGTCAGACAACCATTGAGGTTGTCTATCGTTTGATGTGTAATATATAAAGAGGGAAATTCTAAGATAATGCTATTTATTTCTTATCCTCTCCCGCCGGCCCCCTTTATGGAGAATAAAAGGGTAGGGATGAAAGGATCATAGCTCGATATGGTTTTATTCTGTTAATCGTATCGGAGGTTATGTTTTTTTTTTAACTTCTTTTCATTCTTCTTTGACACCTATGGTTGTGATCAGAGGTATTTAGCCCCCGAAAGGGATTGAGATTTTAGGTCCTTTGGAAATCCAATACACATTGATGATCCTCAAGTTTGGACGAACTCTTGACCAATGTTGTAAAGATTAGGGCTTTTTAATGAGACATTCTTAGTAAAGATACTTCATTATTGGATCAATTTATTCATCCATATTGAAAATTGACACACACCGTAGCCCTCGTGATGATTAAATTCTATAATCTCGACTCATTTCCATTTTGGATGTTAGTTTTTTTTTCTATCAAGACACTTAAATTTAGTATATTATACAATATGTATCAATTGTTAATTTTTGAAGTTCAACCCGTGGTCATTGTTTATATGTTGTCTTAGAATCTCAATCTAAGACACTCCCACACACTATCGAGGATTTTGGTCTTAACATGGTCGTTGAATGTGTAGTTTTCAAAGATTTTATCACTTATATTAATATTTGATAAAGAGTGTCTACAATACACACATATTTCAACTGCATTTAAAATGTCTTATCATTTGAACAATATCGGTGGATTTCATTTGATTATTTGCATTAACTTATTATCTATACAACATATATCAATTCGTGTTTCTCGAGTTTGGACGAAATGGCAACCAATTTTGAGAGTTGAGATTATTGCATAAAGATACTTGATTGTTGGATAAATATGTTTATCCCAATTGACTATTTTACTAAAAATTGCCAACCTTTATTTGCTAAATGTCTAGGTTAGTAGTTGATGAAATGAGATGTTTATCGTAGATTCTCAACAAAGATTCTCTAACATTCCTTTATGTTTTTTTTTAAGGAATCTTGTGTCTCATCCTAGGGTATTAAGTCAAAGTTCGTCAACAATCATACTTAAGTCATTTTGAAATTTTTTATTTATAATCGTTGACGATAAGTCCAAGTCTGAAAGAAAATTTCTTAGCATACGACTTATGACCTCAATAGAGCTTGCTCAATCAACATGATATAGAACAAATATTATTAATGTGAACTTATGACACATTATAAAATTATTGCACATGTGAGTTCTCTTCATTTGAGGAGTTTAAGGTAGAACATGATGTGAGGAATAAGAAGTCTTTTTTAAATAAATAATTATAACTGCTCGATCAAGATTATACTCTGACATTTTGCTAAAAAATACTTATTTTATTTTATAGACATATAATTTACGAATAAGAGAGTGTTTCATTGCAACAAAATATAAAGTAATATAGTTTATTTTTCATAGGTAATTGAATGTGAAATGTTTATTTTCTCTCTTTTCATATAAATTTTTTTTAATCGAAAAAATTATTGTTTATGTGTATGTTTGTCTAATTTCCAAAAAAATGTAACTTATCATTCAATTTTAGTAAAAATGAGTAAAAAATTTTACTTCATAAGGTTTAATCAGATATTTTTTATTTAAACAAATGTGGTATATGTTACTTTCTGTTTTCTTATTTATATTTTTTTTACTCGACAAAAAAATTATTATTTATGTGTGTTTGGTTAAGTTTATCAACATGTAACCTACTATTAAAGCAAAAAAAAAAAAAGGTTAAAAGAAATGGAAATATTAAAGAAGAGAGAGGTAACTCCATAAATACATTAATAACTAATTTTTTTGTTTGTAAAAAAGTTATCCAACTTGGCAAATTGTGGATCCTCCAAGTGCTTATGTGATAAGAGATTTCTTTTGAATTGCCATAAATATAGTATAGATAGATAGATTTACTAACGGTTCTTACTTGCTTTTCTATTGATTCATCCCAATCGCAACCTGTTATACTTAACGCTTAGTAGAGTGATACTAACTTCACAAAACGCAGACAAAAAAACCATCTAATTATTCACATCATGCGTCAATCAAACCCCAAGTCTAACTTTGCTATTTTCCCCTGCAGCGTGCACCGGCGGCGGCGTCTTCCAGTGGGAACAAGATTCACGATCGTACAAGCACAGACACGGCCCGGTCTGTTTGATGAGCCATCGGCAGTATGTGCACCTCTCGAAATCCCTGTGCTCATCGTAGATGTCGAACCAGTGAACGCCGCCTCCCTCTCCCCCCCATTCCATGGAGCAGTTGAACCGTTCGTTCTCGAAGATGTTGTTTCGGAAAGACCAATTCAACTGTTGGTGTGGCATCAACATTCGGAGGCCGAGATCGTAGTCGTGGGACTGGCAGTGGACCTTCAGAGGCCGCTCTCCGTCGAGCTTGTTAACCACCACCACGGTCGTGTGCGGCCTGATTAAGTCCGACTTCGTATGGCACATGGTGGCTGGTGCCGACAAGAGAAAGAGCAACACCGCTAAGATGATGGCGTTGTTGTGCTTCATTGTTGGTGTTTTTTCTTCTTGAGGTGGGTTGAGATCCAATTTCGATTTGGGGGTTTTTGTAAGGGTTTAGAAGGTAATGTTGATGATGCCTTCTTCTTTTGTGTTGAATTGATGATGAGAATTCTTTTGTTACGTGTTTTTATAAGAAAAGATGAATGACTGTCTAGCTCGAAGATTATTTTATTTATTTAGAAACTTTCAAGTTTACGAGATATCATGCATGAAAATCGTAGGTTAGTCCGTGAGTTTTGTAAAGAATTTTGGATGATTTGACTTTTTTTGTTTTACAATTCTCAAATTTATGGTGGTTATCGATATCAGATGAATTTGTTTATATATTTTTCTAATATTATTCTCTATTCTTTTGGCCAATACAATGTCACTTTTTATTATAAGAAATTAGTTTTGTTAGGGGGAATAAAACGAACATAGTGATCAGAGTTGATCAACTAAGTCCAATGGGGGTATTCAATACCTCCCTTCTGCGCGGTTTAGAAAGGTCGTTGCTGGGCGGTCCATGGGGGTATTCAATACCTCCCTTCTGCGCTCCTCCGACAATTCCGACTTCAAGTAGGTGAGTGGCGTGTGCCAGATTTAGTAATTGCGGAAGGAAAACTGATTATTGCATCAAAACGGTGAGTTGTTCCATTACACTGTTCAGTCTTTATAGTGTTCACCAAATTACTACCTAGTACCTATACAAACTACTAATTACAATAACTACCCTGAAAACAACAAAAATTACATTTTGTTCTATATACTCTATCACCCCCCCCCCCTCAAGCTGGAGCATGTATATCGCACATGCCCAGCTTGCCTATCAATTCTACAAACCTATGTATCGACAGTGATTTGGTAAGAACATCGGCAAGTTGGCTGTCAGTGGAAATGTAGAACAACTTGATGAGGCGGGCTGCAATTTTCTCCCGGATGAGATGGCAGTCAATCTCGATGTGTTTTGTGCGTTCGTGCGCCACTGGATTCTCTGCAATTCTAATGGCAGAAGTATTATCACAGTATAAAGCAAAAGGATCAGCAAACTGAATATTGAGATCATTGAACAAGTAACACAACCATTGTAATTCACAAGACAAATCAGCCATTGCTCGATATTCTGCTTCTGCAGAAGATCGGCTAATTGTAGTTTGTTTCTTGGAACGCCAACTAATTAGGGATTTACCAAGAAAACACAAAAACCAGTAGTTGACCTGCGAGTGTCAGGACAACCAGCCAGTTTGAGTCTGAGAAGGCAGACAAACTGATAGCTGAATCGGATGGGAAAAACAGACCTTTCCCACTATTTGCAGCAGTCATGTGTAAATCAGTGGGATTGGCTACAAATTGAGTGAGATGATGCACAACATATTGGATGTCAGGTCGTGTGGTACATAAGTATAATAACCTACCAATTAACCTTCTATAAGGAGAGGGATCAGAAAGTGGTTCACCAGAGGTAGTAGAATATCGGACATTGGGTTCAGAAGGTGATTCTGCAACCTTCCTAGCAAGCAATCCAACATCTGCAATAATATCTAAAGCAAACTTTCTTTGACACAAAGTTAGTCCTTTAGAATTTCTAGCAATTTCTAATCCAAGGAAATAACGTAGAGGTCCTAGGTCTTTAATCTTGAAAGTATCATCAAGTTTGGACTTAATGGACTTCATTTCTAAATCATCTCCTGTTAATATCACATCATCAACATATACTAATAAAGCTAAAAATTTAGAACTAGACTGTTTTGTGAAAAGAGTATGATCTGCCTTGGATTGAACAAACCCATTGGCTAACAGAAACTCAGTCAGTTTTGAATTCCACTGTCTACTTGCTTGTTTTAGACCATAAAGTGATTTTGTTAAGCGACAAACAGGTCTTTTGATGTCAGAAGGAGGAGTTAAACCTTGAGGGATTTTCATATATACTTCTTCCAGAAGATCCCCATGTAAAAACGCATTATTTACATATAATTGCTCAATATCCCAGCCCTTGACAGAAGCTAAAGCTAATAAAGCACGAACAGTAGTCATTTTAGCAACATGAGAAAAAGTTTCTGAGTAATCTATGCCCTTAGTTTGTGTATAACCTTTAGCTACTAATCGAGCCTTAAACCTTTCTACAGATCCATCAGCTTTATATTTAATACGATATACCCATTTGAAACCTATGGCTTTATGAGAAGAAGGTATAGAAGTTACCTTCCAGGTATTAGTGGCTGCTAAGGCATCAAGTTCAGCTTGCATAGCTGCCACCCAACGTGGATCCTTGATATTCTCTTCATAGCAAGTTGGTTCAACCTCCTTGGTCACATTCATGACAAAATTCTTGTAACCTGCAGCTAAATTGTCGTAAGAAAGAACCTTGGAAAGAGGGTAAGTAGTATTAGGGGATGTAGCCACTGTTGAATGACAAACAAAGTCCTTGAGTCTAGCAGGAGGCTTTGTTTGTCTCTGTGGCCTTCCAGCAGGAGCTGGAGCATTAATATTGGGTATATGCAAAGGAATATGTACATGATTATTGACCTACAACATTCCAGAAGGAGGAACAGAAGGGGAAGCACTAGAAGTGCTAGGATCTATGAGAAGTTCAAGGTTTGGGAGAGTTAACTCAGAATCAGAAGAATGTGAAGAATTTTTGTAAGGAAAGATATGTTCATGAAACACAACATCCCTAGACTCAATCTGTTGATGTGTATTTAAGTCAACAAGTTTAAACCCTTTGGTGCCAAAAGGATACCCTAGAAACACACATGGAGTTGCCCTAGGTTCAAGGTTTGGACGATTATGACTTAGAGTACGAACATATGCTAAGAAACCGAAAACTCTAAGGTAAGCCAGATCAGGAGAAGTGCCCTGAAGGAGTTCTAAGGGAGATTTATTCTGTGTTAAAGGTGAAGGAATGCGATTGATGAGATGAGTAGATGAAGAACAGCATGACCCCAAAATAGAATAGGAAGGGAAGCTTGAAATAAAAGAGCCCTAGCAACAGTGACTATGTGCTGCAATTTTCTTTCTACCCGACCATTCTGTTGGGAAGTTTGAACACAAGAAGTTTGATGTAAAATACCATTTGAGTTATAGAAACTTGGAATATTAAATTCCTGAGCATTATCTGTTCTTATCACTTTAACTGTCATAGCAAACTGAGTGGAGACATAAGAACAAAAATTGATAATGATTTCCCTAGCTTCAGACTTATGTTTAAGAAGATAAACCCATGTTACTCTAGTATGATCATCCACAATAGCAAAAAAATAACGATGACCATCAATAGTTGGTTCCTTGTAAGGCCCTCAAACATCACAATGAATCAAATCAAATGGGGCTTTACTAACAGAATCACTAGAAGCAAATGGAAGCCGTTTCTGTTTTGCCAAAGGACAAACAGAACAATGTATATGGTCATTGACAGTATTAGGAACAAAATTAGCATGTAAACCCTTTATTCTAGGATTAGAAGCATGTCCCAAACGATAATGCCACAAATCAAACATAGAATGTGATGTATCATATGCTGCAGATAGCAACTGAGGGATAGCAAGACCAGGCAGAGAGTTGCCAGGTTGAAGGTAGTAAAGGCCAGAGACCTGTTCAGCTATACCAATCGTCTGCATAGCTGACAGCTCCTGGATAAAACAAGCATTATGAATGAATGTCATGGAGCAATTATGTTGCTTAGTTAACTTGCTTACAGAAAGCAAATTAAATGTGAATGATGAAATTAACAGGACATTAGAAATGATGAGATGATCATTTAAATGCACTGTGCCAATATGAGTCACTTTGGCCTTAGAACCATTAGGTAAGGTCACAAAAGAATTATGCACAATACTGAAGGATTGAAGCATAGACAAAGAGCAAGCCACATGGTCAGTAGCCCCAGTATCTACCACCCATGTTTGTTCAAGAGACCTAGAATTAGCTACGGAAAGAACAACCTTACCTGCAACCTCGTCATAGGCAGCTTGAGAGGCATAAGAGATATTCTGTGCTGTAGCTGCATCCTCATAGAGAGCTGAGGTGGAATGACCAGCAGGCAGAGTGTTGGAAACCACCATCAAGTTGATGGATCCCATATTTGTTGGCTGCTGAGGCTGGATGAGCGACAAAACCGCCTGATATTGAGCCCGAGAGAGAGTAAAACTGTCACCAGTATCCTCAGGGACATCCTCTGTAGACTCCCCAGCACACACAGCGTTGATTGCCTTGCCACGAGCCTTGTATCCAGGTGGATACCCGTTCTTCTTGAAACACTTGTCAATCAAGTGTCCAGCAAGCCCGCAGAAGGTGCAGATAGGTCTCTTCGATCCATCCTTAGGACCTCGTCAAATCTGACCAGACGAAGAGGCACCGTGAGTAAAACTGCCTTGAACAGAAGACGAAGGTGCGTAGTTGCCTGCGAACGCCATGGGAGGCTGAACCGACGGAACCAGAGAAGCTCCATGTCGAGACTCGCGTTCTTGTTGAACGACCTGAGCAAACACACGTTTGATCGGCGGCAGCGGATCTAACTGGAGAATCTGCGATCTGATCGGACCAAAGGAATCGCGAAGACCGCGAAGAAATCGAATGATCTGATCAGCTTCAACATAACCACGAAGCCTTGTGAACGCGCCACATCGACATCGAGGAGTGCATGTACAGCCAGGCAACAGACGAAGGGCAAAGAACTCGTCCCAAAGAACCTTGAATCGAATGTAATACTCCGTGACAGTAAGATTGCCCTGCTTGAAGCCATAGATCTTCTCATGCATATCCGAGATCCTGACCAGATTCGCTTGACAAAAACGCTCCTGGAGATCGAGCCAAACTTCTCGCGCAGAATCAAGCCAAAGAATCGACTGAGCAATCGTCGGCTCTAGAGACTGATAGATCCAGCCCAAGACCATCAGATTTGCACGCTCCCAAGCTGGAAGCAATGGATCGGCATCTCCAGGACGCGGAGCTTCACCATTGACGAACGTGACCTTGTTCTTCGCGAGGAGCACCATCCTCATCGACCTCGCCCAGGACTGATAATTGCCGCCATGGAGAAGCGTCGACACAAGCACAAGCGCCGGATTCTCGTTCTGATTGAGGTAGTAAGGATGATTGGGATCGAGAGGTGCGGGAAGAGGAAGAGGAATCGCCATCGCAAAGCATAGAAAAGAAAATGAAAGAAACCAAGAAACCCTAGTTTAGCTCTGATACCATGCCAGATTTAGTAATTGCGGAAGGAAAACTAATTATTGCATCAAAATGGTGAGTTGTTCCATTACACTGTTCAGCCTTTATAGTGTTCACCAAATTACTACCTAGTACCTATACAAACTACTAATTACAATAACTACCCTGAAAACAACAAAAATTACATTTTGTTCTATATACTCTATCAGCGTGCAGCTTCCATTCCGCCGGCAAGCAATCCAGGTATCTCCTTTTCTTCTGCTGCAGGGTCCTCGTCACTTCTCGGACAGGGCCTAGCTGGGGTGCTCGTCTCCCCCTGCAAGCTCCTACCGATGCGTGCCTTGTACGTTTTGATGGAGCTATCAAACATATCTGTGGTGGAAGTGTTGGTTTTGTCGGTTTTAGCTATTCTGGGGAACTTATGTTTGCTTTCGGCAAGTTTGACAGAGGTATGTCTGACCCTTTCATTATGGAGCTTTTAGCACTCCGTGATGCAATGCACTGGTGTCTAACCCGGGGTATTTTTGTCTGTTAAATTCTTTGGCGACTCGCAACTGGTAATTCGGCGGGTGGTGTCGGGTGATCGATGCAATGCGCTGGGAGGAGCTATTTTGGAGGACATCTACCGCTTGGTGCAGTCTTTCCTTTTCTGTTCTTGTTCCTACGTATGCTCCGTGTAGCTTTAACTGGGCCGCCCACTTTGTGAGAAAACAAGCCCTTTCATCGGAAGCTCGACTATTGATTGACTTTCGCACGACGTTACTTTCTGTTCTCTGACTATTTGACTTTGTGGTTTGTATCTCACTATGTTAAAAAAAACTAAGTCCAATGGAAGGAAAAACAATCTTGCACTAGAAAAGTGAAGGTGGACTTCATCAGCCCCAAATAAAGAAGCCCATTGCAAGGTCCAAACAAAAGAACGCCCAAAGACCACCACATAGCAACTTTAGTCCAAAGAAATTTTGGCAAAATATACTTTCATAACCATAACTTTCACATTTGTAACAAATATAACCACAAATATCGAAAAACACAAAATAGCGCAAAAATTGGATGGTAGTGTGACAAATATAGCTATTTCCATTAGAAACTTTAACGGTGTTAGAAATTCCGTCAGTTAGATTAACGTTAGATTGACTAAGAATTTCAGATACAACTAAACTTCACTTGCCACATAGATGCCACGTCATAATTTATTTTAAAAATATTTTATCATGAATATTTTATCATTTTTTTTGTAAATTATTATTAACTTTTTTGCCAAAGGCACCCCTGCTTCGTCATCAGGGACTTCTTGGCGCCGATGGTGGAGACTACGAGCCATGCAAGAGCAGAGCATATCGATTGGGCTTTCTCCGGCGTGAATCGACTTCAGACTTGGAGGAGATCTATGCTTTCTCCTGCATAAATCGTCTTTGGATTTGGAGGCGACAGGCATGTACGAGAGTCGATTGGGGGATCTGTGATTCTACCTGTTCGCAAACCACTCCACTGTTTTGCTCACGATCATAATCCATGCCTCCCTCTACCTCTCCTCCACCGCCGGCGACCCCTCACCAAAATCCCCAACCAAGCTCTTGAATCTCCATCAAAAGCCCTGCGCACCGCAGGCCCAGATCGAAATCCCCAACTATCTATCCCATAACCCAGAACCCCATATCGAAATATGAATTTTCTCCTTTCTGTTTCCTCAAAACCAAATCGTCAACAGAGTAGACGAAGCTTGAATCTGCCCAAATCACAAATCCCTTCAACCTCTAGTTGGGGTATCTGAAGATGTTGGATCATCGACGGGCTTCTTCTTCATTGGAGATGAGTGAAGGTTGGAGGTCGAGGATCGCATCATCGACAGGCTTCTTCTTCGTCAAGGTTGCAGACATCGTGGCCGGCGATGGCTGGTGAGGAGATGTAGAGGTGATCGAGAGATGGAGAGTTGGCCCCTGATTTGAATGGGTCTTCCAAAACCCTAAATTGAATTTGGGGTCTCCAGGAACCCTAAATGAGCATTTTGAATTTTTTTTTGGCTTTTTTCCTTTTAATCCACGTGGACTCTAACTGACGAAATGTCGCCAGGTCAGCAATTTCGTCACTCCAGTCAGATTGTTAAGTAACACCGTTAAAGGGATGGACGAAATTGACTATGTATTTTGTGTTTTCGGATAGTTATTGCTATATTTGTCACAAATGTAAAAATTATAACTATACAAGTATATTTTTTCAAAAAATTTTGCTCACTGCAACTATATTCTAGACTCTCTCGCTTCACCATTTCAATTGTTCATACCTTAACATTAACATCATAAAAGTTTTTTTACATTATATCAAGAACTTTAGTTATGATTGTATCGGAATGATGTAGGTGGATCTCTCCCAAACCACTTACATGTAAGTTTTGGTATGTGATATTACAAACGCGCAAACTTTTGACTACAAAAATGATTATCTCTATTCATAATCAAAATTAAACTAAGTAACTTTAAAGTATTGGTGTTGAAACAGGGGATAAGATAGCCATGGTTTAAATAAGTATATCACATTGTGAAAGTATTAAGGGGTCATAAGTATATCACATTGTTGGTTGAATTTTTGTCTTATTTTCTTTTTGTCCGTCTCAATAAAATTTCCTCATTTATCAAAAAAAAAAAAAAACTAAAGGAACAGACAAAATAAACTACAACGATATCTTTGGAAAAAAAAATATGCCAAATATCTACTTTATGATTTGCTTCATGGATTGATGGATGAATTTTGACTCAAATCCACGATCATCATTGATTTAATAGAAATACATTGTTTGCTTCATCATCTTTTTGCGATCCAATCTGTGAGGCCTTTGAATTCATGAACTAGTAAATTCCAAGTATTGATATGAGATTTGGAACATGTCATAAATTAATGATGAAATTTTATCCATAGATCCAATCATGAAATTTTAATATTTCAAAGTTACCCTCACATTTAGTTATTGTACATTATAATGTATCGATTAATTAACAACAAAGCAATAATATAATTATTCAATTAATGTGCGAACATGAGTATTTTCTATGCTCTTATTTGTGCTCCAGTTGCCTTTGACATTTTCATAGAATGTGAAATTCTTTGTTTTCCGAGTTCTAATTTATGATACTATTACTTGTGAAATAAAAAGAGGACAAGAAATTGGTAAAGAAACAAAATTTCTCTGTTTATTATTAGTAGTTTTTTGGCCCGCTCCGCAGCGGTAATATACTAAATATTAGTTTTAATAAAATTTTATCCACTCATTAATAGTTCACAAAATAGTTTAAATAAAGTATGTTCATAAGCTTTTTACACAGTGTCTTAATTATACAGAAGACTTATGTAACATGTTTGTTTGATTGATACATAAAAAAAACTATCCCTTCGATCTTCATAAGTTTTACAAAGTGTATTTTAAAGAATGTTACACAACGATATTACGTAATCTTCCATAACGCGTGGTCAAATAATAAAATAAAATTATATATCTTACATTTGATTAAACTATTATGTAGATTAACTTATCCTACAGTCTAGAAGTCTCAATCTGTGAAATGTAAATTGATAATATGTTGTATAGTAGGCAATAATAAATGAACGAAGTAATAAAAAGTGACACATTTGATTAAACTGTTATGTAAGAAATAATTGACCTTACTAAGCTATTATGTAATGCAAATTGATGAGAACGACAACAATTTAGTTAATAAATTAGGATTTTTCATTCAAACTTATGTGACATGTTTGTTTAATTGGTACATAAGAAATTACATAAGCAATTAAGGATAGGAAAAAAAGACTTTGGTAAAATTTGATGTAGAGTATAAAAGATCCGGTAAACAGTACCCACTAAAAAAATTACTCTCTATTTTTTAATAAATAAGAACAATTTTAACTTGTGTTTTATATATAATTATGAATCGGACTGGTGTACTCTTGGAGTATATTATACTGTAGGTAATCACAGTGAGATATCTATATCTAGATTATGAATTAAATCGAGGTTAGAGTATGATATTATATCCTAACCTTCGATTTTTTATCCCAAACCAGAAGTTCAATTTAATCGAAAACAATAAATGACCGTTGAGATTGATCGAAACTCATCAAAGTATATCTAACGATTATATTACCTCAAATATACTATACTCTGGAGTATACCACTCTTTACTATATAATAATATATAATATTTACCAAATTAGAAAATAACTTCCATCTCAATTGTCAGTAGAAAGAAATTGACGGTCAGGGTGAAATTGATTTGCCACAGAAAGGACTACGGGAGATACCATGGACCTTCCACAAGGAAATATTCACCAAGATGAACAGTGATTGTGAAAGTTATATCGAGCAAGTGATTAGCGTTTTTTCCGTTTAGCAAGTGATTAGCGCTTTTTTCGTATGGAACAATGCTTTTATTTTTGGGCAAAATTTCGCAGCAGACTAGGTTGCGTAGTATAGCGGGAATTGGCCAAGTGAAACCACTTCCTCGCAGCAGACTAGATACCATGGAACTCTACTGTCACTCCAGGAATTGGCCAAGTGAAACCACTTCCTAAAGCGTAGTATAGCGGGTTTGGGTTTAATTATCAACCCAGGTCCTAGATCTGATGACTACTCAGTGAATTCTTGTTATCTAGCAATGAAACTGGAATGCAAGTCTAACTAACAAACTAACAAAGCAAGTAAACTGGTTGTATTCAGGTTAAGAGAGGTCACCCGGATATGGTTCCCCCTAGACTGCAGTTAAGCCGGATTGTAATTACCAAGTTCAGTTTCTATGAAGATTATACTGCGGAAGGTTCTTAAACAGCCTGAAGTCTCGACTAAAGGTCTTCAGACCCTCTCAATCTGACTCTCTAGCGGGCGACTAACCTCCACCGGAGTCGACAGATTGAGGCCCTAAGAACAAAACCTCCACTACCGGAGTAAATCCGGTACAGAATAGTGAGTTGGCTCCTCGACTAAAGTCACCAACTCCCTACCTTCAATCAAGGATACTCTATTAACCTAGGCAGATATTCTCATTCTAGGTCAAAGCAGAAACAACAGGAATTTGATCAGGATTCAAGTCATTCAATCATTAAAACCTCAATCGAATATAATCAATCACAGAATCAGTACTTGGGTTCATACAATCAAAGCCTAACATACAAATCTAGGGTTCTCCATACCCAGATGAATGGGAGAACTACTCCATAGAGAAGAAAGCAAAAGCAGAATCAGACACGGAATTCATACTGCAAAGGATGGATTCCTGCTTCTGGACGTTGATTGGCACTTCTCCAAGCTCAAACTGGCCTCCAATGGTGTTGAAGATCAATCTAGGGCACTTGGAGACTCTTGTTCGTCGCTTTCTCTCTCTAGAAATCGCTCTCTTTCTCAAAAACCCGAATCCTCCCGAATTGTGGCTGAAATTCTGCTTAAAAGGAGAAAATCCCGACTCACACGGCCAGGGTGGCACGGCCGTGCAGCTCACCCAGTTGCCCGTGTGAGTCAAAACGCATCGTTTCATTTAGTTCGAATTCCAGGCTCTTTGCACGGCCAGAATGGCACGGCCGTGTGGACATCCCCTCTTGCCCGTGTTTGCTCTAGCAGAATGTGGCACGGCCAACCCGGCCACCTGCACGGCCGTGTCGATCCTCTGCTCTGCCCGTGTGTGCTCTCGGCAAAACTCGCACGGCCAGGCCATTACTTCACACGGCCGTGTGAACATCAGGGCAGCCCGTGTGGCCTCCTTTGTGACTTGCCACGTGCCCAATCTTCACCCAATCGACCCCGAACTCGCTCCTAAACCTTCATTCACTTGCCAGGACCTGAAATATCACAAACAAGCACAACCTAGCGTGAAATCGGTCTAAAACACGAGAAACCACCTCTCAAACGGTGTAAGAACAGGGGTGAAAACATGTGTAACTAACGGTCTATCAGCCGCTCCAAGCAGCATCCTGCCCACGTGTAGCCTACTTATTGGGCTTTTTTCAGTTAATCCTTTTACTGTTAAACCAATTCAATTTACTATAAGCGGATGGAGACGGAACGGATATGTACTTTCCGTTACTTGCTTTTCCTTATTTTCAATTGGTATTAACTTCAATGAGCAGGTATCAAATTTATAATACAGTCTGCTTAATTTTTATTCACTTCACTTTTAGATGTAGCTCTTTATTAGTTCTGAGAAAAAGTGACAACTTTGCATAGTAGATTTGATGTTTATCACCATAATTTTAAATAAACTAATTCTCATATAAATAAATCATTCAAAATGAATAGTATCAATTAAAATTTGTCTTGTGTATTCCTTCTCAATAATAACAAAACTTATTCTAATAATATAATCTCTTGAAATGCAATAATCCTACTGAGATACTTAAGAAAAAACAAATGTTGTCATTGTTCTGCACTGTCTAGATGAGGATTTGCTATGGCTTCCTGCAAATTAAACAAATACAAGAATGATATTTTATCTATTTATTTAAAGTGAAAAAAATAATTGGATTGTCTCCATACCTGTAACAATTGTGTGAATGATATATTGTTTACAGAAATTGTAGAATCAATGTTTTCTTCGCTTGGTCTGGTAATTGAACTTTGAGATTGGTGCCCAATCACCATCTGAAAATTATAATAATTGTTACTATATAATTGATAAGATAATTTCACTTAAACTTTGATATGAGAGAAAAAAAACTAGCAATTTTATTTGGATGTTGGGTATGCAAAATAAACCTGATTATTTTGTATTTGCACTTCAGAATTACTTCCACCTTGTTGAGAAGAACTAGCTTTCATCTTCTTACCCTGTGTATAATAAGATTTTAAAAATAAATAATATAAGAAGATAGTATAATAGTTTTATCTTATATAATAATCAGTAAGGAGAAGGGGAAAATACCTTTGATTTTGATTGAACTTTGTGACTTTTTCCTTTATCCAATGCACCTTTAATTCTTCATTTCGGCCGTCCAACCGTAGCTTTTGACTTTACTCCAGCTACACTTGGATAATCTAGTTCAGGATTAGAGCCCAATACCTCATCAGAAGTTCCAGCATGTGAACTTTTTTTCATTTCCTGCAAATTCTTCAGCAAATTTGAAAAAACTTCACTTGCACGCTCATACATTATGTCGCTTTCAGCTGCTAGTGTTGATATTTCTCCAAAATTATAATGCAGATTGAAGTAACGCTTCCCAGCGAGTTTCTCGGAACTTCCCTGTACTCGAGTTGAACTTCTAATGCATCCATCTTTTGCATCCTTTGTCCATCTTTTTTATATATATTGCCTTGGAATTTGCTTTATATTTTTCTTGTCAAGAACTTTCAAAGCATGAGAACATAAAATCCCCACAAACTCAAACTTCTTGCAACTACATTCAACCCTTTGAGGCAAATACTCAAATTGGACACGATGCCATGTACCTCTACCAGCATTTCTCACTTTATATTCTGCTTGAACTTCAATTTTGCTGATCTTTTCAATCGTGCAATCCCAAACTTTCAAATATTCTTCTTCGAACATTTTAAACACTTTAGGAGTGTACACAACTGATGCATGCCTTAACATCTCAATATCGGCTTTTAATGGTGGGCTTGTATCCCTCATTTTGAACTCTGCAAGTAGTTCCTGGTACCTTCTATCTTCTACCAACTGATCATAATGCTCAAAAAAGTATACCATATGGTGTTTCGGCTTTAGGTACTTTTTTAACACACTATTCATTTATTCACTGCGTTGTGTACTTTTCATATCAGCAGTAAACATATGACGCCCATAAACCATAGCCCACTTTTCTTTTACTGAAAATATTCCATCCAACCATTCGTTATTCTCCAGACCATACTTTTGAAGCATAACATCCCAAGCTCTAAACCATTCATCTTCATCTTCATAGTCATATATGCATGAACTAAAATCACTAGCAAATTGGTCGGATGCATGAAACACATGGCTTAAGTGTTTAGCAGCATTCTGATAAATATGCCAAACGCATAAACGATGATGAGTTTCAGTTAATACCTCTTCAATTGCTTTGGCCATAGCAGCTGATTGATCCGTCAATATGGTATTAGGTTGTTTTCCAGCCATTGCACCCAAAAATGCTTCAAACAACCACTTAAAGGATGATATTGTTTCGTCATAAAGTAATGCCGCTCAAAGATTATAGTCTGCTTCAGATGATTGACTCCCACAAATGGAGCAAAAGGTCGACCATACTCATTGGTTCTATAAGTTGTATCAAAACATAGAACATCGCCGAAGTACTTGTAATCAATTATTGACCTGCCATCAGCCCAGAACATATTCAGAACAAAATCATCATCATCAAGTTGCACTGAGTAAAAAAATGATGGATCCTCTGATTGTGCTTTACGAAAATAATCCATAATTGCTTGACCATCTCCTTTAATCATTGCAGCTCGTCTCTGTGCAGCGATATAGTTTTTGTAGTCTGAATCCAAAAACCCATTATTTTGACGGCCTCCATTCTGTATTGCTAGCAAATCAATAGTTGCCTTAATTGGCAACCCAGCTCTCTCAGCATCATTTGCAATAGCCTTTTGAGCAGAACTTATCTTTCTGTTGGACCTCAACATGTGCTTCATTGGAGTGGGGGCAAGTTCATGATTATGATTTGCTTCAAAAGAAACAATCTCCAGCAAGCCGTCCTTTTTTAGTAGGCAAGTCATTTGTGCTTTACAACCGATTCTTGTAATTGGTCGCTGAAAAGCCACATTCTTGCGCCTTTTATCGAAACCTTTTTTGCCTTCTTTAGAACAACAAAATGTTCTTCTTTTCACCTCACCTACTTTTGTTCGCTTGATATAGCGCTTCTTTACACTGAAATCAATGCTGTGGGCATATGCTTTATAAAATTCATATGCACTATCATCACCGTCGAATTTCATGCCCATACATGGCACTTCGCTTTTTCCAATCATATTATTCACACCAAATGTTTTGGGACTCATATGATCCGTGCCTGCAAGAAAGAACATAATATCAACTGTGTAAGACTATGAGAGCTAATAATACCACAAAAAAATAAAAATAATATATATATATTTTTTTTTGAATGATCACCCATATTAAAGCAACCCATAGTACATGAACATGTACCCAACCAAAATAGCTTCTCACTTTTTATATCAAAATTGAAAGCATACGGTGGGTTTCCAAAAAAATTAAGCTTAACAAAAAATCAAATAAATCATTATGCAATAGCAATAAATTTTTATGTAAAGATTATATTCATTAAATAATGAGAAATAAAATTTACAAAGGAAATTAAAAGAAAAAGAGGGCGTGTCCAGCAAAAGAAATAAACAAGTAGGAGACAATATCTATTGTGTCTATCAATGTGAGGCATGTTAAGATACAAATAAGAAGGCAGGTTACAGCAATATGGTCACACTTAAAAAAAAGTGTCTATGTTTTGACCCCAACCTCGTTCCCACCATTTGTTATCAAGCGTTTCCACTAATACATGAGAAAATGCAGCCAAACATACTCAACTTCCAATATCAATAACTTTACGAGGCTCAAATAGGTAAAAGATAGAGTAGTCATAATTAGAAAAAGAACCTGTTGTCGAAGACATCGTTCAAAATAAACTCAGGCCTCAGCACATAGAAAGTGGAGGCTTCTTCTGTTTGGAGGCAAGATGTGTTAATGCTACGGCTTGGAGTAAATGACAACACAGAGAAAGTTTGGGAGGGGAGATATACTGCTGCTGCCGCTTGGCGTAAATGGAAAAGCAAAAAGAAGATGACATTTATATGAAGGGGAGAAAACCTAAAGGGAGAATTTGTATCCGTTCCACTTTAATCGTCCATTGTTAATTAAAAAAAAAAGGAAAATGAAATAACGGTAAGTACATGTATGATGTATCCGTTCCGTCTCCATCTACTTCAAATAATTGAATTGGTTTAACAGTAAAAGGATTAACTGAAAAAAGCCCAATAGTACGCTACACGTGGGCGGGATGCTGCTAGGAGCGGCAACCTAATCTGCTGCCAAAATTTGCCCTTTATTTTTTTTGGTTACTTGCCGTTTAATATTTCTAATAATAGTTGTTATTGTGACAACATTATTTTTATTATTATTCTCCATGAAAAACAAATAGAAAAAGTTAGTAAGATAACTTTAGACTTTAAGTTATAAATCAAAAACCTTTCGATCCATGATAAAAACATTTCAAAAACAGAAGATTGTTTCAAATCCATAATAATTAAAATCCTTAATGAATCCTTGAATTTTTCAATTTCAAAATCCTAATTTTCAAATCAATAAATCAAACCACCCCTCAATTTCAGTGAAAGAAAAGGAGGAGTTTAAGAACAGAACAACGAAAATTAAATAAAACATGGGCCAAAACATCCAGGCCAAAGAGGGACACATGAAAGCTGATAAACACGGGACGAGGGATAGGAATGGCAATGGGGTAGGTTCGAGTCGGGTATCTCGATACCCATACCCGCTTCGTGGCAGGTTGGGTACAGGTCGGGTAATTTATTATGGGGCGCGGGTCGGGTTAGTTCGACCCAATGAGTATATAAATTATGAAAAACTTAAAAAATATTCATTGTTTTCATTAAAAGACCAAGAAATAAACCATTATATGATAAAATGTAGTTAAAGTATGGGAGAAATTGAGGTTTTCACTTATTTATAATTTTATTATAGCTAAAATATGAGGTAATATGAGGAAAATTCTAAATAATTTGACTAAGATTACATGTAATTTAGACTAGAACGGGTCGAGAATGGGGCGGGTTAGGGCAGATCGGGTCGATGAGAGGTACCCATGCCCCCCGTCCCGCCTACGAGACGGGTTGGATCCGCCCCAAAACAGGCCAAACAGGTCGGATAAAATGAGTTAGGTCAAAATTGCCATTCCTAATCAGGGACTATCACATGAAAACAAAGCGCTCAAATTGTTGATATCATACTGTCCCTGTACTTTAGTTCTCCAGATTTTTGAATCATTCGTTGTGGACATAAGAAATTCAGAAATCACAAGAAAAGTTCCCAAGTCAGTAGTCACATGCAAGCATCAATTGGACAAACCTCTAGTGCCGGCTGCCGAATTTACCACAAACCATGAAAAAACGGCACAGGATCTCACAATGTTTTTAGCCGTTTCCCTCTTCTCGAAGCTTATGCCCTGCATCTATATGTAACTTGATAGCGATGCATCTCTGAGAGCCAGAGCAAACTAAGAGCATGGGCACCTCAACTCCGAATGTGCTCTCTGAACCTCAATTTCTCGATCAAGTTCACAGCTTTAACGCTGCCAAACTCGGTACGTCGCCCGCCAATCTCCCTTATTCGATAACTTCATTCCCCTGCATCAAATACACTTATGCATGTGTTTCTATTTACACCTAAAATTAACAACACCGACAAAGTTTCCACCGCGCGAAACAGTTTATGTAGGAAAAGAGTTGGAAGAAGAAGTGATCAACGACAGCCCAATTGAGGAAGTGCGGCTGACAGTACCGATCACCGACGATCCGACGCTACCGTCACTCACATTTCGAACATGGGTTCTCGGGCTGTCTTCCTGCGTCTTCCTCGCGGTCTTGAACCAGTTCTTCAGCTACCGCTACAACGGTCTCTTCGTCGGCTCGACTTCGGCACAGATCATGGTGCTGCCGCTTGGCAAGCTGATGGCTGCTTCCCTCCCCACGAAACGTTTCAGGGTCCCGTTGACGGATTGGTCCTTCACATTGAACCCTGGGCCGTTCAATGTGAAGGAACACGTCTTGATCACCATACTCGCCAGTTCCGGTGCTGGTGGGGTGGCGGCGATCGCCATTATTACCGCCATCAGAGCTCTCTACCACCGAAGCATCCATGTCGTCGCGGCGATGTTGCTGGTGTTCACCACACAGGTCTGCAGAAACACTCTGTTTTTGTATATTTTTTTTATTCAATTTGTTGCACATTTTCTGATAGGTTGACAAGAATTGAGAAATTGTTGCAGTTGCTTGGGTATGGATGGGCTGGAATGTTTCGCAAATTTCTGGTGGATTCGCCTCATATGTGGTGGCCTGGAAGCATGCCGCAAGTCTCACTTTTCAGGTACTCTTTTAATAAAGGGACGGAATCAGGATTCGAAGTTAAGGGGCCAACAAAAATTCTAATCTCATGAAACAATGAAGAAACATAATTAATCGACGGAAAATTGTTCATCTATGAATTCTAGTAACGCAATTTAACTACTGAACAAATATATATGTATGCTTGTCTAAACTCTGTCCCTGTTGTTAATAGAGTTTACTGGCTGCCTCTAAACTCTTAATGTTGAAATGGTGAAAATGTGCAGGGCGTTACATGAAACAGAGAAGAGACCAAAAGGAGGACAAACCCGACTGCAGTTTTTCACCGTAGTGTGCATATCAAGCTTTGCTTACTACATAGTTCCAGGCTACTTATTCCCATCCATATCGGCACTGTCATTCGTTTGTTGGATCTGGAAGGACTCCATCACCGCGCAACAGCTTGGTTCCGGGCTGAATGGGTTTGGACTCGGTGCATTCGGTCTGGATTGGTCCACGATTGCGGGGTTCGTGGGGAGCCCTCTGGCCACACCATTGTTTTCCATTTTCAACATCATGGCTGGGTTCATCCTGTTTGTCTATTTCGTCCTTCCCATCGCTTACTGGAAAAATGCGTACAGCGCGAGAAGATTCCCAATGCTTTCTCAGGGGACTTTCGACAGCTCTGGCCAACCGTACAACATTACCAGGATTCTGAATGAGAGGGAGCTCAGCATCAACCTTGTCCAATACGAAAACTATAGCCAGCTCTACCTCAGTTTCACTTTTGCGTTTAACTACGGGATCAGCTTTGCAGCTTTCATGGCTACCATAGTGCACGTTGCGCTTTTCGAGGGGAAGTAAGTCACAGTTTTGTTCTAAGTAGTAGGAAGGGATGTAAACCATCTTACACGCTATACCATTTCTCATGTGCATTTTTGCAATGTTGTAGGTCGATTTGGGAAATGTGGAAGAGGGCATCAAGTGGAATGAAAGACCAATTCAGCGATGTCCATACAAGAATGATGAAGAAGAACTACGAAGAAGTTCCTCAATGGTGGTTTCTGGTGGTAATGGTCGTATCAGTATCACTTTCTTTCGTCGCAATTCTAGGGTTTGACAAACAACTCCAGCTTCCATGGTGGGGGCTCATCCTATCATGTGTCATTGCATTTGTTGTCACCTTGCCAACCGGGATACTCGTTGCCTCTGCACATCAGGTACACTACATAAGCTCTAGCACAAACTTATTCGTAATCATATAATCGCGTGCGTTAAGCCGAGCTTAACTACGTGCGCAGGGAATCGGGATAAACATAATCACGGAGCTAATCATAGGGTACCTGTACCCGGGGAAGCCAGTCGCAAATGTGACTTTCAAGACCTATGGCACAATCAGCATGTATCAAGCGCTTAGCTTCTTATCAGATTTCAAACTCGGCCACTACATGAAAGTCCCTCCGAAATCGATGTTCATGGTCCAGCTAGTAGGCACCATAGTTTCTTCCACCGTCCACTTCGGAACCACATGGTGGATACTTTCGAGCATCCAAGGCATATGCGACCCAACCAAGCTACCCAGGGGAAGTCCGTGGACTTGCCCTGGGTACAATGTCTACTACAGCGCCTCTGTCATCTGGGGAGTGGTTGGCCCGCTCAGAATCTTCAACGTTCGCGGCGTGTACCCGCAGATGAACTGGTTCTTCCTGATCGGCACGTTTGCACCGGTGCCCGTGTGGCTGTTGTCGAGGAAGTTCCCGGAGAAGAAGTGGATCAGGATGGTTTACATGCCGATCGTATTGACGGGAATGGGCGGCCTGCTGCCGGCGAAGCCAATTCACTTCTGGTCGTGGGGAGTCGTGGGAGTGTTCTTCAACTACTACGTGTACAAGAAGCACAAGGGATGGTGGGCTAGGCACACGTACATTCTGTCAGCTGCGCTGGACGTCGGGATTGCCTTCATGGGTCTGCTGCTTTACGTTGCTCTTCAGAGGAAGGAAATATATGGCCCTCAATGGTGGGGACTCCTGGCTGATGACCATTGTCCATTGGCAAAGTGCCCTACTGTCCCTGGGATTGGTGTCAAAGGATGTCCTGCCATTCAGTGATATGTAGTTTCATTTATATGTTGTGTACTCTATGCGCTTCTACCATGAGTTTTTGTTTCGTATTTTAGTTATTTACTAGAATGGAAGCCCGCGCTACGCGACGGGGCGTGAAATTATTGCAATATGAATATTGATCAAACGACAAACGGTTAACATATTCTTCGTTCTTGAATTAAAAATACAACACAACTTAAACATTAATGTGAGGGATGCACATAGAGAAGACAATTGGAACCCAAAAGGCAAGATTAATGGATAGAGATAAATGTAGCATCAGTAGAAGCTGAGAGTCTAAACACCATATGGTACACATGGCAAGGCCTCACGTTCAAAAGTGAATAAAGGGGTAGCTAGTTTAGACTAACAACAAAGAGTGGTGGGCTCGCAATGTATATTTCTTGCCATAAATTGTCTGCAGCATCGATCTCCGAGGCATTGTTTTTGCTGCTGTTGCAACAACGATTCAAACTCTTTAGGTGCCAGTCAAAACAGGGCAATGTTTGCTTCATGGTTCGTAGTGACTTTTACGACATTTGGATTCACATTAAACATGCAATTTGTAGAATAATCTGGTGGAATGTAAATATATATATATATATATATATATATATATATATGAGCAAACAAACTACAGTGTTCACAACAATACAGAGTACATAGGTGAAGAATGTCAACCGCAATAGGGAAAATGAAAATATAGTTTATAGGGATCAAAAGAACATATCGATGCAAAGTGTTTAAAAAACCTCTCATTAGCTGGTGATGTCGTCTTACCCTAGCAGCGCTTGCCATTATAGAAAAGGGAGCTCAACGAACCCTCTCCCAAATGGCTTGATCCGAGTTGGGTTTGTGGATTAGAGGAAAGGAGAAAGAATAGAGACAACTCACATAGAAAGTTAAAATGATGTACAATTTTTGATATTACAGGGTGCCAGTCAAAACAGGGCAATGTTTGTGGCTTGAGGGTCCTTGGTTCTCCTGGACAAATAAGCAGGAGGGGAATCCTATTGCGAGAAGGATTGATAGGGTCCTTATGAACTCTAGCTGGTTAGTTCAATTCCCAAGTTTTGCAGTAAACCTCCTTCCCCCAAGATTGTCAGACCATTGTGGTTTACTTGTGAATTCTGATATTCACACCACCTCTCTACCAAAACCATTCAAATATTTCAACTGTTGGAAAACTCATCCTCAGTATAACCAAATAATCAAAGATGCCTGGAGCAGAAGTTTTAGGGGTACTCCCATGTTCATAGTTTGTCAGAAGTTGAGCGAGGTCAAGAGGCAACTGAAGAAGTTAAATAGATCTTCCTATTCAGAAATCTCAGAGAGAGTTCGTCTTACTCGCTGTGAAGTGGAGGGATTGCAGATTGAGGCACTCCAGCAGCCTTCCCCAGAGTCCTTTCAAAGAGTAAATGAGTGTCAACTGAGACTTTTTGAGCTCCTTAAAGAGGAAGATGCTATCTACAGGCAGAAATCTCGCCTTCTTTGGGTTATAACATGTGATTTGAACACCTCATTCTTCCATAACTATGTCAAAGCTCGTCAGGCCAGATCCACCATCAAAAAAATCATCTCAGAAGAAGGTACTACACTCACTGATACTAGAGAAATGAGTGAGGAAGCTGTCAGATTCTACCAAAACCTGTTGGGGACCAAAAATCCTGATGTTCAGAGAGTGAGCAGTGTACTAATCTCACAACTACTAGTCCACTCTCTCACTCCTGAACAGGTTGATCCTCTCTGCTCTCAAGTATCTCGAGAAGAAGTCAGAGTAGCTCTTTTTTCTATGAATGGAGATAAATCTCCAGGTCCAGATGGCTTCACAGCTGGCTTTTTTCAACATAACTGGGGGATTTCTGGCAAGGATCTCACAGATGCAGTTTTGGACTTCTTCAGGACAGTGAAGCTCCTTGCAGAGGTAAATTCCACTTACCTGGCTCTTATTCCTAAGGTTCAGAATGCTGATTGTATGAAACAATTCAGACCAATTTCTTGTTGCAACATTTTGTATAAATGTATTGTTAAGATCCTTGCCAATAGATTGAGAGAAGTGCTTCCTGCAGTAATTAGTCAGAACCAATCTGCTTTTATTAAGGGGAGGTTAATTAGTGATAATGTCCTTCTGGCTCATGAGATGGTGAGGTTGTATAATAGGAAGGCCATATCCCCTAGATGTGCCCTAAAGGTTGATGTGATGAAGGCATTCGATAGTGTAGACTGGAGTTACTTAAAAGTAGTAATGAAGGCTATGAAAATCCATGATCAGTTTATTAAATGGATTGATATTTGTCTGCAAAGTACAAAACTGAGTGTGTGTTTCAATGGTGGCCTCTGTGGAAACTTTTCTGCTCAGAAGGGGCTGAGGCAGGGGGACCCCCTGTCCCCTTACCTGTTTGTAATTGCAATGGAGGTTCTCTCCTGTATGTTCAATAGGGCTTATGCCATTAAGTCTCTCCCTCCCCACCCTCAAACCCACAGAATAGGCCTCTCCCACTTGTGCTTTGCTGATGACCTACTAGTTTTCACAAAGGGGACACCAGAGGCTGTTGGGCAAGCAAAAGCTATTTTGGATACCTTCTACACTGTGTCTGGGCTAAAATGTAATCCTGCTAAGAGTGAGGTATTCTGTGGGGGAGTGGATCCTAGTGTTCAGGCTCAGATTTCTTCCAGAACTGGGTTTGCCATAGGGCATCTTCCTGTGAGATATCTAGGGATTCCTCTCATTGCAGGGAAGCTGAATAATTCAGATTGTCTGGCTCTGGTTGAAAAGATTACTGCTAGAATAAGGGGCTGGAAGGTGAGGACTTTGTCATATGCTGGTAAATTGCAGCTCATATCAGCTGTTATTTCCAGCATCACCCAGTACTGGATGGGGATCATTCAGCTCCCAGTCAAAGTGATAAAAATGATTGAGAAAGCTTGTTCTGATTTCTTGTGGAGTTTAGAGGAGGAGGGGAAAAGAGCTAAAGTTCTCTGGCAGATGGTAGCCAGACCAAAAAAGGAGGGGGTTTAGGGTTTAAAGATATCAGGAGCTGGCATATGTCATGCCTGGTCAGGCATCTCTGGGCCATATCTTCAAACTTTCCTTCTCTGTGGGCCAGCTGGGTCAGACACTATCAAGCCTCCTACACTTCCATCTGGGAGATTCCTGATTCTATCCCCTGCTCTTGGGCCTGGAGGAAGGTTTTGAAGATCAAAACTAGAGTGGCTCAGCATCTTGCAGTCAGGTCTGCTAGAGTCTACTGGAATGATTGTGAAATGGCCAAGTTTTCAGTAAAAAAGGTTTGGGAGACACTTCGGGTTAAGCATGAGGCTGTTCAGTGGTATACTTTAATTTGGAAGTCATTTGGGACCCCTAGAGATAAATTGATAGTCTGGTTGATTGCTTTAAACAGAATATCTACTCTTGACAAGATTCAGAAATGGAACAGCTCAGTGATCAACATCTGCCCATTATGCACCACTATGGCAGAGTCAAGGGATCATCTCTTCTTCGAGTGTCCTTATTCTCAATATGTTTTAAAGGCTGTGTTTGCAGGACAAAATCTGGCAAGGGCTAATTGGGAGGGATCTTTGGCAATTGCCATGTCTCTTTTTCGATCAAAGGGCTCCTCATCTGATCGTGGTAGGCTTCTCTGGGTGATGGTGGTGGCTGACCTCTGGCGAGAAAGGTGCAGAAGAGCTATGGCTGGGGAGGTGCTGTCGGAAAATCAACTTCTGCTGAAGCTGCAGGGGGTGCTGCGTCTGCTCAGGGGTGGATTTCCTCAAGTTGAGCTTGCAGTCTCAGAGGAATATGTGAATAGTATAGTGTAGAAGGAGAGTGTAGTTAGATAGACTGGTTTTGTTGTTTGGGGTCCACTCTGTTAGATTTGATCTTCTTTGTACTCGGTTCTTGGGTTCCAGTTAGAGGGGTTTTATCATGAAATCCCTCTGTCTTGCTGAATAAAAGCAGCTTATTCAAATAAAAAAAAGGATCCATGGGATCAAATGACCCGCCTATGGATATGAATCATAGTAACCAATTGAAAACAACAGAAGAGGGAAATAAATAAGCATTACGAATGAGCTGCCATGACAATTATGAATAGAGATAAAAATAGGTTGGAGTGAAATTGAGTTTTTATATATAATTTTGAATCATGGTTTTAAAATAGTAATAATTTTTGTAGTAAAAAGTTTGCACGTTTGTAATATCACATATCAAAACTTATATGTATGTGGTTCGGGAGAGATCCACCTACATCATTCCGATACAATCATAACTAAATTTCTTGATATAATGTAAAAAGCTTTTATGATGTTGATGTTAAGGTATGAACAATTGAAATGGTGAAGCGAGAGAGTTCTAGAACATAGTGCAGTGAGCAAAATTCTTTGGTAAAATATACTTGTATAGCTATATAATTTTTACATGTGACAAATATAGTCATAACTATCCGAAAACACAAAATAGCCAATTATGTTCATCCCTTTAACGGTTTTACTTAACAATCTGAATGAACTGACGGAAATGCTAACCTGGCGACATTTCGTCAGTTAGAGTCCACGTGGATTAAAGGAAAAAAAGCCATTTTTTTTTTCAAAATGCTCATTTAGGGTTCCTGGAGATCCCAAATTCAATTTAGAGTTCTGGAAGACCCATTCAAATCAGGGGCCAACTCTCCATATCTCGGCCACCACTACATCTCCTCACCGGTCACCGCCGGCCGCAGTGTCTGCAACCTTGATGAAGAAGAAGCCTGCAGTTTTGACTTTAATTGCATTTTTTGTCCTTAAATTTGTGGGAAATAACAAAATAATCCCCCGTTTGATGTGACTCTAAGTAACAGTGCCGTTTTTACTTGTTCTTTTAATAAGAACCGACCCAAAACCCGTAGACACTGGATTCAATTCTCTTTGACCGGTTTGATAAAGTGGGGCGAGTGTTTGACAAAACCCACACCCGATCCAATCCGTTAATTACAAAAGCGGATAAAATTCGTTCTCGGGTTGAAATTCGGCAACACCGATACTAGGTAAAATTACAAAAGGGGGTAAAATTTATCCCCGTCCCAAAAATCTTCAACAAAGGTTCAACTCGATTTGAACGGGTAGAATTAGATTGAAAAAGCGGGGAAAATTTGTTCTCGATCCAATTCAATGATTAAAATAGTGGATAATATTCATTCACGCCCCCAAAAGTGCCGAGGGTAAAACTCGTCATCGACCCAAAAATCATCAACATTGGATTCAACTCGATATACCGCGGCGAGTTTTTAACAAAATCCACATCCGACCCAATTCATTAATTACAAAAGTGGATAAAATTCGTTCCCGTCCTACAATTCTGCAACATTGATACCGGAATGGAAAAAGTGGGTAAAATGCATTCTCGACCCAATTCAATAATTACAAAAGTGGATAAAATTCATTCACGCCCAGTGTCAAGGGAAAAACTCATACTCGATCCAAAATTTGTCAACACTGGATTCAACTCGATAAAGAGGGGCGACTTTTTAACAAAATCCACAACTGATCCAATTTGTTAAATACAAAAGTGGGTAAAATTCATTCTCGGATTAAAATTCGGCAACACCGATACTGAGTCGAATTAAATTAAACACACTTGAATTTGGGTTCAATTGTCATAAGAGGAAATATTTATAATATTTGATTAATGACCAAATTTGTTAATCACAAAAGTGGGTAACGTTCGTTCCCGACCTAAAATTTGGCAATACCGATACAGGGTTGGAAAAGGCGGGTATAATGCGTTCTCGACCCAATTCAATGATTACAAAAGTGGATAACATTCATTCATAACCTTAAAATTCGTTCCCGGCCTAAAATTTGGCAACACATATACTGGGTTGGAAAAGGCGGGTATAATGCGTTCTCGACCCAATTCAATGATTACAAAAGTGGATAAATTTTTTGGGTTCAATTGTCATAAGATATTTAAAACATTTGATTAATGACCCAATTCGTTAATTACAAAAGCGGGTAGAATTCGTTCCCAGTCTAAATTTGATAACACCGATATCGGGTTGGAAAAGGCGGGTATAATGCGTTCTCGACCTAACTCAATGATTACAAAAGTGGATAAAATTCATTCATAACCCTAAAAGTCTCATTCAATGATTACAAAAATAGATAAAATTCATTCATAACCCTAAACCCTAAAAGTCCCTATAAACTCGTTGTTGTCGCAAAATTGCACACCCAACCCAATCGTTGGGATTGAGTTCAACTCGCTGAACAAAATAAAAGGAAATAAAATTTAAACTCGTTCCCGACACAAAAAAATACCAGGTTTCAAACCGGGTTGTATTAGTTTGAATCTATTTGAAAAGGAAATAAATTCGTGTAGTGAAAATTACAATAACCCCAAAAGTCCCTAAACTTATGGTTAATGATAAATGGTCACATATTAAGATGTACAAAATAACAAAAATGACACTCCTTGGATGTGACTCTAAGGAATAGTTAAAAAGTTGCTTGTTCTTTTAAGGGTTAATAATTAATTAATAGCATTTTTGTACCCCTTTACTATTGCAAATTAACAAACGTACCCCTCTTCTAAACTTATGCACAAACGTACTCTTTTAATATTAAAACGTAACAAATATACTCTTTCGTCTAATTTTCTGTTAAATGATCGTTAAATGGACTAGACAATGACTTAATTGCCCCTTTTTATTCTAAATACTTTTGTTTTCGATTTAATTATTTTGTTTCCCTAACACTAGTAATTAAAAATTAAAAACTAAAGCCCAATCTTTCTGCTACACCATCCATCGCCGCGGCTCCTCTCCTTTCCTCTCCCTAGGGTTTCCCATTCTCCTCCATCTCCCCATCATCTATGGGACAGGATACGGTGACAACCCCCTTGGGGGTTGTCAGATTCACAACCAAGGGTATTTTGGGTATGAAAAAAATGAATATATTAATTACCTTTTTTGTATTAATTATATTGGGAATTTAATACCCATATTAAATATAATTTTTTTCTGAAATTTAAATCTTATACATTAATATCTCTATCTATCTCTCTCTCTCTCTTCCTTTCTCCAGCAGCCACTCCGCATCGACTGACAAACTTTTTCTCTGGCGAATTCTCTCCGGCAGACTCCCTCCGGCAACCTGAAAAAATGTACCAATGCGTTAAAAAGTGTACCAATCTATTAGTCTACTGGTAATTAATATACCAGTGCTAGTGGTACGCTACCAGTACGTTAAAAAATGTACTAGTACTAGCGGTACCAGTAAAAAATGTACCAATACTAGTGGTACGCTACCAGTACAACGCTACCAGTAGAGAATAACACAACGCTACTAGCACTGGTAGCGCTACCACTAGCATTGGTAGCGGTAGCAGTAGAGAATAACACAAAAAAACAGATAATAGTGGTATTAGATGATAGTGGTACCAGATGATAGTGGTACCAGTGAGTAGTGGTAGGGGAGCCACTGGTATGTACCAGTGAGTAGTGGTATCGTACCAATAGGAATTGGTACCACTAGCATTGGCAGTCTTCTCCTCGAGATTCTTCGCACCCCCGGCGGTGGCCTTGGCGTCGAGGAGGTCGTTGAAGCCGACGCCGGAGGCAGAGAGCTTGGTGTAGAGACGATCTGGACGTCGATATGGACGTTGCTGATGAGAACGCGGACGGAGCCGATCTGGACGTCGCGGAGCCAGGCGGCGGCGTAGATCTCGATCATGATGGCGGGTACAGCAGGCTGTGAACGGTGGGCACGGGGAAGGACAGCGGCGCGGGGAGGACAGCGGCGCGGCGGCAGGGGAGGCAGAGGCGGCGACGGTGGTGGAGCTCTTGACCGCTAGGGTTTTTTTGTTAGAGATATGTGAGAGGGGAAGAGGAGGGAGACGCAGGAGAATGGGGGAGGGTCTGTTTTTTTTTTTGGGTAATAAAAAGTATTTATATGGAAAATGGAAAGGATCTCATGTGGTAAGTTTTCCATTCCGAATTTGCCCTTGGTTTAATCTTAACCATTAATTTAAAAAAAGAAGAAAAAGACAGGAGAGAGAACGTATCTGATGGCCACAAAGGTGGTTGTGAATCTGACAACCCCCAAGGGGTTGTCACCGTACCCATGTACATCGCACATCAATAGATTGTAGGACGATAGGTGCCTCATCTTCCCATCATCTCTTCTCCCTGCGTCAGTGCCTCCGGCCACCGGCGCCAGAGTCTTCGACTACCCCTCCACTCTACATTGTTTGAATTTTTATAAACAAAAACAGACGGTGGTGCCTTCGAAAAGCATCAGGATCGGAATCCATCTTAGATTCATTCGGTAGCGGCGGCGGAGTAAGACGATAGGTGCTGTTGCTTCCACCGGCTGCAAGCGCAATTTTGCCCCATTTCAGCGAGACAGGGAAGTTATGGAGCGGTTTCGACTGTGGTTTACCCGGTGTTGTCGATCGTAATTGAAGAAGAAGCACAACCTTTCTCTCATATTTACCATCATACACCGAAAGGGGAAGAAATCATAACAGATGGATGAGGGGACTATCTTGTTGCATAATCATTGTAAACACAATCTTAAACATTACTTTGTAGTGCTAATAATTAAATTAATTGACGATGGAAAGAGGTTTCTCTATTTTGCTTGGGTTGGCCACTGTCGACGAGGTGTTTGGGAGTGATCTGGTGTTCCGTTTGGGATTCTGCGGGAAGGAGAAGGGTGGGGTTTGGGTGGTGAGTCATTGCCGATAGGGAAAGGTAAAGACGAATTATTGATTTGTCTTCTGGTAAATCAAATAATCCTCCAATACAATATAGTCGAGTTTTATCAACTTTTCTTCGTTTTGAATTTGTTGACTTCTCCTTAATTTTCGGCAGGGACATAATAGTAATTATATTTGTCATTTTCATTTTTTTCCTCAAACCAAGACACACACACAAAACCCCGACGTCATTTGCAAAACGATTAGTTATAATTAAATTGATAAATTATAACTGCTTTCCTTTTCTTTAATTAATTAGTTTTAATTAAATTTATTTTAATGTAGCGTACATCGGGTTAATTCCCTAAATATTGTTTTTTTTAATTTACCACGAACATTGTGTTTTTAAAAGTATTTACAACAATATTGTGTTTTTTGATATGTCTAAAGCGCCAAAGCCTTGGACTCAGGCGCCGCCGCTGGGTGCCTTCTTAACAAAAAAAAACATAGCGGCCCCGCCCCAGACTGGGGCTTTGTCGCTTTATAGAAGGTAATAGCGACGGCGCCCCAGACAGGGGCTTTATCGCTGCCATTTTGTTCCACTCCAGCACCACCCCTCACCATATATACTGCACCTTTCCTTCGGTTCTTCATCACCAAAAAACTGAAAGAAGTTCTGAAAGAAGCTCTGGTGTTGCTGTCTGGTTGCTGGGAAGATGGCTAATAACAGGTAAGAGGCGTAATTTTTTTTTTCATGTATTCATCATAATGATTTTGTCTAGTTAGTAATGTAATTAGTGAGTTTGTTTTTTATGTAGTGATTTTAGAAGATTTGAACTAGCTGTTCGGTGGCGATCAGAGAAAGTAGAAGACAATTTGGGTGTCCATTTTGTTGGTGGTCTTAGTTTCCAGATGACTATTCCATCCAGGGTGAACTATCAGAAACTTTGTGATCATCTAATTCGGAGAATACAGATTAGAGACGAAACAGTACAAGATAGTGTTGTGATTACAGGTTTCACCTACTGTCTTCCAGAATGGCAGAATGGTGTTTTATTTCATTATGCAATGCCTATTGTCGATGATGATAGCTTAAATGTGCTTTGGAATTTTATGGCACAAAATCCTTATTATTTGGGTGCTGAGATACATGCTGAGCTCAGTGAGAATCGGGGTGGAGAGGAAGACGATGATGACGATGATGACACATGGAGCATGCCATCCGATCATGATTATGATGACGGTGATGACGGAGATGAGGAAGAATATGAGGAGGAGGAGGAGGAGGAGGAGGAGGAGGAGGACGACGACGACGACGACGACGGGGAGGGAGGAGAACAACCTAATTTTCCTCCATATTTTTACTTGCAGGGTAATGAAGAGGACGAGGAATTATCATATGCTGATTCATATGGCGTAATTCCAGGGTCTACTGTTGGTGGTTTTGATGGAGAATTCTACAAGGGGCAAATATTTCACTCGAAACAAGCTGCACAGGTGGCGATGAAACACTATGCACTACAACGCAACTTTCAGTATAACGTGGTGGAGTCATCACCTTCAATCTGGAAGATCAGATGTTTGATGCACAAGGAGGACAAATGTCCTTGGATGGTGCGGTTTGGATGTCGAGAAATGGGAGGCGATTGGAGCGTGAGAAAGGTCGAGTTGGTGCATACTTGTAGCAGTACGACTCAACCGACGGATCATCGCCATCTTGATGTCGACGTGATATCTGAGGCCGTCAAACACTTGGTACGTGCCCAACCAAATCTGAGTGTTCTAACTGTTCAGGCCGAGTTGAAAGATAAGTTTAATATGCAAGTTACTTACAAGAAGGCTTGGTATGGGAAACAAAGAGCATTGGAGAAGTTGCATGGAAATTGGGAAGAATCCTATGATTTTTTGCAAACATTCTTGCGGGTGGTCAAGAGAAAAATGCCAACATCGGTGATTCATTGGGTAAGAGTTCCTTCGACTCAACCAGGTCATTCAATATTTCAGCGAGTATTTTGGGCTTATGGACCGAGTATAGATGGATTCAAGAATTGTCCAGGCGTTATGGTTGTTGATGGAACATTTCTTACTGGGAAGTATAAAGGAGTGCTACTCATGGCGAGCTCATTTGATGGACGGAAGAAGATTTTTCCAATTGCATTTGCCATAGTGGAGAGTGAGAATATTGATAGTTGGCCATGGTTCATAACTCACGTTCAGGGTTTGACTGATCGAAATGATGTATGCATCATCTCAGATAGACATGCAGGACTCTATGAAGCCATGAATAACATCGGAAGAGGTTGGGAGTGGAGGTGGTGCATGCGACACTATGCAAGCAATTTGCAAAGGAAGACTAAAAGCAGAATTATGTATAATCAACTATTTCGAGTCGGTAAGCTTTCTTCATATAATTTTGTTACTTGTTTTCATGTAATTTTGTCATGAATTTATCTAACCCGTGTGGTGGTTTATTTTATTTTGTTAGCCGGAGAAAAACGGTTGGAGAAGTTTGATCGTCAAGTTGAGCAATTTAAAAAGGTGGCCGCTGATAGAAATATTTCATGTGATAACTAGGTGGATCAACATCAGATTCGTTGGAGTTTAGCACACGATAACTACAATGGTGGGCGTCGTTGGTCTATCCTGACATCCAACATAGCAGAAAGCGTCAATGGTATTTTCAAAGGTATTCGTGCACTTCCTATAGCTTCTCTTGTGCAACATACCTATTGGCGATTGGTGGAGAAATTCGATAAGTACAGGTTGGAGACAGGAGCAGAAATTAGGAGTGGTCCTTCACAATTCTCCACCAAGTGCGAAGAGCTAATGAAGGCGTGGTCACAAAAGGCAGTTGGACATTCTGTGACAGCTCTTGATCGAGCTCAAGGCATTTATGTAGTTCACACTCCTCCCAACAATTTCAACATGACGGGGTCAAACACACTCACAGTGCACTTTGACGACCCCAACTGGACGGGATTTTGCACCTGTGGTAAATTTCAAGGAAATAAAATTTCTTGCTCTCATGCCATTGCAGCTTGCAACCGAATGGGTGTTAATGCGTATAGGTTTGTCAACAATGTCTACAAGCTGGAAACAGTGATGGCTTGTTATGAGACAAGTTTCGCACCTCTTGGTGAACCTAAGGGTTGGAAGAAGCATAATGACCCTACTCTCCATCCTAATCTGGACATGATTAGAAAACCGGGGAGGCCAAGATCAACACGAATTCACAACCAGATGGATTGGCCAAGGGAGGGTTCATCATAGCAAGTGTGTAGCAACTGTAACCAAGCGGGACATAATGCATCAACCTGTGGTCGCCAAGCAAGTGGGAGTGGGAGCAACCGAAGAGGGAGTGGTGGCCAACGAAGTGCGAGAGGTGGTAGAAGAGGAGGAAGTAGAGGGAATAGACGTGGCTGAGAAGTTAGTTCGAATGTAGCAGTTGTTGTTTTTCTTTCAATTTATCTCGCAGAAGTTGTTGTTGTTTGGAGTTGTTGTTATTTGAAGAAGTTGTTGTTTGAAGTTGTTGTTTGGACTTTTATGAACTGAACTAGTTGTTGATGTTTGTTGGTTTTAAATTTAAAGTCTCAATTTAGACAATAGCACTAAGAACATCATATTAAAAATAGTCCAAAATAAGTACATAACAATAAATAGTCTCAAGGAAGTACATAATTACTTAACAATAAATAGTCCTCAACCACCACGCCGACCACCACGACGACCACCGTGCTCTGCCACTAGATGGCCGCCAGTACCACACCTCGCTGGCCTCCTGTCTTGTGGAAGCAACTGCTCATCTCTCTCCGGCCCATCATCCTGATCCTGTGTGCCGAACATATCATCTACTTGAGACTGAACATGCTCATCCGGTGCACCCTCTCGTCGCTGCTGCTCATATGCCCAATTAGATGTCTGGAAGACCTGACCCTGAAGCTGCTGATTGACACGCTCCCACTCATCGACGTCCAAATGCAGGTCTGTACTACCTGATCCCATGTGCCCGCCTCCCATCGTAGTATGCTGCGGTGTGTGAAAGCTATCCTCCTGTGGCTGATAATTACTCCTAAATCTATAACAAATCAATTAAAACTATTATATAAAACGAAATGATATATACTAACCACGAATGTCGTGCACTCGTCAAACCACAGCTTGTACAAGTAGAACTAATCTCCATGCTGACGGGTGTGGGCCGGAAGCCACCGAAGGCCACGTGGCACTGCGTCCTGAGTAATGTGCTCACCCGTCACCGCATGTAGTGGTGATGTATGAGGAAACCGCTCCCACGTCCAGATCATCAGCAAGGCGGCCCATCCACCAAAGTCACCACCCAGTGAAGAAGATGCTGTCATCTGCAGCGCCGATCTACCCATCTCACGGTACAAGTACGACAACACAGCTGCTCCCCAAGCAAACCTCCCCGCTCTGCGCCAATCCTCCACCAAAAGTAGGTACTGCAGGTGGACTGAACCTCCAGACCGATCGGAGAACAAGACACCTCCCATCAGAGATAGCGCATACGCTCTTGCAAACTACTCTTTCGTCTGGGGTGATGCAGAAAGCGGCAGCTCATCGAAAGTCTCCCTCAGCCAAGAAATCTGGATGACGCCGCCACCAAGATCAGTAGGAGCCTGTCCTAACAGTCGAAGACACATACCCGACCAGTCCTCGTCGGGTATGTCTACTACGACGGCATCACCGTCGATCGCTAATCCGGTGAGTGTCGCAACGTCCTCTAGGGTGATCGTCACCTCACCGAACGGCATGTGAAATGTCGATGTCTCGGGTCGCCAACGCTCTACGAGCGCAGTAATCAAACCCGGATCACCGGTAAGAGGAGCTAGTGGCAGAACACTAGACAGGCCGGCATCAACGAGATACGGCAGGTACAGTGGATTGAATCGGACTAAATTTCCAGTATGACGAATGTGGAATGGTTGATCACCAGCCTATAATTAATGCACAAAACTATATTAATTCAATTCCTTCAATTCACCTAATATTTATATTTATATATCTAAACTAAACTTTTTCTAATATAATATAATCGTAACTTAATCTAATTCTATTCCTAAAGAAGGTCCGGATCCATCGGAGCAGTATCGATCGTCGCAGGTGGTGCTCTCATCGAACAAAGATCGATAAGCCTAGGAACTGGAAAAAAAAATATTAGAACATAAAAAAAAATATAGAACATTAAAAAAAATAGAACTGGAAAAAACCCGCCGCCGGCGAGTATCCGGCCGCCGCCGGCGAGAATCCGGCACTCACCCCTGTACCGTTCGCCGCCGCCACGCCGCCCTCGCCGCCCTCGGCCTCTTCCTCTGCCGACGGGGGCCTGCTCGTCGTCGGACATCTCGAGTCACCGCTGTTGCTGGGGCTCTGCCGGTTTCTTCTTCGCGCCGCCGCCTCGGTCTGTGGCGTTGCCGCCTCGATCTGTGGCGTTGCCGCCTCGGTCTGTGGCGCCGCCGCCTTAAACTTAGCTTCGCCGCTCTGGTTATTTGCGTCGGCGCTGGTAGGGTGAAGGAGGGGATGGAGGAGGAAGGAGGACGAGAGAGGTGGGAAGGGATGAATGGAGGGAGGGTGTCTACGAGAGGGCGAGGGAGGGGAATTAAAAAACAAAGGTAGCCAGCGACGGCGCCCCAGTCTATGGCGTTGGCGCTATTTTAAATTTTTGAAAATTTCAAATAGCGCCAACGCCATAGACTGTGGCGCCGTCGCTGGCTTTTTCTTTAAAATCGCTATTTGCTGAGTCTCGGGCGCCGTCGCCAACTTCCTCCATCAAAACACAATATTGGTGTAAATACTTTTAAAAACACAATATTCGTGGTAAATTAAAAAAAAACAATATTTATGGAATTAACCCGCGTACATCTTTGTTAAAAAATCCATTTCTTTTTGGATTGTTTCCTGTTTGGTTAAGACTTAAGATTAAGTGTTTATAATTTTCATTGATCTTCAATAATTCTAATTTGGTTCATAAAGATGATTCAGGGTTTTAATTATTATGTTATTTATCAATGTTTTAAAACCTAATGGTACCAATCGGTCAGACAGTAAATATCGAGTACAGAACCCCAAACGAGGCAATTTTAGCGATACAAAATGGTTGAATCATGATTTTAGTACAAAATACATTATTACTAACTTTTTTTGTTATAACTTCCAGTACGGTTTCACAGTCATTGCTATGCTATCTAGATAGTTGGGATATGGATATGGCCTTTTAACTTTTAATATTGAAAGATAATGATTTAATAAGAGGTATTTTATGATTAAAATTTTGAAATTTGGATTTTCCATTGATTGGATGATTGAGGGTTGATTCTAAGAAGTTAAAAAAGGGGAAATCTAGATAAGAGGTTTTTGTTCATGTTTTTTTTTTCTTTTTTTCTTTTTAAGAATTAGGATAAAATATGACATAAATATTGTCAAATGATGAATATTTTTTTTTTTGGATGGAAAAGGGTACACGGTTGAGTTAAGCACTTGAATTATTTGTTAAGTATGATGGACTCGAGAATCTAGATAAGTTATTTAGGTGTATAGCTCATATTCACGAAGGTCTGTCTAACTTATTTATAATTCTTGAATTTAAAGAGATCGAATGAGACAAATCATGGAAAGATATGTTTTTTCTTCTTTTTATTGCACGGGAATGATTACAATATGCTAAGACTTAAATAAATTTGGATAAATTATTCAATTGAGAATTGTTGAGATAATTTATTAAATAATGAGTTCAAGTATTCCTACCAATCGGTCGGGAACATGCTAATTATATAATAAGTGAAGGATAAATTAGTCATTTCACATATCATTTAATCAATATTGTCAGAACCAAGCCGGAGTTTGACCTGGTAACATGAACGACTTGCACTTTATTGGTCCAACCGGTATTTGACCGTTAAAAACCCGTTAAAGAACCGGTACCTTATAAATAATATTATCATAAGTAAAAGACTGATAAAGTAATAACTTAACAATTTAATGAGTAAAATGAAATTTACTTTACATGTATGATTTAGTAATTTGACATTATATAAAACGCCATTAAAAACCCTACCTCCCCAACTTTCCACAGGCGGCCGCCCTCTCCAATCTCTCCTTTACCTTTCCTCCACATTAGTTCTGAAACTCTTCCATTTGTTCAATTATTTTGTTCCGCCTTTTCTCCAACCTCCTCTTCCTCTCCTCCTTCCTCTTCTGAAATAACCCGAAAGCCCATGTCGAACAACAAAGCAAAAGTAAAAATTGGGGCATAATTGAATTCCACCTCGTCATTCATTAGTTTCTTCACTGAAGCCGCCGGCTATGCCTTATCAGTCACTGGGTCGCCGGGCTAAGTCCAAAGAAGTTCGAAAAAGCGGCAGCGCTTGGGAGGGCGTCGACCTTTGACATCATTTTTTTTCATATTTTTTAATATCAAGCGGTCGGCTCCAAAAACCGGCTAGGCGGTTCGAGCGGTTAACCGCTTCGGCCGCTCACCGACCGGCCATTCTGACCGCTACGTTTTTAAACTGACCCAGACCAATTTTGCGTCCGGGTGCCAGTTTTACCGGTCGGACCGACCGGCTCGGGTCGGTCTTAATAACACGGCATTTAACAGTCAACTAATGTAAATAGTGACAGAAGGGTACATTTGTTACAAACTCATAGTTGAAGGGCATATTTGTTACCAAGCCTCACAAATTGATTTTAGCTTTCGACTTAACTTTTTCCTTTTGAAGTTTCAGTTTTCGTCTAGTAAAAAAGTTTGAAACTCTAAGGCTTAAAGCCTTTCTCATTGATGTAGTTGTTCTTATACACAACTCAGTGCAAAACAAGACAACAATCTCCAGCTACCTTGTTGTTTGTGGAAAAAATCTAAAAGTACCACTGTTTAAAAAAACAATTCCAAAAATACCACCCAATCCCAAAAAATTCCAAAAATACCACCCTTTTTCAAAAACCGCCACCCCACCCACCGGTTTACAAGAAAACCGTTTGTCGGGGGCGCGGTTTTTTATGCAAACCGCGGGCCTAGGGGGCGGTTATAAAAAAAAAAATTTGACCAAACCGCTGGGTGGGGTGGCGGTTTGACCCAAAACCGCCACCCCACCCAGCGGTTTGGTCCAAATTTTTTTTTTTTTTCGATAAACTCCTAACTTCGGCCGAAACTTCAAACGAACGTAAATTTGCACTCGGGTATCCGATCGCAGCGATTTCTTTTTTCATTTCGCATAACTTTTCAAGATCTACAACTTTTATTAGGATGAAATTTTCAAAATAGGAACTATTTGTGGATATACGGGACCTTGGGAATAACTTTACCTTTACTTTTCATAAATCCAGGTACATTTTGAAATTATGATTATATTAAAAGTTGTAGATCTTGAAAAGTTATGCGGAATAAAAAAAAAATTCATGACATTCGAATTTTGGAGCACAAAGTTATGGCCGCCCAAAGTTTGACGAAATCAAAAAAAGGCTCGTTCGGGGTGGCAAATGACGTTTTTTCGAGACGAAGACGGGACCCGGCGATTTGCGGCTTGCAAGATCTGAAAAAGCTATTCGGATTCAAAAAATGGAGGCCGCAAACTTTTAGAGATCTTGCAAGCCGCATACCGCCAGGTCTCACATTTCGTCAAACTTTGGGCAGTCATAACTTTGTGCTCCAAAATCCGAATGTTATGAATTTTTTTTTATTCCGCATAACTTTTCAAGATCTACAACTTTTAAAATAATCATAATTTCAAAATGTACATGGATTTGTGAAAAGTAAAGGTAAAGTTATTCCCAAGGTCCCGTATATCCACAAATAGTTCCTGTTTTGAAAATTTCATACTTCTAAAAGTTGTAGATCTTGAAAAGTTATGCGAAATGAAAAAAAAAATCGCTGCGATCGGATACCCGAGTGCAAAGTTACGTTCGTTTGAAGTTTCGGCCGAAGTTAGGAGTTTATCGAAAAAAAAAAAAAATTTGGACCAAACCGCTGGGTGGGGTGGCGGTTTTTGAAAAAGGGTGGTATTTTTGGAATTTTTTGGGATTGGGTGGTATTTTTGGAATTTTTTTTTAAACAGTGGTACTTTTGGATTTTTTCCGTTGTTTGTTTGCTTGAAAAGGAAACAACTACAAGCTTGATAGAAAAGCAACATACAACAATGAAAGGTAGACACATCATTGGTAGCAAAGAGTGAAACGGTGTGCTTTAGCAAAACGGTGAGCATCATCAATTTAAATCATCTTCTTCCTCTTGCAAGTCGCGCTCTGCTCCAACGGTCGAACTGGGATCAAGTGAGGATTTGAAATCCTTGGCTGTTACCCCCCTCCCTCGCAAGCTGGTATTGCGCACACCGAGCTTGGAGATGAGTATACGAAATGGTGCTGGCGACAGTGGCTTGGTGAACAAATCCGCCAACTGATGAGTACTAGAAACATGAAGAAGCTTAACTGTGTGACTGAGCAACGTCTATCAGACAAGGTGGCAATCCAATTCAATATGCTTGGTGCGCTCATGGAAGGTAGGATTTTGAGCAATATAGATAGCACTTTGATTATCACAGAAGAGGGTTTCAGGATGAGCATGTGGAACTTGGAAATCCTTGAGCAAGAAGAGAAGCCATTGAAGCTCACAAGTGGTGAATGCAAGGGCCTTGTATTTTGCTTCATAGGAGGATCGAGAAACCGTCTTCTGCTTCTTACATTTCCAAGAAATAAGTGAGTCACCAAGATAAACGCAGAAGCCAGAGATGGATCTTCGAGTATCTAGACAAGTGGCCCAATCAAAGTCAGAAAAGGCCTTCAATTGAAAAGAGTTTTTGCTATGAAAGAAGAGCCATGTTGCAGGAGCAGATTTGAGGTAACGAATGACCCTCTGAACAGTTTTGAAATGTTGAATACTTGGATTAGCGATGTATTGGCTGAGTTGCTGAGTAGTATAGCTTATATATGATCTAGTGGTAGTTAGATAAATGAGTTTACCACCTAGAGTCTTATAGAACTCAGGGTCTTCGTATGGAGTAGAACACTCATTAGACAGATGTAACTTGTAATCCATAGGGGTCGAAGCAGTTTTGGAATCAATAAGATTGGCTTCTTCGATTATCTCCAGAGTATATTTTCTTTGAGAAATGTGGATACCAGTGGCATTCCTAGCCACTTCAATTCCAAGGAAGAACTTCAAAGTTCCCATGTCTTTAATGCTGAATTCTGAATGTAAAGCAGTCTTGAGTGCTTCAATCTCTGTTAAATCATTTCCTCCCAGGACTAGATCATCCACATAAATCAGAATACAGGTATAACTGGTAGAAGTTGCTTTGTAAAAAAATGAGTGATCAGCTTGACTTTGCACAAATTTGTAAGTGTTAAGCTTATCTGTAAGCTTAGAAAACCATGGTCGAGAGGCTTGTTTCAAACTATATAGAGACTTCTTGAGCTTGCAGACAGAGTTAGTGAAACCAGGAGGGGGAGTGTAACCTTTTGGAAGGGACATGTAAACCTCTTCTTGTAAATCTCCATGGAGGAAGACATTATTCACATCCAATTGGTGAATATGACAATTCAGCTATAGCCCAAAATAACCTGACAGTAGTCATCTTGATAACAGGAGTAAAGGTGTCCTGATAATCAACACCTTCCCGTTGAGTACGCCCTTTGGCAATCAGTCTAGCACGAAAATTTATCCAAAGTTGCATCAGGATTAAGTTTCACTTTGTAAACCCACTTGTTTTCAATAGTTTTCTTGCCCGGTGGCAAGTTGACCACATCCCAGGTATTGTTCTTGATAAGGGCACCAATTTCATGCTGCATAGCAGCATTCCACTACTCAGACAGTGTTGCTTCCTTGTAAGTGTTGGGCTCTTGGTTGGTAGAAAGAGTGAGTACAAAATGTTTATAATGTGGTGAAAGAGAATTGTATGAAAGAGATAAAGAAAAAGAGTACCTTTTGTCTTGAACCTGTTGATGAGAAGAATGACATGGTTTAGCAGACTGCCGAAGTATATAACAATGATAGTCTTGGGTTAGGTGAGAAGGGCGTTTGGACTGTCTGTCTGATCATCATTGAGGAGGAGGTGGGGTTGGAGGTGGAGGTGTAGGTTGATTAGGGGAATCAGAACCCACTGAAGAAGAAGTAGCAAGGTAAGAGAATGAGGGTCAGGAGGAGGAATGGGTGAAGGAGGTTGTGATGAATGGGAAGGGGATGGGGAACTAGGATCAAGAGGAAATAAATTAGGGACTAATTATGAGGTGGTGGTAGGAGGGATGTCTTCAGGATGAATATATGGTGATGGTGTAGGAAACATAAAAGGGGAATCAGAGGAGGTGTTTATCAAATTGTGAAATGGAAAATGGCTTTCATAAAAAATGAGATCCCTAGATACAAAAGTGTCATGAGATGATAGGTCATTGATAGCATCGTATTTGCACATGTTTTCACCCTTGTTTCCTGACTATTTTAGCTCGAATTTGTTGTTCCTTGGCCTATTTTACGCTAGGTTGTGTTGTTTTGTCATATCTCAGGTCCTAGCAAGTAAAGAGGTGCATAGGCGCAAGTTTCGGGTCATTTGGAAGTCGGGTTGCATTTCAAAGAGAAAATTACGGGCAGCCCCTGCACAATTACGGTTGTAATTTCTCCTGGCATGCCCGTAATTTCAATGTCGAGCCTAATTCTTCAGAATTCCTGTCGCAGAGACAATTACGGGCAAGGGTCATATTGATTACGGTCGTAATTCCATAATTACTGGCAGTATTTGGGAAATTACGACCGTAAATCCTTTCTTCCGAGTCAAGTGAAACACGCGTTTTGGGCAATTACGGGCAGACCATGATTACGACCGTAATTCTGGCCATAATTCTCCCAGAATCGAGTTTTTGAGGCAGAATCGAGCCAAAGGAGAGGAAATCGACTTTTGAGAGCAAAAATCCCGGAGCAGATTTTCCTCATCTTTATGAGTATGACTACTCTGATTTCTTTTTTCCTCTCTCTCTCTATGGAGTAGAACTCTCTCTCACTTGGGTATGAAGAACCCTAGTTCCATGTGTTAGGAATCTTGATTGTAATTATGTTTGGATTGTGATATTGCTTGATTATATTCGATTGAAGTGTTTTAATTGTGTCAATTGAAGTCTGATCACCTTTTATTGATTTCTGCTGCAACCTGAGATAGATAGAATCTGATTAGGTTGTTAGAGCTTCTTCAATCGGTAGTAGTGAGTAGATTATACGAGAGTTAGTCGATTCACTGCTTTGTACTGGAATCTAATTCCAGTAGTGGAGTTCTGTGTTCATTGCCTCGGCGTTCTATCCCGGTGAAGACTAGTCGCCTGCCGGGTAGTTTGACTGAGAGGGCTTAGTCAGCTTAAGAGATTCCAAGCTACTGTCGGATCTTCCGCAGTATAATCAGCAGTAAAGCAACTAAAAGTAATTACAACTGTGACCTAACTAAGGAGCTAGGGGGACTCATTCGCGAGTGACTCTTCCTTTGCTTTAGAAAACCGAATCATTTCCTGCTTTCTTACTGCATTTAGTTAAAACCACAACCAATCGACCTAGTTGGCTAGATAATAGATACTCACGGAGTAGGCAGTAGATCTAGACTCCGAGTTGATAAATAGACTTGCCACTTTACTGCATTCCCGGACTGCGATTACACTTGGTCGCAGTTTGGTGTTGTGTCGTAGCGTGTCTGTCATATATTTTGTATCCTTTGATACCTGATACAAATCCAATGAAAATTCATTTCCTGGCTCTGGATGCAAATTTAGTTATGTGGTTTGCTAATGTGCAGGCATAACACAGAGAACCAAAAACCTTTAAGTCTGATAGATCAGGAATGGTGTTGTGAAGTTTTTGGAATGGTGTTTGGCTATCTAGGATTGGAGTAGGAACTCGGTTAATAAGGTAAACAGCATGTTTGACACTGTCACCCTAGAAACCAGGTAAAGCAACTTGGAACATAAGAGCCCTAGTAACAGCAAGGATGTGCTTGTGTTTCTGATTTGAGTTTAAGCAAGAGAATCCAAGTCATACGAGAAAAATCATCAACAATTGTTAAAAAATATTTGAAACCATCATAAGTAGGAACGGGGTTGGGACCCCCAAATATTGACATGAATCAACTGGAAACATCTTTATGTTACAGTTTGACTAATGGGAAAAGGAAGTCTCATTTGCTTTGCAAAATGACACACATCACAGGGCTGATCTTTAAAGATCTGAATGGAGGTACAAAATGGACTGAGGTAAGGAACTCTGGTATGAGAAACATGCCCTAACCTAAAGTTCCAAAGATAAAAAATAGTGGCCCTAGCAGTAGTGATGAGTTTAGGTTTGCAGTCTACTTCTAGGTGGTAAAGAGCATTGATGAGCCTAGCAGAACCAATCATTCTCTTCATCTCCAGGTCCTGTATGAGACAAAATTCAGGATAGAAATTCAAGTATAAAGGTTTTCTAGTGGTAAGTTTGCTCATTGAAACAAAGTTGAAGGTGAAGTGAGGGACAAACAACACTTCTTCAAGAAAAAAGAGAGGAACTACACTTAGTAGTGCCAATGTGGGTAGCTTAAATTTGTTCCCCTGTAGGCAAGGTAATGAAGATATTGTCTACCTTCAAATAATCAGACAAGTAGTCTAAAGAGAAAGTGATATGGTCTGAAGCACCAGTATCCAGAATCCAATCAGTGAAATTCTTGAGATACTGTGGTTTACTGGGAATGGAACAAAGGAATTTACCTGGAGCTGAAGAGTTGGAGACATAAGCAGCTGCTGAGAAAGAGGATCCATGTTGAGGGTTCATTAAAGCCATGAAGTCTGTCATAGTCTTTTTTGGTGAGCTTGACTTCCTGGTCTGATGTTTTAGCAACAGTAGAGTTGACAAACTGCTTGCCTCTGTTGTTAGACGAGGAAGCAATCCTGACAGCCAGATGTGGAGGAAAGCCATGCTTCTTAAAACAACGATGGGTGGCCTGACCTTTGACAATATGTGTATTCAATTGGACTAACAGGGGTAGCAGGGGGTCTTTGATTCATACCAGGTGGCCAACAATGGATATGATAACAGATATCCTGAGTATGACCTTCCTTCTTGTAGTGAGTGCAGAAGGGTCTTTTAACAATTGGAGGAAATCTCTTGTTGCCTCCTTGGACAGCCATAGCCATAGAATCAGTGGTAGCATAAGCTACCATCTTACCCTTCTGAGTACCATAGATTTGTCTCTCATGTTGCAAGAGCCTTTGAAACACCCTATTAATGTTTGGTAATTCTTCCCCAAATAGAACTTGTGCCCTAACTCCAGCATAGTTTTCATTCAATCCTCTAAGGAATTTGATGACACAGTTGGTATCATGGTATTCTAAATCCTTCTTCATCGCCCGACATTCTGTATGACTAGTAGGAGGTTACCTTGATGAAGGGAAGATAAGGCTTCTTCAAACTCAGCAACATGTATGAGATCACCAGAACCATATCTAGACTGCAAACTCTTCCAGACATCAATAGTTGTTTTGCTAGAAAGAATATTCTTTTGAATCTCTGAGTCTACTACTTGTTGAATCCAACTTAGAATCATAATGTTGTTCCTTGTCTAGGCACCATGAAGCATATCTATAGGGGATGGCTCAGGAATCAGACCATTGATAAAACCAAGTTTGTTCTTGGCATCAAGAGCATTGTACATGGCTATGCTCCAATCGTTGTAGTTGGTAGGAGTATGCTTCTCGCCAACCAAAAGAAGATCAGGCTGCTCAGATCCATGTAAGAAGAAGGGATCTTCGAGCTGGTAAAGGTTTAAAGATTGTTGTGGTTGGGGCGGTGGTTGTGGTTGTGGTTGAGGGTGTGGTTCTGGGGGTGGCTGTTGATCATTGTTGTTAACGTTTACAGCCATGGCGGCGGGAGCAAAGTTAGGTCAAGGGCTCTGATACCATAACAAAGGTTGAAACCCTAAGGCTTAAGACAAGGCTTCTTCCAACTCAGCAACACGTATGAGATCACCAGAACCATATCTGGACTGCAAACTCTTCCAGGCATCAGCAATTGTTTTGCTAGAAAGAATATTCTTTCGAATATCTGAGTCTACTGCTTGTTGAATCCAACTTAGAATCATAATGGTGTTCCTTGTCCAGGCACCATGAAGCAGATCTGTAGGGGCTGGCTCAGGAATCAGACCATTGATAAAACCAAGTTTGTTCCTGGAAGCAAGAGTAGTGTACATGGCTTTGCTCCAATCGTTGTAGTTGGTGGGAGTAAGCTTTTCACCAACCAAAAGAAGACCAAGTTGCTCAGATCCATTAAGAAGAAGGGATCTTCAAGCTGGTAAAGGTTTGGAGGTTGTTGTGGTTGGGGTGGTGGCGGTGGCGGTGGTTGAGGGTGTGGTTGTGGTTGTGGTTCTGGGGGTGGTTGTTGACCATTGTTGTTAACGTTTTCAGCCATGGCAGGGGAGAAAATTTAGGTCAAGGGCTCTGATACCATAACAAGGGTTGAAACCCTAAGGCTTAAAGCCTTTCTCATTGATGCAGTTGGTTCTTATACACAACTCAGTGCAGAACAAGACAACAATCTCCAGCTACCTTGTTGTTTGTTTGCTTGAAAAGGAAACAACTACAAGCTTGACATAAAAGCAACATACAACAATGAAAGGTAAAAAAATGACACAACATTGGTAGCAAAGAGTGAAATGGTGTGCTTCAGCAAAACGTTGAGCATCATCAATTTAGATCATCTTCTTCCTCTTGCACGTCCCGCTCTGCTCCAACAGTCGAACTGGGATGAAGTGAGGATTTGAAATCCTTGGCTGTTATCTAGCCTATAGATAGCTTGAGAAAAGCATAGTAACACAGTAGCAAGGTTGGAGAGGAATTGGGTGTTAAGTGGGGTTTGGCTTTTTCAAAGCCAAAGTTTGGAGTTGGTGAGTTATACTTATTTCTCTTCTCCTCTTTTTCAGTGGCAAAGACGAAATTTGAAACTAGGTTTGTTCTTTTTATAAAATGTAATTGTTTTAATGAGAATTTCATGTTTAGTATAATAAATCAATATGATGGAAACCAAGTAACAAGAAGTGAGCTTTAATGCAATGAAAAAAATACTCTTATATTACCTCAAGATGATGAGTTTGATCCCTTGTATTAACAAATGTGGGTATATATAATTCTTTTTATCAAAACTTACTTGTATCATGTGACATCCAAAACCCTCTCTCTCATGTGCCCCTTTTTTCGGACCTAAAAAATGCCACACCCACCCTGCTACTTGCTTTTTTACCAACCCTTTTCCCATCCAATGGTTACATGTCTCTCCCACAATGTGTTCATGGCAATTTTGATATGACATGTCTTGTCTAACCTGAATTGGGGCAGGTAATATCATGATCATCTACAACCTTATATGTTTTGATCTGCCCATTCTTGATTCGTTTTGTCTAAATTATATGTAATTTTATTCGAATTACTTAGCATTTTACTTTTATTGCATAATATTTTGGCCATAACAAAGTGATAAATAGGTGACCCATGATTTCTTGAATAATTAACCTACATCTATATGTCTTAGTTTGTTTCTTGATATTTTAATAAAAAAACTAACTTTTAAGTGGTTTTCATTAAAATACATATATGTATGTGTCGGCCTGCTCTAACTTGCACCCCGGACATATATTAGAGCAGGACCAGACCAAAAAATTTTATTTTAATTCAAAATGATCAATATGTAGAATCCGAGCAAGTGATTGCTTGCCAAATGACTAATATTGATACTAGTTTTATGCCCGCCCGACGGGCGGCGAGTTCATTTGTTTGTACTTTTCCTTCTATTATTTGTCATTTTTCCAATGGTAGCAGATTCCTACTTTTCATATTTATTTATGATTGTTATCTATTATCACTGACTTATTTGATATGAGGGTTGCTACATTTACTCTAGGTTTTAATGATGATCAATAATAAAGTCAAACAACGCTGTAACTTAATCACCGCTTGGAAAATATTATTCATGACCATTGAATCTTTGATTGACCGACAATTGTCAACTTCATAAGTTGTACATGGTTTAAGCTCGTGTACACCACCTTACTGTACTCCTATAGAGTTGGTATTTAGACCATAAATTAACGGAGTTTGGCACATGATGTTATACCATATTCTCTAATAGGCGAAACACAGTCTTTAATTCTCTAATCCAAATCGTACGATTCATTTAATGAAAAATAATAACCACTGATTCCTATTTGTCAATATATATTAACATACAACTAATAGGTATGAATGAAGGTGCATATTACACCTCGAGTGTACGCTAGCCTTTTCCACCATTATATCAAAGTCAACCAAACTATTCTGCTATGCTTCTTACCTTCAATATTGTACGTATGATATCAAAGCAAATGTTAGTTATGGAGACACTTTGTCTTCACTTCACATTATCCTCCAATATTTAATATGTGACTGACTGTAACTGGAATTGTATGATAACTTAATACAAACATAAATGTGCTCTGTTGTGCAATCAGTATAGTAACTGAATTTACAAGACATCGTCATGATATGATCCTGCGTTGGTTTTACAAGACACCGGTGCGGGTACGTCCCACCCTATATACATGACATCAGTTAGGGTATGATCTGCAATGGATTTATAGGACACCAGTCTAGGTACGATGTGGTGGTATGCATGTCATCTACTATACTACCCGAGGAGTGTATGACTTGGCAAATTAAGATGTAAAATGCAATGAACCTAACCATGCATGTGATTGAATCATTGTATAAATATTACTTATGATGTGGTTAAGTGATGACTTTCTATGATGTGATATATGAAATGTGCAAGTCGATGATGATGGTTTTCTATAATGTTTTATACTATGATTTAAGATTGGATGATATGATGTTTTGCTATGTTGGGACAGGGTTACATGGTAATGCTAGTATGATGTGATATTTGACGCATAAATGTTTAAACAGTGAGTTATCAAGGGACTGGTTGATGGTCCTTATGTTGTGATGTATGAATTCTTTGAGTTTGAGATGATGAATGTGATATGGCATGTGGTGATGAATGGATGTTTATTTGACTGAATATTATATAGCATATCGGATATATCTTGACAGTTAAGTTAAGCCAATAAGGCCTGAGAGGTGGGTGACGGGAAACTGAGTAATCCATATTTTGCCATGGTCAATGGGAGTGACAATAAGTCATTTTGAACTATACTCTTAAAGGTAATGGAGAATATATAGATCATTAGCTTATGAGCAAGGTTATCCGGCAAGTATAACTGGTTACTAAAAATAGTAATAGTAATATATGTATTAGGGTGTCACATTAAGTAAGGATTAAAATAGTTATTTACATATCAACCATCATTTACAAATCTTGCTTGACTTAGGTGTTATTCATCTAAATATGACTCAAAGTTGCACATCTATACTCATGTAGGGAAAAGAAATGAACTTATGTCAAACAATAAAAAAAGAAAAGAAAGGAATTATAATTACATTAGGAAAAAGTAAAGAATGTGTTTTATAATTGTGCATGGAAGAATATTTAATGACGTACGGAAAATAAAAAGAGAAAGAAGTTGGAATAACATAAAAGAAAAGATAATGATATCATTTTAATATGCGAGAAATGCCAAATTCAATCCCAAAAAGGACAAATGCATTATGTATATGTACATGACTTTTTTGTAACTTCTTTCACCAATTGGTCACAAACATATTTAAACCATATAACTATAATTTGGTTTTGAAAAATATACAAAAGAATTTGGTGACCATTGGTGTCTAGTGATATTCTTAAACACATGAAATTTTTTGTATATATCACTGTAGCATATGACTGAACTATGTTGATATATTTCAGATATTTATAGTAGGTATTTTCTAACAAATTGCAACATAACTACATTGGTTCACATATTTATAGTAGTTCGTACAAACAAAATGTTAAATTTTTCGTGTTCTAGAATGCAGAAGAAGATTATTCTTTACTTTTCATTTTTCAATTTTAAAAGATAATCCCATGTCAAATTATTTAAAATTTTATAATTGTATACCAACTAAATTTATGGTTTTTCGGATTTTTTTATTTATTTTTAAGAAATTATAACAATTATGAAACATTATAAACTAAAAATAATTTATTTGTAGATGTTAATGATATCAATGCTAAAAAATAGAATACAAAATTGTAACCATGATAGCTATTCTATTGGTTAAAAATAGTTGTGATTAATTGCATGAAAGATATTTTATTCTATTGGTTAAAAAATTGAAATGATTACAATTTGAGCTTCTAGGTTACATGATTAAATCTTAGTTATGGTGATAGATATACATGTTTTGTTGTGATTAATAGCATCAAATATACTTTATCCTGGTGGTTGAACATTTGAAATGATGATAGTTTGACCTCATAGGTCGTAGGTTCAAATCTTTGTGATGATGATTGATATAAATGTTTATTTATTTTTATTTTAATGTAACTAATAACTTAAAATGTTAAAAAAGACAAAATGACATGGAAAATTGTGGAGCTTCCGTTGTCCTATGTGGCAAAAACTTGCTCCACAACGGCCATATTATAAGTTAAGATAAGATAAGATTAAGATATCCAGCCTACTTGTCCTATTATCATTCCTAATACCATGGCATATCATCCTTGGGAATGGCAACGAGTCGGGGGAGGATAATACATATCCATTACACCTCTAAAAATAGTTCGAGTTTTACCTATATTCATATTCATATTCATACAAGAACTGGTTAAATTTCAAAATCATGTCAATACTCGATCGGATTTTGGGTTTCCATACAAGTAAAACCATTATGCTAACACGAACAAGGGTTTGGCCTAGTGGTCATACCACTAGCCTATAACCTGGAGGTCCCCGGTTCGAATCCCTTCCGTAGTACCTTAATCACAAAATTTTAAACCTATATCACCCTTATCCAAAAAAATAACTACGCGTATACTGACATTATATAATTAATAAATTACTAGAACGAGAAAATTAGTTAAAAACAATTCAGTTTCATGAAAATATTATATATGTATGATAAATATAAACTATGTTAAGAAAAATAATGATTAGTTTCAAACAAATATATATACATGTGTATAATCGGGGGTTCGAGAGTGATAGTGAGAAACCCATGTCCATCCATCAACTGCAATATTCGAATTCTAGTTTTACCCATATCCATAAAAAAATCTTTCAAGTTCGAGTATCACCTTACCTGATTTTGTTGAATTCGATCAGGTATTCACGAGTATGGTTATTTTTGTCATCCCTAATCATCCTAGTTTAGCTTAAAACAAGAGCTATCTGACCATTTTGTACAGATATCAAAATTATATGACCAATCTGGATAAAGTACCGATTATGATGAACAAATACTTGCTCTTCAAAAGGCTTTTAGATTTGGCAACCTGAACATCCCTTCAAGGTTGATCTCTGAGAGGGAGCAAGAACCGAAGTCGTAAATCCAACGGACGGGAGCAATGCTTCCCAATGTAAACACTAGACTGTCCTATAATGCCTATGTTTGGCCGACTTTTAGAAGAGTTTTTCGGCTTTAAAAGCTGAAGCAGCGCCAAACACCTCTAAAAGCTCGGTTTTTGAAAAGCCGAAAAGCATTTTTGTATAACATAAAAGCAGAAGCTCCGATTTGAAACTTCTGCGAAAAGCGGTTTTGAAAATACAAGATTATCCTTATCATATTTTGATTTTATTTCAGAAAATATAATTTTCCTTCATTTATATCATTTTAAAAATAAAATAAATAATGAAATCATATTATTTAATACAAAAGAAATCTAATAAGATCCATTTTTTATAATTAGCAATTTCCATTAAAGCACACTCGTTGCAAGCTGCACGAGTCAAAAACATACAAGACAGTAAGCTGTCCAACGTAAAACTCCCAAGGAGTAACAGAAAGCAGAAAAACTATCTACTGAGGTCCAATGATCTTATATAAATCCGACATACTCTGAAGCATGGTTTGAAACTCAAAATTGCCTCTACTAAAAAGGTGAACTTCATCTCTCATCATGGATGGTAGAAGCTCAGGTTGTCAAGGGCTTACTCCAAATACTCTATTGCAGCGTTCTCTCCAGATAAACGAGATAGACCAGCACCATATGAAACACTCAAGCAAACTTCTGCTGTCAGTACGTTTAGCTTTGTGGGACATCAGCTGCATCATTTCCTCCCACGTAGCAGGCAGTTGGATATTAGTTCTGAGAAGATAAGAGAGGAATGCAGAGGTGAAAGCACACTCACAGAACAAGTGCTTCCGATATTCACAAACTGCTGCACAAAGAACACAACTATCATTCGTTGTTAATCCCCACATCATGAGCTTGTCTCTCGTGGAGATTCGATTAATAATGATGAGCCACGCCAAAATTCTGCATCTGGGCAGAGCGAATTTGCCCCAAATGATCTTCCACCAGGTAACGATAGGTTGTCTGATACGCAAGGTGTTCCAAAAGGTGGAAACAGAGAACCTGATGATCTTGTTCCCAAGCCAGGTAACCTCTCCATCACTATCCACTCCCATTCTAAACTGTAGCCAAGATCTGATTTTGAGGACCTGTTTCCATATCATGATCCTGCAGCTGTTAGTTTCACCTCTTAAAGGGAAGTCCCCCTTAGTCTATAGCGGGAGACCCAAGCAACCCAGAAACTTCCTCCCCGAACAAGAAGAAGCTAGATGAGCCTGGCAATGCAGGTTATATTTCAAGAGATTAAATCCTTCAGACCTAAACCTCCTTCGTTCTTTGGTAAGGCTATATGCTCCCAGGCAACTTTAGCCCTCCCTGACTTGTCACCATCCCAAAGAAAATTAGAACAAGCTTTCTGGATAGCTTTGATTACTTTCTTAGGAATAACAAAAACCACCATCCAGTAATGAATGAGGGAATAGAAGACCAATTCAATGAGTTGTAATCATCTCCCATATGATAGAGTGATGGCCCTCCAGCTACGAATCCTCCGAGTCAATTTGTCAATGAGCATAGTACATTCATGGTTGGAAAGCTTACCTGTAGTCAGAGGGAGGCCCAGATATCTAACAGGAAATTGCCCTTCTCTGAACCCTGAAGATCACAATGCAATAAGCTTAAAAACATGAGCTTGACCACCAAAGAACACTTCACATTTCTCAGGGTTACATTGCAACCCCCGAGAGTTGATTGAACCTATCCAAGACAGATTGAACTCTAGATAAAGCCCTTGCTGAACCTTCAGTGAATATTAGAAGATCACCGGCGAAGCAGATGTGAGTGAGGTCAACTCTCTTGCATTGTGGATGGAAAGGGATCACATTAGAGGCTCCAGCTTGATTTAAAAGACCAGTAAGTGGTTCCATATCGATGGTGAAGAGGTAGGGGGATAGATGATCCCCCTGCCCGACCCTTTTTGCAGATTGAAAGAAACCAAAAAGACTTTCATGTATCGAAATACTAAAGAACGCAGAGTTCAGACATACCAGAATCCAATCGAGAAAAAGCTGTGGGAATCCCATATGGCTCATAACACAGATAAGATACTCCCAGTTCACTGAGTCGAAAGCTTTTTTAAGATCTATCTTATCTGCACACCTGGAAGACAACTGCATTCTATTGTAATTCTACACTACTTCTTGGGCCATTAGAATATTTTCCAAAATGCTTCTTCCTTGGATAAATGCAGACTGATTTCTACTTATTACTTAAGGGAGAATAGTTCTAATCCTATTGGCCAGGACCTTTGCAACAATTTTGTATAATATGTTGATGCAGGCAATAGGTTTATAAGCATTGAGGTTATCAGCGTTGGGAGACTTTGGGATTAAAGTAAGAGATGATGCGTTCATACCTCGAGGGAGGGTTTTGTGATGAAAAAAGTGATGCACTCCTTCAATGATATCAGAGCTCACAATCCCCCAGTTTCTTTGACAGAAACCTGTTGTCTGACACGTCCCGTCTCTTTTCAAAAACCAAACCATAACTCCAACCAAAAACCGGTTACTCTGGAGCAACCCAAACCACATTTTAAAATAAACAACCGACATTATTTGAGAATTTTTAACGAAAAGCCCCAATACTTGGACAAAATTATCAATCTCCAACACTTAAAACGACTTAACACAGAATCTCCAGTTTATACTAATAACCATGAAACATAATAATTAACTAATCTAACTTGACTTCTCACGAGCTTTCCGATATCCCGTCGACGCTGGTACTGCTACTCGCCTCACCCTGCTTCTTCCCGTGTTCCACTTCTGCTAGACTATCATCAACCTGGTGAATGAGAAGGGGTCAGTCTCGTCGTTACTTCCTAAGGTCTTTGCCCTAGGCAAACTCCTTACTAAACACGTTATTAGGGGAATGCCTTCCTAGCATGAAAGTCGTTCTCGCTTTCTGCTCTTAAATAACCATTCTTATCAACTCATTTCAACATTGACTCATAAAAGTTCTCGACCTCTATCCTTATCTCAACACAAAACACTAGGACCACCACGTTACGTCTCGCCGTCCGGTGTCCTACTCTAGTATGCCAACCGCGTTACGTCTCGCCGTCCGGTTTTATACCCAAACTCCGCAATGGCACTGCGTTACGTCTCGCCGTCCGGTCCATGCCCGTCAATTACTCCGTTACGTCTCGCCGTCCACTAGTGACCCCAACATACTCGATCAACTGCTGCGATACGTCTCGCCGTCCAACAGTGACCCGACCATCTACCGCGTCCAGTAGTGGCCCAACCGCCCGGGGGTTCCTCATACCATCAACCATACAAGCATACATACATTCATACATAGCACAACGCGTGCCTCCACCCTTACAGGCGGTGGGATGCCTCACACACATATCGCGCATACTAGAAAAATTAACTAAATAATAACTTGAAATAAAAGGCATAAACTAAAAGACCTCGACTGAGATATTACCCCCTTTACACTCACCTCGAAAAGCTAACTCCTCAATTCCTTCCTCGAAGAAACCCCTCCTTAGCCGGATTATCTTGGGGAAACCTATTAATAAGAATCCATTTTCTTAGACGACCTTTCTTGATTTAAAACCTCCTTTTGAATCACTAGAACATTCTCTCCTCAAACTCCAGTCCTTGAACCTCGTTCCAAGGGTGCTTTAACCCACACTAAAATTTTCTAGAATTAATCCCTTAAAAAACGACCATTTTTCTTAATTATTTTAGTCTTGCACGAATTTTCCACCTAACTAGAACCTTCTACAAATTTTGGATAATAATTTTCCCATGTCAATCATGAGCCCCTATACCCTAGAAAATTATCAAACCCTTAAAAACCCCTCGGAAAGATTTTTATTTAATTAAAACGAATATTAAAACAATTTCTAAAAATAGAAATACATCTCCAACATTTTCCAAATTAAATTAAAATCATCTCCTATACGTCTCTTAATTTATAAAATTGTTAGATCCAGAAATCAAACCTTCAGAGAGGCACGAAATAATTTAGAACATCCAAAAATACTTTTCTGGAAATTCTCAGAAGCTTTAATGACCAATCAAAATCTGTCACTAAAAGCCTGTTGCTAAAACCCAGAATTGCACCCCTCACAAAAAAATCACCAAATCGATCTATCTAACTCAAAGGGATCGAGTTCCCTTACCTCTAGAAAGTGCCTAGGCCTAGGTTGGATGACCCGTGACGTTGATCTCCTTATTGATCGAACCCTCAACGTCACCGCTAATAAAAATACGAGTTTCGGATTAGACTATCGATAAATCGAGTGTAGAGATCGCGAAGGGGTTCGTGATCCTTACCTAGAAACACGAGAGGGATGGAATCAGGATCGAAATCGGCTGTCGACTCGCGTGGGCTGGGGAATTAATCGGCGGCGGCGGGGCTCGAGTTTTCTCGCGGCTGCGACTGTTGCTTCTCGTGGCTTGGGTTTATAATGGTGGGGAGGTGGGGAAATTAAATGGGATGGTGGGGAAAAGATTGAGGGCCGCTCGGCCAGGTTTATAATTTTTTTTATTATATTAATAATAATAATTACATTATAATAATAATATTATTATTCTTATTCCGCGATTGTAACTCTTTAGTACTTAACCGTCAATCCAACCGATCACATATTAAGGTCGAACCTAAATCTAAATTATCAGGGTGTTACATTGTCCATCCGTCTGGCCCAGGGGCCTTTGAACCATCCATCGCGAATAAAGCATCTTTGATCTCTTGCCCCGTGACTGGAATGCAAAGTGAATCCTAATGCTCCTGACTTAGAGTGCTGAGCAAGCAATCTTGAATGATCTCTCTATCCACTTTGACTTCACTATTGATAATGCCAAATAGACCCTTGTAATATGAAACCGCTTCACCAGCAATGTCCTGTGTATCATTTAACTCCTTCCCATCATTTATAATAATCTTCCTGATCTTCTTGCGAGCAGCACGGATAATGGCAGACTTATAGAAGAATCCTGAGTTATGATCCCCCAAGGTGAGCCACCTAATTTTTGATTTTTGTCTATAGAAAGCCTCCTCCATTTTGACCAGATCAGCATAAGCCTCAATAGCCTCACTCATTTCTAATAAAAAGCTGGAGCAGGATTGTGCAAAGCCTGAAGTTGTAAAGATCGAACCTCCTCTCTTTTGTGTTTAACCCTCTCTGAAATATCTGAGAAAGAGTGCTTGTTGAGCTTGCGTAGTTCCGTCTTGAGCAAATACAACTTCTACTTCACAACAAAGAAACCCCTTCCAGAAACCTTTTGCTTCCATGTGTCTTAAAGAATATCGTGATAAGAATCATGTTGTTCCCACATATCAAAATATCTAAATAGGTTGGGGAATTTCCTTACAGGAACCTTAGGTATAACCAGCATTCCACAATGATCAGAGAAATCAGGAGCAAGGAATCTAGCAACACATTCTGGAAAGATATCAAACCATTCAACATTTACCAGAATTATATCCAACTTTTTAGCAATTGGATTGACCTGTTGTTGATTATCCCAAGTAAAGACAATACCAGTAGTTGTGTGATCCACAATTTCCATTTTATCAACCCATGCACGAAAATCAGGCATGCTATTACTGATTGATACCTCATTAGAAGATTCAGATAGAGCCAGAATAGCGTTGAAATCCCCACAGATGAGCCAAGGAGCACCTTGGATCTTCCACTTGCTCAGCTCTTTATAAGTCACGAGCCTCTCCTTTTCATCATTGGATCCATATATTGCCGTGAAAAAGAATTTCTCACCCTGCCTTGTTGAAACTGCAGTGCGAATAAAGTGTGACTCTTCTGCTAGAACACTTAAAGTGATATAATCATTCCAACTAATCCAAATTCTCCCCAACGGATGCTTAGAGTAGTTATCTGCAAACTGAATATCAGGGAACTAATGTATCGAAGCATATCATTATGTTTCGAGGGGTTGTTGAAGCTAGGGATGGCAACTTTGCCCATACCCATGGGTAGAGTTTGATGGGTTTGTACCCATACCCATTTACTTTGGGTTGAGTTGGGTTTATATCAAATGGATTTGGGTTTGTACCCATGCCCAAATACAAATTACAGTTTGGTACCCAAACTTAATAGGCATGCATATTTAGTACCTAAATTTAATTTTTTTTGCATATAAGTCCTCAAAATATCGATGGAAAATTACGTTTTGGTACCTAAATTTTTTTGGTCTTACATTTTGGTACCTAAACTTTTTAAGTTTTGCAAATAGGTCCAATTTTTGCATGTGTAGTTAAAACACCCTCAAGTAAATGGATATCCATATCCAACACATACCCATTTAGATTATGGAAGCCCCAAACCCAAACCCATCTATGAACCCCCAAATCCATATGCACTTCACCCATACCCAACCCATTATCAATGGGTCTACTTGGGTTTGGGTATAATTACCCATGGGTGGGTAATTTGCCATCCCTAGTTGAAGCCCCTTGTATTCCAAGTGAGGATTGTCATTTGCGAAGAGCAGTCATGGCCTTCTTCCTCCATTAGCAGACTCAATAGGGATAACTAGCGGAGTCTTCTTCCTCCAGACCTTCTTGGTGTTAACCCCAGGTGGAGGAAGAGAGCAGTCATGCCCAAAAACCCCCCACAATGAGCACAACAACTCGGTAAGCCACAGTACTCGACATTGATAAACATTTCCTTCATATTGTCCGAAATGATGCTAATCCTGTTTACCCGTGGTTTCTTCGCCTGAATCTCAACACAAATTCGCACAGTACCAAAATTTTCCCTACGAGCAGTGGAATGATCCATACATAGTGGTCTACCCAGAGAACTAGCAATTCTCCCCAACCCCTCCCTGGAAGCTAGCTCGGTCGTAAGACCTGAGAGCTTTATCCAAGCTGGAATAGCCGAATTATCGATCTCCATCGCCTGAATACCTGGTTCCCAATGCCTGAGACAAATAATCTTGTCCTTGTAGTGCCAAGGACCTCCCTAAAAAACCCATCGACACACCGATTCAGACGGAAAGTGGAATAGAACAAGGCGGTCCTCTAGCAGGGAAACTTTTACCTCTCCTTCCTTGCCCCAAATCCAGTTTGCCCAAAACCTTAGAGTCGAGACTGACGGTGGATTTGCCAAAAATTGACCAACAAGAGGGGTGGAAATCGGTACGGTATCGGTATCCCAATACCAAATACCGAAATCCCGAATACCGAATTACACCCTGAACTCAATCTCAATCCCAATCCCTAAATAATTTCAGTATCCCAATCCCAATCCCTATATATTTTGGTATCCCAATCGGTACTTCGGTATCCCAATTGGTATTATTGAATACAAAATTAATTATCTTGACAATTAATAATTACATATATAAATTAGATTTGATTGTTTAATTTAGGGAAAGGAGACTAAGCGAATAGCCTTGAGTTTGGCATGAGCTAGAATACGGATAAGGAGAATGGAGGAGAGGTGACATCTCAAATTTTTGCCATTGATAATCTTTAATTTGACCAATTGGAGCCTGAGAGACGACTAATACTAGTGTTTGTCTTTTGGTGTAATGAAAATAACAAAATATTAGGTGAGAGACGAGAGTGACTTAAACTAGAAAGTTAAAATTGAGTTGGATATAGACTTATAATTTGTGAAAGAGTAAGGAATGATCAAAGGTCGTATGCTATATTTCATCAAATTTTCAATTTTTGGTATTTTTTCGGTATTTCGGTATATACCGATCCCAATCCCGAATACCGAATAGCACTCCAAAATGAATCTCAATCTCAATCCAAATCCCTAAAAAATAAGTCGCTTTTCGGTAATACCAAATAGTGATAAATTCGATACGGTATTCGGTATATCCCAAATACCGGTACCAAACTTCCAGCCCTTATAAGACTATGCTCCCATCGTTTTTGCCCTTCCTCAATGACTGACTTAGGGATACGAAGTGAGCCGTTGATGAATTCGGGCTCGAAGTAGTCAAGCCTGGTCTCCTCCACTACGTGAAAGAGTGATGCTCAGGACCTGCCGCCGCCAACAGCGCACGGCGAGGCCCCATCGGCGACGGCAGTCATCGCGAGGGGAGAAGAAGAATTCAGAGCAGATTGAGAAGAGAGAGAGAGAGAGAGAAGAGAGAGAATTTTAAACCATAATAAGATTCTTTTTGATTCTTTTTATTGTTTATAATTTTTATTCATATTTTATATTATAAGTCCTTTATAGTCATTTTACTAAACCTCTCATATTAAAAATCACTTCTAATAATTTTAGAGCCAAAAATTTAACTTATTTTTTTGAAAAGTACTTAATTACTAGCTTGGGCCCCGACCATTTGGCCGGAGGAAGGTGAGGTATGAAATATGATAATGTAATGGGGTGTATAGCTTAATGTTGTATAGTTTTTTTTTTGGGAAACACGTGATAAAAATAATGAATTTTAGTACGAAAGAGACATGAATGATGCAACGAATCAAAAATCAGCCTTATGAACCAAAATCAAGTACCTGTTATCTTGTGAAACAATATTGTTTCTGGTAATATGATGAGGTGGAGTAAGTTTTATAGAAACCGAATTCTAGAAAATCGAATAAAAAATCGTCTATCCCGCCGGTTTTCGGGAAATGAGCATCTCACAATCGTTGCTAGCTTTTACTTGGCCCGTTGGCCGATTAATTTGCTTTATAAAACTTTCATCTTGTCATCATTGTGCTTTCTGTTTTTTTTTTTTGCCAAGCCATGATAAAATCTAAAGAAATCAAGAATGAACAACACGATTTGGGATAGGTAACATCGTTCCTGTATCATAAAAAATGGTGGTAAACACGGACTCACCTGCCAAACTGGTTTGGATTGAGATTTTTATCGGGTATCAGGGAACCATGTGATTATAAATTAGATTTGATCAAAATGGGCCAAAACTTGAAATTCAGCCTGTTTGACCGACCCATGCCAAACTCTAATTATTCTTTACTTTTAAACTTTTTATTTGAAAATAAAAAATAATGAAAGAAAAGAGATGACTGCAATTTGCCATTTGCACATCACTGATTCGGGAATAAAACTATGGAATTTCGAAAGGAAACGGAAAATGTTTAGGATCGTTTTAATGTTAAAAATAACCAAATAAATATTTCTGTTTAGTTTTTTACTAACAAATGCCAAACGATTCCCTATAATATACACTATAAGTTAATCATTATGATATCAAATAATTACATAATATATATTTGAAATGATAAAAATTGGACTAATTGGGTTGGTCGAGGTTGAACCATTGAATAACTTTAAAATACATTATATTTTAGCCACTAAGATATAAAATAATAGCATAATATTTATTATGCTATAGAAAATAGCTTGTTTTAGAATGACAAACCCATGATGTTCATTTGTTTTACTTGATGGGCAAATTCCGTGTAGGTCAGACTCATTCAACTCTTTTATTTTATGATTAGCGGTTAGCCCATTAGAATCCATGCATTAGTTTATTGTTAAATTTTTTTCTTTTTAGCAATAAAAAGGAGTATTGTTTTTGTCTTTTCATATATATTTTACCACCACAAAGAAATAAAAGGACTTAAAGAAAAAAATTGACACTCCTGGACCCGTTTAAATCCGCATGTGTAAGATAAGTTGGCCCGTTCCACAGAGGAAAAGGAAAAAATGGACACTCCCTATTCTACTATTCCTACAAACGCTCATGGAGCATGGAATTTGAAATGGGAGAATGGTTTTTTCCTCTCTGCGATTATATGTTTTTAATTTAAAAAGATACAACAAATATACTTAGGGGTCGTTTGGAAGTTGTGATTGTTAAATAGATGTATTGTTGAGAATGGATGTATAATATTATACATGTATTGTCGAATTTGATGCATTGTAGAATACAACGTTTGGTATGTGTGATTGTGTATGTAGCACCAGCTAAAAGCTGAGACAAAACAATCTCAACTCAACTATCTCAACAATCACAACTAAAAAGTTGAGATATAACAATCACTCAAAATGAGTGATAGTTTCTGTTACATCACAGAAACAATCCATGTATTGTTTCTGCTAAAAAAACAAAAAAAAACGATGCATTGTAAACAATACATGCATAATGACAATCTCAACAAAACTATCGCAACTTTCAAACGACCCCTTAGTGTGATTGGTTATGATCTTTGCTTTTTTTTTTTAAGTTGTCATAGTTCGAATCCTAGTAAGTGTCTTTTTAATGAATAAATAAAAGTAATTGTGAAAACCAAAATGTCCTTCTTACTTTCACTCTGGATGTAGGAAATTTGATCACTCTGGATGCAGAAAAATTAATTGGGGCTTCAAGTTTTCTCATTTGACTTTTACTTATTGTGTAAAAAAGCTCCGGCCAGAAACTATTTATGCAAAAACTACCGCCAAACTAAGCCTTGTGAAATTCAAATTCTTCATAGTTTTCACATTGAGTGAAGGCAACGAGAGACCCAACAGTCAGGAGACCGCCGGCGACCGGCCGGAGGCGGAGTCAGAATCAGAAACAAAGCCAAATACCAAGCAACCCTTTTCCCCCGAGAAGATGCAAGTTCAGAAATTAGCAGGATGAGGGAATTATTCTGAGTTTTACTCCTGTCCAAGACCTAACCAGGATTCCTCGTTCTTCCCCCAAATTGTTTATTCACAGACAAAGACAGAGCAACAAACAGAGAATTCACGGCTAAGGGTTGTCAATTCCAGCCAGCGGCCAAAGATTATGTACTACAGGAGATGACCATGACTGGGAAACCTTGCCCATAAGACCAGGTATTCTTGTTAATCATTTCTGTTCTTTTGCATAGAAACTTGACCAATCGTTGGTGATGGAAGAGTAGAATATGTAGCCAATTCCATCGTCACGTCGTCACTTGTGGCTGTTAGCATAGAACTCGTCGCCTTGTTCTTGTAGACTATACAATTGTCCTTTACCCATAAGATTGGAACAAACCTAACGTTTGCAGTATGGAAAACCAACCAACGCAATTATCGAAAATCATAGCCTCAAGCAAGTTGTTCAAGACAATGACTTCTTGATTCGTTAGCTTCCGAGCCCCACTCACTCAAACTCTTGCACATAATTGCAGCTGGCAGCTTCTATATATCGTCAACCTGCAAGTGTGACCTCTTGGCAATTAACGGTTAAACAATTCCCTTGTAGAAAATATCTTGTGTCTATACATATACATTGGTTGATGGCTGATGATGCCGTCTGGACAAAATTAAGAGAAACCAGATAAAAATACACAGAAAAGATGGGAGATTTATCTGAGAGTGTAGTTACTCACTCTGAGATTCATGATGTAAATAATAGTGTTGATGTTCATCGAATGGGTAAGGATTAGAGATTGTTTTAGCTGGTAAAATTTGTGTTCCTGGGTAGCCGGCCATGGCCAGTGATAAAAGGTGTTAATGTGTTTTTCTTATGTTTGCAGGAGAAGGAAAAGAAGAGGAAGAATTAGTGGATGACCATCCGATTGAGGAAGTGAGGCTAACAGTTCCAATCACCGACGATCCAACCCTACCAGTATTGACATTCCGAACATGGATTCTGGGGCTCGCTTCATGTGTGTTTCTGTCTGTGTTGAACCAGTTCTTTGGTTTTCGTTACAATGGTCTTGGCGTTGGAGCTATTTCAGCACAGATTCTGGTCTTGCCACTTGGAAAGTTGATGGCTGCCTCTCTTCCAAGAACAAAATTCAGGGTTCCTTTCACAAACTGTTCATTTTCACTGAATCCAGGGCCATTCAATCTCAAAGAACATGTGCTGATCACCATATTCGCCAACTGTGGAGCTGATGGAACTTATGCTCTTTTCATCATTACTGCTATTAGGGCCTTCTACCACAGAGGCATCCATATTGTTGCAGCACTGTTGCTGGTTCAAACCACTCAGGTCTGTAGCTCTTGATATTCTGTTTGTTTCTGTCCAGTAGAAAATTGAGGTTGCTTCAAAATATCTTGATTTTCATTTTATGTTGAAAATTTTCAGCTGCTTGGATATGGATGGGCTGGACTGTTCAGGAGAATTTTGGTGGATTCACCTCATATGTGGTGGCCTGGAAATATGCCCCAAGTCTCACTATTCAGGTACTCTTTGAATCTCCAATTGTCTGCTCAAGGCAATGAATTCTTTCTTTTATTGGACAATCCTCAAGGCAATGAATTGGTTTGGGACTCTGTTGTAAACTTGTAATATCTTTTGTTTACTTGCGAATTCAAGGGCATTGCATGAAAAAGAGAAGAGACCAGCAGGAGGACAGACGAGGCTGCAATTTTTCACCCTTGCTTGCGTATCAAGCTTCGCTTACTACATAGTTCCTGGCTACTTATTCCCTTCCATATCAGCACTTTCATTTGTGTGTTGGATATGGAAGGACTCGATCACTGCTCAACAGCTTGGTTCAGGGTTGAATGGGCTTGGAATTGGCTCGTTTGGTTTGGACTGGTCCACTGTTGCTGGGTTCGTGGGAAGTCCTCTAGCCACGCCATTGTTTGCCATTCTCAATACCATGGCTGGTTTCCTCATCTTCGTTTATGTGATTTTGCCGATTGCTTACTACAACAATGCATATGAAGCGAGGAGATTCCCCATGCTTTCACAACAGACTTTTGACAGTTCAGGTCAACCTTACAACATCACAAGGATTCTCAACGAGAAAGAGTTTGACATCAATCTTGGTGAATATAACAGATACAGCAAGCTCTATCTCAGCTTCACTTTTGCTTTCAACTATGGAATCAGTTTTGCAGCTCTAATGGCGACTTTCACACACGTGGCACTTTTCGACGGAAAGTAATCAAGCATCCATCTGCCTGAAATTATGTACTTGCTCCTTTTCTTGAATTGAGAAATCACCCTTGTAACTTTAGCACTCTCGTGATGCTGTTGTTTAAATTATTGGCTCACAGATCAATTTGGGAGCAGTGGCAAAGGGCTTCAAGTGGAATGAAAGAGCATTTTGCTGACATCCATACAAGAACGATGAAAAAGAACTATGAAGCCGTTCCTCAATGGTGGTTTTTGGTGATTAGTATTGTATCGCTAGCACTTTCTTTCGTGGCCATTGAAGGATTTAACAAACAACTGCAGCTTCCATGGTGGGGACTCATTATGGCATGTAGCATCGCCTTAGTCGTCACATTGCCCGTTGGGATAATTGTGGCCACCGCGAATCAGGTTTCTTCTACACAAAGTGATATTGTTTTCCTCGTGGTCCTTTCTGAAGTTGTGACAGCCTCAAATACTTCCATTCTCTAATTTTGTAGGGAGTGGGGCTAAACGTGCTGACAGAGTTGATCATCGGATACTTATATCCTGGAAGACCTCTTGCTAATGTGACCTTCAAGACCTACGGCACCATTAGCATGGGACAAGCTCTGAATTTCCTATCGGACTTCAAACTAGGACATTATATGAAAATCCCTCCTAAGTCCATGTTCGTCGTTCAGGTAATGGAATTGCTTGTTTAATAATATGCCCCTTATTTTACCTAGAGTGAGATAGTAACTTCCATGGGATCTCTCTTCTTCCTGTCAAATTAATACAGTTGGTAGGTACCGTAGTTGCCACGACAGTCCAATTTGCAACAACATGGTGGATCCTGGGTAGCATTAAGAACATATGCGATCCAAAGAAGCTACCAGAGGGAAGTCCATGGACATGTCCTGGATACGATGTCTTCTACAGCGCTTCGATCATCTGGGGCGTGGTAGGCCCGCTCAGGATTTTCAACGATCTTGGAGTGTACCCTCAAATGAACTGGTTTTTCCTATTTGGGACGCTTGCTCCTGTCCCGATATGGCTGCTGTCGCGTAAGTACCCCGAGAAGAAGTGGATCAGGCTAATCTACATGCCGGTTTTCATTTCGGGTATGGGTGGTTTACTTCCTGCAAAGCCAATTCACTACCTGTCATGGGGTGCTGTTGGAGTTTTCTTCAACTACTACATATACAGGAAGTTCAAAGGATGGTGGGCTAGGCACACTTACATTCTGTCAGCTGCTCTTGATGTCGGGATCGCGCTGTTGGGTTTGTTGCTCTACATTGTGCTTCAGAGCAAGGAGATCTACGGGCCGCAATGGTGGGGTCTCGAAGCCGACGATCATTGCCCGTTGGCGAAATGTCCAACGGTTCCTGGGATTGAGGTTCAGGGGTGCCCTAAGATTCACTAACGAGCAGCATGTTCATTTATTTGAAGGATAGAGCTCTTGTGAATTGTGATGATGAAGTATGTCAATTGTAGATTTGAGTTTCAGCTGGCAAAGGGAATGGAGGTTCGCGTTAGAGATCAGAAACTGGGACTACTGCATAATTCAATTCCTTTTAGAAGAAGTAAAGTTTATAAAAATAGTTGGCCAAAATATCACAACTAGCTAGAGTTGTGAAGTGTCTGGAATTATCCAGAGGTTGTATTAATTAAATTAGATGTGAGTTAAGAAAATGAAAAAAAAAACAGAGAATTACAACTAGCTAGATATTTGTTGGCTAACTAGTGGTGGGGTGGTAGTTTATGGTGGCAAAGTTTAGACCCTCATCCCAAGCAATGCAAAAACAAAGAAGAAAGAAGAGATAGTGAGGGAGCAATAGTGAGTTGAGGGATGGGAAATAAATGCGAGAGTTGAGCTTTTCGATCCAATTTTTCCTACAAGTGGTATCAGAGTAAAGCTCGTATGTTCTTTAATGTGGCTTAAGCTGATCTTACACATAAAAAGAGTGTATTTTGCTTTGTTATGAGTGCCAAGGTTATTCCTCGTATGCTCTCTGGTTGCTGCTTCGCCTGATCTTTCACATAAGAAAATGGTTCCTTGTGCGTTGTTACAAGAATTGGTTCAATCGAGAGCCAGTAGTGACGAGATCCCCACCAGGCAGTCAAAGGCTGCAATTATTTAAGTAAGATTAAAATAAAGAACTTGGAGAAGTTACCAAGTAAGAAGATGGAGAGTTTCACACTTACCGTAATTGAGAAATCGAACGAGACCAACTACTCAAGTGCTTTATTCGTTGGCAGTGCTTTGGTACATTATTCTCGGATTATCTTTGAATCGTCGCTACAGCAAGATCGCTCTTCAAACAGCTTGCAAACATAACCCTCCTTTCTTTTTTGAAGCATTCTAGTTGCTCCATCAAAGTCTCTTCCCCACAACAATTCAGATTGTTCTCACTTCTTCACTCTTGATAGGTACTCTACTCCTTTGGTTTGCCAACGAATGGAGACTTCACATTCTTATCTGATTTCTTCACTGTGAAAATTATATATAAAACAAAAGGAAATAAAAACGTAAGCATATTGGAAACCACATTCCATTAATTGTAAATATGTCAAACCAAAGCACTGCCGTGATTTAAAAAAAACATCCACCGGTGCTGGTTGTGTTAATCGCCGGCGAGCTATCCGGTACCGTGTCATCTCCCAGCTGGTTGCAACAGGCGACACACCATAGTCTATGATAACTACGTTCATAGCAACCCAGGTGCTCGCAATCAAAAAGCATTGTTGGTGTTGGCGGCATTTCTGTTCCTATCCGAGTTCAGTAAAACATTAATTATTAAGAAATAAATAGCGCCTAATTGCTTAAGGGATTTAGTGCGGTACACGATAAATAAGTCGCCTGTGCGCTACGGGCAGGAGGGTTTTCCGGATTTTCCCCTTTCGACGGACTGGCCCACGATCTCCCCCCGTCGACTTACTGGCAATTGGACAATGCACAAGTTCAATCCTTCGTTGTTCCTCCCGTTTCCTGCTTGGCGGCTACCTGAGTTGGAATCCTACCTCTACTACTGGATTCAAGAGAAGAACCATAAGCCCTCTGCGTTCTCTATGGTCTGTTCCCCTCTCCCCCGACAAATTCAAATCGCTATTTCCATTTGTCACTGGTCACTCTGCCTTTCTCCACCATTTTTCAGCTACCGCCGATTCGAAGCGGGAAGTACAACCTACAGCTGATATAGGGATTGAAAGTCAATCCGGATTTGAAGTTCCAGAAGTTCCTTCATCTCCCGTTTCCTACTTTTTTCTTACTTCCACTCTATTTTAGAGCAACACTTTAAGGTATTCTTCTCATTGGTATTCTACCCATACTCCCATGTTTCATTAATTTGTTCCTTCTGCTTCTATCTCCAAAGGCAATCAATCTTCTTGACAATCAATCTCTTGCTAATAAACGTGAACAATAACTACTTCCTGTCCATTTAATTGCTTTTGCATTTATGAAATTAAATTTGGCCCCATTAGAAATTCACATTTTGAATAATGTTGCATAATTAGTGCATATCATAGTAGCATGGCCACGCGATTGGTCATGGTAACTTGATGTATTTTTGATGATGTTCAATGAACATGAAACACCTCATATTCTCCAGTTTGTTGAGCTGTCATTGTATATAGCTCTCTAATAGGTATTAGAGTAGCCTGTCACATGATTTATCCAATATACTTACAATATCTTAGCTCTTATACCCCTCTCATGTAAAGATTTGTACAGGACTTCATTCTTATTAGTATATATTATCAGCACTTACTTGCAACTTAGTAATTGGATTTTAGTCCCGGGTCGGCATCATAAGCTTTATTTGAGTTATGGAAATTGAGCAGGCTTGAATTTATGTGGACCATTAGTTTGTGTTTGTGCTTTCAATGGTTTATGAATCGATCCAAGCTCTGAAAATAACTATAAGATTCCACGAGACAGATAGTTCAATGCTAGAATTCAAGGTGGTTGCTTAGCATCTGTGTTTTAGTTGAGTTGTTTTTAAGTACTTGAAAGGTGATTAATACTTAATGCATTCTTGGACAGCAGCTGCCATGAGTATATTTTGAGACTCTTGAATGTTTGTTTCTATGTTACTTTGTATCTTCATTTGTGTGCCTTAAGTTCTATGTAGTCACTTTTTCCTTCTGATCTGTCATATCTTCGATTTTGTGTTGTCATAAGCTTTCGTTAGCTCTGCAGTAAGAATAGAGTAGAGAACCCAATTGGTCGCGTTATTTGTCTATCACTACTTTCCTCGATTTGCTTGGCTCTTTAAAAATCAATCCTGTATAAAAGTGTTTTTTTGGGAAATTGATCAATGGTATCTTATGTCAGTGATATCTATTACCTATATGCATATGCTTCCAGTTCTCCTGCTCGGATACCAAAATTCAAAACTAATATGCCAATGTATAACGGTCTGTTGTAAAAGGTAATAGTGTTTAGTTTAGCACCTTATGCACGATTTCAATCTCTAAAACGTTGCTTTTAACTTCTTGGGTAGATATATGGTTAATTGATGATAAGTTGGTAACAATGGACCCATCTCAATGGGTGAAAATGATATAGTACTTTTAGATATGTCAGAATTATGTGTTAGAAAGTACACTAGATGGCAGAGTTTTATGTTTGGGAATTGGGATGCTATGGATTACAAAGAGGTGAACACTATGGTTGTAGACTCTCTTATACCAAATGAAAAACTCTATATTTTCAAATGTGAATGCAAGTGCCAAAACAAGTCGTTAGATCATAATTGGAGATATTTTCAAAAATCATTGACAATGTTAGAATATGAATGCATTTTTGTTATCAAGAACAACACTTTTCTTTTTGGTATACTGATAAATGAACACATAACACTCTTCGCTTTTAATGGTTGTGTGTATCTCTTAGATCTATGAGATACTTTAGCCCAATCATCAACACTTGCTATATCGTTGTCTCTTTTATCTTTCGCTTTTCGGTTGTGAAATACAGTTCAAAATTGATATAGTAATTCTCAATAGTCTTAGAAGAAAATAATTGAAGTATTACGAGTTTTATCAATTTTTTTGTATTGTGAAGAGAATTATATAAAAGTTCATAATTTATCGCATTGTTCCCGCCGCAAAGCGCGGGCCAATTGACTAGTATATATATATATATATATGCCGTCTAGATAAGTTATCTAAATTATATAAATAATAAAATTATGGTATTTCGGTGAATTCGGGGATCACATATCTTGAATGATTACGTGTAATCTTGGTAAGCTGGATATGTTTTGATAAATAAGAATCATCATCAATGTAGTGTTTTAATAGGAGTTTGAGTCGGTAGTGTACCTGATCTTACTCAATAATAAGCAAATCAGTCTTCTCTGATCCACAAAGTCACTAATCAACAAGTACAAATTTTTATGGAGCTCTTTTACATCTTTGTGGTTTTAGTCATTTTCGCTACTAATATTTCGACATGCTCTAAGCCATATACGAGACTTCATTGGTCATCTAGTCCGATTCTTTCTCTCTCTTCGTCGTAATTCATCTTCTTCTTATTCGTGGTTTCACGTCATTTGAAATCACATTTTGAAGTCATCATATCCAGGTAATGAAAATACTTATTTTATTTTTGCATAAAACTATTCCGGAATAAGCGACCATGTCATATCTAGTCCATTGGTATATTGAAGTCACGGTTAGTGTTAATATTTATTAAAAAGTTATATTCGTAAGTAATCCAAACTTTAGGCGTATAGTTGAGAGAAGGCACATAACAAGAAGAAGAACACATCCCTATGTTTTGGCCATATTGGCGTTTTTATTGCCATTCTTGAGACATTTTATTACATATATATTTGGTTCAATTCTTGGGACAATCTTAAATATCAGTTTTCTCTTTTGCTTTTCGACCGTTCGGGATTTATTAGTTATTAGAGTCACTTGCATTGCATGCGCAATGAGTTTTTATCGGGCCAAATTGAGGACTATAGACCCACGACTTACGAGATGGTTTATTGAAACAAATTAGTAAATTTTTGGACAGAAAAGAACGGAATTACCATCTTTTTAACTACTATATATTTGATTATATATTATATATCGATGATACATTATTCTGAAACGATGATCTCTCAATCCTCGCTACATCATGATCACTCTTGAAGAGCTGCAACAACTGCAAGCATAACCCTCCTTTCTTTGTCATTTCTTGATGCCATAAAATCTTTTCTTATTTGGTTCTGATCTGTTCCCTTGGTTTGGCAGCGGATGGAGCCGTCCCTTGCTCGTCTGATTTTTTCACTGTGAAAGTTATTATATATAGAACAAAAGGAAATAAAAAAAAGAAGGTAAACATGTATTAGAAACCACATTCCATAAAATTATAAATATGTGGAACCAAAGCACACCCTAATTATTAATAAATAATAAAATAAACACCCACCGGTGGTACTGGTTCCGTTAATCGCAAAAAAGCAGTCCGTCGGATCATCGCAACAGTAGGTACAGCGGCCAAATCCCCACTCACAACAACAGGTGACCCAACAATGGACGAGTATTGTTGCTGTTGGTGGCATTTGTTTTCCTGTCCGATCGACTTCAGTAAAAGAGATCGATTAAAAGGAAAAAGTTTATACAGACGGATTAGAAATTACATTATAACACAAATTGTTATGATGACCAGAGAGAGAAATCAGGATTTTTTTAATGGTAAATAATTTGGAATTTTAAGAAAATAGAGATGTCCTAAGTGGCAATTTTGGATTTTGGAATTTCCTACTTAATCACTTAAAGATAATTAGTGACATGAAGTCAAACTTTTTCTTTTTCTTTTCAGGAGTTCGATATCGATCGACCATTTTTAAAACATTCCATCGGTATAAATTGTGATTCGAGTGGAGAAAGAGAGTTCGTGAAGAGAACTTGCCTGGAGAAAGAAGCAGCTTCCTGGCAGCGACGATGGTGGTCATCTGTTGACTGTTCTCGTCATGGACATAAGTTGCATCCATTTGCTTGAAGGAGCCAAAAGCACACATTACAAGAGCCAAGAGGAGAGCGAAAACAGCCTTCATTTCCGTTGTTTGTTTCAGATGCTGCCTACTTAATTAATGGGCTATGTATATAGAGAATACTATTACTCTTGGAAAGGAAGAAAGGAAGTGTGGGTGAGTCTTCCCTTGGATCCAGTTAAGGACACTATTTATAGATCTAAGAAATTAGGTTATCGTCTGAAGAATATCGATGTACGTTGAGAGGGTTGACATATATGCCGTTGGATGCTCCATGGCTTCCCAAACCCTAAGGGAACTAAACTCATTCATTTTTGTATCTAGCTTTATTCTTCACCTATGCCATTTGATGCTCCATGGCTTCCCAACCTCAAGGCGAGATTATATCTATAATAAATTCTGGTATTTTTTGGTGAAAATTTCGATATCATATATTTTAAATGATTTCGTGTAATTTTGGTAAGCTGGATGTGTTTTGATGAATAAGAGTTGCACACACGTGTACTGTTTTAATGGGAGTTTGAGTCGGTAGTTTTGTGTTCGATCTTACTCAATAACATGTAGATCGGTCTTTTTTCGATCAATAGAGTCAGTAGTTCGTGAGTATAAATTTTTGTGGAGCTCTTCCACATGATCTTTGTGGTTTTTCTCAATACCAATGTCCGCTAATTACCTTTCGACATGCTCTAACACATAAGATAAGAGTGTTAGCACCCTATCTCCTCCCTTCCTCTAATACCTGAATTCTCTCCTCAAGTGATTCAGGCTGAAAAGTTATTTATAAAAGCATCCACATTGGTATTGCATTCTCAATTGCAAAATGATATGGCATAGGTGTTTGCAATTGCAAAACCAAATGCATTGATGTGGCTACCAATTAGGGCTGGCTATTTGGTCCCGGACTGTTTGGTTTTACCCAAAATCGGACCGTATAACCCGGACCGGGACCGGACTGGGACCGGATAGCAAACAATGCAATCTCATATTCGGGCTTAGATTTGAGGTAAAAAAAACCGGATAAGAGACCCCCAACACCTAAAATCAAGATAAAATTGGGACAGAACCGGATCAAGACCGGACTGTATCCAATCCAATCTTTGGTCCTTATATTCCCGAAAAGACCGGACTGGGACCGGATCAATTTGGTCCAATTTAACCGGACCGGACCGTATAGCCACCCCTACTACCAATTGCATATTTGCAAGTTTGTAACAAATGCAATTCCATATGCAAGTCAAAAAAGCCTACAAAAATGGGGATTTTTTATTTTATATTCTTTTCTTTTCTTTTTTACTTAATTTTCTATAATTTAAACATAATATTTAATTATATTTGCAATTGCAAGTTAATTGCATTGATGTAGGTGAATGAAATGAATGTGATGTGGATTGCAAAAAAATTGAGTTGACAATAAAAAATACAAATGCAATTTCTTTTGCAATTGCATTGATGGAGATGCTCTAAGAGGCCAACTTAGCTCCTTTTCATCAAGAGTCCTCGCCCAACCAGACTCCACCCTGTTCAAATATTGATTCCAAGAACAGTTACCAATTACAGATTTGGAGTATTGCTTCAAGCAGCAAATTAGCGAGTCAAGTTAACATACAATGTTACAAACGATAAACAGAGGACAACTTAAGGAGCGAGCCAAGGATCGCACTCTCTTCATATCTTGCTGGGTAGATGCGACAATTTGCAGCAACAAAAACCCAAAAGAGCCATTTCTCTGCCTCTTGCATCTGTCGTCTGGAACAATTATTATCTTTATCATATATATGGGTTAATACTTAGTTTGGTCCGAACTCCGAACTATACACATACTTTCTACTTTGGCCCGTGATATTGAAAATTGCTACTATGGCCTGAACTATGTAGCAAACTTCCTCATTTGGCCTGGAGGCGGGTTTGACCGTCAAAACAGACGGTCAAACCTGTTGACCGTTAGTCAATGTACACATCACCTGCACGTCGACATAAAAATTATTTTTTTTCTTCTTTTAATAAAATTAATAATTCTTATTACAAAAAAATATATATATTAATAACTCTAAAAATGAATTAAAAGAACGAAAAAAAATAAAAAAAAGCCACCAGCCACCATTTATACCCTCCCCCTCTCACCCAAAATCGGGAAAAAAGCAATCCCTTTCCCTTCTCCGAACCAATTTCTTCCCCCGAAACCCTATCCCTGCTCCGACGAGCCGCTGCCGCTGAGAATCAAAATCGCGCCCTCCTTTCTTCCACCTAGTTCCCTCGCCTCCTTTCTTCCATCTCACCAACGCTCTTCTTTCTTTCTATCGCGGCCTCCAGCAACAATGTCGAGGCGAGCTGGTAGAATCAGCAACCAAGCTTCAGCCTCTTCCGCTTCCGGTTCGTCGAACACAGCGAAGGTAAGATGTGAAGGCCACAATGCTCCTTGCGTTGTGAATACCTCTCGCACAGAGGATAATCTTGGAAGGAAGTTCTATTCCTGCCCGTTTTGGAAAGATGTAAAGGAAGATTGCCATTTTTTCGTTGGGTCGATGGTACATCTGAATATAGAATAATGGAGGAGAATGAGCATATGAAATTGAAAATGGAGGCACTTGAAGGGAGGCTTCGTAAGACAGAAGAGAAGGCAAATAGGAGGAAACAAGAGAAATTGGCGATGCTAGAGGATTTGAAGAAGGTTACTGAGATTAGTGCAGCTAGTTTTATGGAATTGCAAAGTATGCGAAAGGCAATATGTGCACTACAAAGTCGAATGATCGTGTGTGCTGTGAGGATTGTGATGGTGTTAGTTCAATTGTGAGTGAGGATTGTGGGTTCATTTGCAAGCAAATTCCTGTGATTGTAAGCTTACTTTGTGTGTGTGTGTGTTTGTTGAAGAATAAGCTACCTCCTGTTAGTAAAACTTTGTGCATAACAAGTGTGTACCCATAATTCATAAAGAAGTTCAACATTAACATTAGCTCCTTCATAGTGACATTAATACGAATGTTGCAAAATAGTGTTTTACAGTCACATTAGCTCCTGCTATCGAGAGCATGTACAAAAGGGGGAGCTAATTTAATTCCTATGACTCCAACTCGGACCTCAGCACTATGATCTGAAACATAAGGAGTCAAGCCAAAAAGAAGTGTTCTACACACTACGAAACACACTACGAAACTACACATTAAGGTGTCTCCGGTTGAGTCGTCGGAGGCTGTGTGCTATTGAAAGGAGGCTGATCCGGTCCAGTTTGTTGTGCACCACGAGGACCTGGAACGCGGGCGCTAAGCTGCAAAACAAGAATTACAACATAATTAGTTCAGAAACCATAAAAACTCAACTTAAAATCATGTCAACCATGAATGAGCAAGACATACCCTAGCGTACATGTTTCCTGTATTCCCATCAACATATGTTCCAATCCCTTGCATAGCCCTTCTCATTCTCGATTAGTCACACGTCTACTGATCGAGCCTACATGAGGAGCCTACACATCCATCCATCCATAATTGACAGCATAATTCATTACTCTCCACAACCATCAACATTTTCGTGTAATTGTTCACTGAGGTGAGAAACATGTACCTTAATTCCAAAATTCATCGGACAAGTCCTTGCATTATGGTGCTCGGATCCACACTTAGAGCAACGCCCTTTTTTCCTTCTTCTTAGTGCCTGTTATCACCAAACAGTGTCAATTTTCACGTTGCAAACAAAATGAAAGTGACATTTTTAGATCGTTACCTCATGGTCATTTCCAGCTTGGTCATTAACTCGTGTGCTGGCAGGAACTTGTGTGGTGGCTGGAACTTGTGTGGTGGCTGGAATTTGTGTGGTTGGAACTTGTGGTGGTTGCAACTCGACATCCCGCTATGAACCCTTTACACAAACTCGAAAAGCCAACGTAAAATATTTTGAAAAAGACCTTGTCTTCACCAGGCTCAACATCCACTTCCAGAAGGAATTTGCCTTGAGGGTCCACTCATATAAGATGGCCTATGTAGTCTCTAATCTGGTGGAAGTCTTCTTCAAGAGACCCATACAGCAGCCGACGCGCTTCCAACCTGGCTCGGTAGCAAGTTACAGTTGATACAATCAGGTTGAACTTGCGCTTCACCTCGTTTGCTATTAGCCCAACATCCCACGCTTGATTGACCCTAAATGTTTCCAGATATTCTTTTGCCATCCACTTGTAACCAGCTGGACGAATTTGAAGAGACTGGGGGAAGCTATAAGCTTCGCCAACTCCTTTCACCATAAAACATTCGTTTTTGCGAAACCAAATCGCATACACCCTCCAACCACACTGATATTCTTTCTTATGTGCACATACAGCTTCCTTTCTCACTCCACTACTCCTTGCCCATCTAATCTCTGCTCCATTATAAATCTCATTCCTGATTATAGCTTCTTTAAACTGCTCAGGACTAGTGAAACGCATACGAGGCTTGAAATTCAATGTTCTGTGATCACACTTCGGATCATAGAACAAGCTCTTGTCAAAAATATATGAGTTAACCTCTTCATCAATATCACCTCTAACATGAGCAGATTCCTCAGATCCCCTGTACTTAGTTTCCATCGAGCATTCATCATTTGCATCACCTTCACCATTTGGTACTCCTTAATCATCTGCTACTCCTTCACCATTTGCTACTCATTCATCATCTGCTAACCCTTCACCATTTGATACTCCTTCAGCATTTGCTGCAACTTCACCATCTACTTCATGCATTGCTGGTACTTCATCATTGTCACCAGCCAAACTCTGACCATCATCCTCACGCAACACCTCATCATCCTCGTCCCCCGATTCCACATACTGTGCTCTAAAATGCTGCCTCCGTTGTCGAACATTCCTCCTAATTTCGTGGTACTCCTTGTCAGATGTTTGAGCATCATCACTCTCCTCTACTCACAGAAACTCAGGCACAGCCGAGTACTCACCATCCTATTCCGATCCTTGAGGATCATGACCGTAGTTGTCACCTATATAGCCAAACTCACCAATGTCTTTAGTTGCCTCGAAGTAGACCCTCAAATCTCCTTTCTCGGCATCTGTAAATAAGGTGATGACTTCCACATCAGAGTGAACTTCGTGCAACCCAGTAGCCATATCTTCCCCCGGGGTCAAGTACCAAACCCTTTCAACCGATAGATAGGAAAAATCTTCAATAAGGATCTTTGTAATCTCAGAGTAAGACATGACATCACGATGAATGTCGATGACGTCTTCCACACAACCAACATATTGCAGAACCGCACCAGACATGTCCATAGCACCTCCATGGATCAAAATAAGCGTAATCACGTAGTCCATCCTGCATGTACACAATTCAAAAAAATACACAAAGACAAATCGACAACTATTGTTTAATCTCCACTACACAGTCTTCCACATATGGCCAAATCCAGATTCATGGATTCTATTGTTTGTGAAAAGAGATATTGATTGCTTACCTAGTGGTCCAGAAATTTGCTTTCCCATTGTGGTCCTGATTCTGTCGACAGTTTCGCTTTAATCGGCTTTGGAGAAAAGATCGATGGGTGGGGAAGGGCTGTTCTGGAAAGCGACTTTTGGAGAAGAAAATGAATTTTAGAGAAGAGAGAGATAGGTGGGGAAGGACTGTTCCTTCTGGAGTGTTGCGCCTCGACAACGCGAATCGAAGAAGAAGAGGGTCTGGGTTAGGGTTCTGGGTTAGAAGAAGAGAAGGCGAATCGAAGGGGAAGGGAGAAGGAGTCGGGGAAGGAGGATTCCAACAATCAGCGACGGCGGCGTCTTTAACCGACCGGCCACCGCTGCATTTGCCGGAGAATCGAAGAAGAATTCGTCGGGGAAGGGAGTTCGGAGAAGACGATGGGTCTGAAAGGGGGAGATAATTATTTCCCGATAAAGATCGATGCTGGAAGATAAGGGATGGGATAATTGTGGCTTTTTTTCTTTCATTTTTTGTTCTTTTAATTATTTTTTAGAGTTATTAATTTTTTTATTTTTTTTTTGGTAAAAAGAAAGAAAAAAATAATAATTTTTTATGTCGACGTGGCAGGTGATGTGTACATTGACTAACGGTCAACAGGTTTGACCATATGTTTTGACGGTCAAACTCGCCTCCAGGCCAAATGAGGAAGTTTGCGAAATAGTTCAGGCCATAGTAGCAATTTTCAATACCACGGGCCAAAGTAGAAAGTACGTGTACAGTTCAGCCAAACTAAGGTATTAACCCTATATATATATATATGTAAAAGCTAGGTCCACTTTTTTGCCAAATTACTATTTATTTTTTGTCTTTTAGTGAGGATGAAAGAACATGCCATCTTACTTCATCCCTCAAACACACTCAAATATATTTAAAAAAAATCTTTATTATTTGATCAAAGATATTGTATGTATAACTAGAGGGAGATTGCTTAGTTTTTTCATATCGAACTGGAAATAAAATCAAATAAAATAATTTCCTTAAAAATGAGCTGTTAAGAGGCTTAAACAGTTCAATTTGATATCAAGAAAATGAAACCCGAGGCTTAAGAGGCTTAAACGGTTCAATTTGATTTAGAGAAAATGAAATCTGAGGCTTACGCGGTTCAATTTGATTTCAAGAGAATGAAACCCTAGGCTTAATTGAATATTGAGCGTTTGTGTATTGGTTGTGATTTTTTTTTTCATTTTTATCAGTTTTTCAATTTTGACCAAACAAAAAACGCTATGCACAAAGAGTTTGGGACCGAAACCAAAAACAAAAAGAGCACCATATATGTTTGTTTAGTTGAAATATAATTAAAAAAAATTGAATCCAAATTGATAGTCCTATGTATGGCACACTTTGTCATCTTTCATTATGATCCTCATATTATCCAAAATCTCAATTAATTGATTATTTCATTGTTGCTATGATCACTTTGTCATCTTTCATTTTGATCTTCATATTATCCAAAATCTCAATTAATTTATTTTTTCATTGTTGCTATGAGGGAAGTAGACATTAATGATGAATTCATTTTCTTTTTATTACACATTAGATAAGGTATCGACTACTTTCAGGGAAGCTCTTGTGTGGGTGGAATTAGCGATTGAAAATCACTAATAGGATACCACAGACAGAGGAAAGATTCAAGTTCTTTAGATTTGATGAAAATGTAATTTAAAGTTACATGAAAAGAATTAACTGAACATTAGCGAGGATGAAAGGGTTTGTCATCTTACCCCATTCCTCAAATTGATAGTCCTATGTATGTCACACTTTTTTTTTTAGTGATATCAATGAGAAATAATAGTTAAGCTTACAATTCTACCCAGGACCCCTAAAAGACTCTAAAGAAGCCACCCCCAAGAAATCAAAAGATTCTAGCTCTACAAGAGACAAAAGCAGTGCTTTACGCGCCACTCTATGGGCATCACTGTTGGCGGATCTAGGTACCGCCCTAAACTATATACAAACAGACAAAGAGCTAAGGATCTGAAGACACTCTCGTAACACCGGACCACCAATCAAGTCTTCTTTCGACTATCATGTGGGTCAAGGATCTTGAGGCTATAAAGGAGATAGCATCCCTGAAAGCTAGAAGTTCAGCCAGATAAGGGTTGACTATTCCTTGATTCTGCAACCCGAACGCCAACATCACATGCCCGTCTGAACAACGGATAACAAGCCCAGGCGAACACCCGGAGGCACTGACAGTTGCGTCGACGTTGATCTTTAAAAAGCCTTTTGGTGGAGGGACCCAAGTGGTGGCAGGAATGTTTGGGAGTAGAGGCTGCGGGGAGGAGGGGGGAAGAAGACTGGAAATTTCAAGGACCTGGTTGTAGAACTGTCTGGCTAGGGAACTGACATGAGGTTGGGTAAATTCAAAGGTTACTTCATTTCTAGACTTCCATATTCTCCAAAGTAAACAGACGCATTGGAGAATGTGGAATAGGGAGGTCTGGGAGATGATATGTCGCCACCATAGACTAAAATTAACAGTCTGGGCGGTCTCAATAAAGTTGCTCAATCCCACTAAAGTCCACAATCTGATGGCTAGGGGGCATCTGAAGAATAAATGTTCAATACTTCCTCGATGTCTCCAGCAGACTGGGCATCGATTAAGGCAGTTTACTCCACGAGATTGAAGGGCCACTACTGTGGGAAGTATGACTTTGAGGCATTGCCATATGAATAATTTGAGTTTAGGCGGAACTTGGATGTTCCAAGTCTTTTTCCAAATAGGAGGGTCGATGATATGCACTATCAGTTTTCGACTTGGAGCCAATATTATTTCCAGAGCTAAGTGATAACCCAATTTGACTGTGTATTTTCCATCTTTGGAATACTGCCACACTCTAATGACTTGCTGTGAATAACGAGGAAGAGGAATTCTCCTTATGAGATCAACAGACTGAGGTTCAAAGCAATGCTGGAGTTTTGGAACGTCCCATTCCCCTCGACCTTCTTTTATGAAATAAGATACCGTAGGAGATCCATTTTGAATATGGGGTCGAGTACTCGGGATTAAGGGTTTATCCCCCGGAACCCAGTTATCAATGAACGCCCGGGTTCTTTGCCCATTGCCTATTTGCCATCTTAGTCCCTGTAGGAGCATATCTCTTCCAAAGTGTATACTTCTCCACCGCCACGAAGGGTTTGAATCGATTGATGCTTACAACACCGAGCATTGAGTAAAGTATCGACCCTTATAAATCTGGGAGAGGAGTGAATTTGGATTGGTCCATATTCTCCAACATTGTTTAGCTAGCAACTCTTGATTGAAGGCTTCAAAGTCCCTAAATCCAAGACCTCCATGGCACACTTTGCCATCTTTCATTTTGATCTTCATATTATCCAAAATCTCAATTAATTGATTTTTTCATTGTTGCTATGAAGGAAGTAGATATTAATGATGAATTCATTTTCTTTTTATTACACATTAAATAAGGTGTCGACTACTTTCAGAAAAGCTACTACTTTCAGGAAAGCTCATTGTGTGATTGGGTTTAGCCATTGAAAATAACTAATAGGATACCACAGACAGAGGAAAGATTCAAGTTCTTTAGGTTTGATGAAAATGTAATTTAAAGTTACATGAAAAGAATTAACTGAAAGATTCAAGTTCTTTAGGTTTGATGAAAATGTAATTTAAAGTTACATGAAAAGAATTAACTGAACTTTAGTGAGGATGAAAGGGTATGTCATCTTACCCCATTCCTCACACATACTCAAATATGTTTAAAAAAAGTCTTTATTATTTGATCAAAGATATTGTATATATAACTAGGGGGAGATAGCTTAGTTTAACCAAATCGAACCAGAAATAAAACCAAATAAAATAATTTTCTTAAAAATGATCTGTTAAGAGGCTTAAACAATTCAATTTGATTTCAAGAATATGAAACCCGAGGCTTAAGAGGCTTAAATGGTTCAATTCGATTTCGATAAAATGAAATCCGAAGCTTACGCGGTTCAATTTGATTTCAAGAGAATGAAACCCGAGGCTTAATTGAATATTGAGTATTTGTGTATTGGTTGTGATTTATTTTTATTTTTATTTTTATCAGTTTTTCAATTTTGACCAAACAAAAAACGATATGCACAAAGAGTTTGGGACCGAAACCAAAAACAATAAGAGCACCTTATCTGTTTGTTTAGTTAAAATATAAAAAATATATTGAATCCGAATTGATAGTCCTATGTATGGCACACTTTGCCATCATTCATTTTGATCTTCATATTATCCAAAATCTCAATTAATTGATTTTTTCATTGTTGCTATGAGGGAAGTAGACATTAATGATGAATTCATTTTCTTTTTAGGGCTAATACCACTACAACACCTGAACTATCGCGAAAATGCCACTTGTGTCCTATTGTTTCCAATATTCCATATGTGTCCTGAACTATGATTCCATTAGTGTTGACTTTTGTTGACCGTTAGTTTTTAACAGAAAATCTAGTCAGCGCTGATGTGGCATCTTCGACGCTGATGTGGCATCTGACGTGTAATTTTTTAATCTGAATTTATTTAAAATAATATTTATAAAAAAACTAAAATAAAAAATAAAACTCTATATCTCCGTTCGCTCCTCTTCCCCTCCAAGATTGAATCGTTGCCTGGAATAGATGAGCAGCCGTCGACCCTCGGCTCCAGATCAGACGAGCACAGGAACTGGACCAGAACACTGATCTTGTTCCTCTTCCTATAGGCTAAAATCGCTTCTGCAACATCAGATAGATCATCGGAGATGCCTCTCCATCCAGTCTCCGCGGGAGCAGAAAGCGACGGAGAGGATCGGAGGAGGTGGTTGATGATGAGCTGAAGATGGTGCGTGTATCTGGTGAATTGGCGAGATCGAAGGACTCCTGGTCGTGGCCGCTGGAGCAGAGTTCGGACATGGAACGATGGATCTCGATTACAGATCTCAGAGAAGTCAAATCCCTAGATCCAAAACCCTTTCACCGTACTCTTCCTCCGCTCACCCACCTACCCTTCCCCCATCGTCTTCGATATCCCTTTTTCATTCCCGATCCATTCGTTTCACTTTCTTTCCAATCAAAATACCCACTACACTAATCCGTTAAGCTATGATTTCTTCCAACTCTGGTAATGCATCCTTGCAACCTGGGAAATAATGGTGAGGCGGACAGGAGGAGTAGTGAATGTTTTGCTTATTTCAATGGCGATAGTGTCGCCGATTGATAAAGTCTGTACTGGTAGTCGGAGGTAGTCCTAGAACTCGCTCCCGTCGACGTTGAGGCTCCGGATAAAGCTTGTACGAGCATCAAAAGCAAGATACGGAGAATGGGCGACAAGGACGATGTTGCTGTAACTGCGGCAGCAGTACCAGATCTGGGCTTGCTGCTACTGCATTCGTCGAAGCCGGAAGCTGGGTAAGCTAAATCCACCTCCCTTCTTCCCCAAATCGATGGCGATGCGGATCCAGAAGCCGAAAACATCTGATTTCGCTGTGGTGATCCCCCTATTGTGGAAACATTCGAGCTGTTCGTGGTGTTAGTAGAGAGTTGTCGCCAACACGCTCACGATCTCCTTTTGCCGGTGCGAGATTTTCTGATTTCTGGAACTGAACCCCTTTTAGACTTCGAATGGGCATGCAATCTAGACCAAGAACAGCTGGTTCTCGTGGAATGGTGAATGACGATTGAGCTTTCGCCAAGGGGCAGTGTTGAGTTGACCGCTGTTTGGTCAACTGTTATCTTTAACGGTCAACGAAATTGGCAGGATACAAATGACACAAAATATAATAGTTCAGGATTGAATGGAATATTGAAAAGAATAGGACACAAGTGGCATTTTCGCGATAGTTCGGGTGTTGTAGTGGTATTAGCCCTTCTTTTTATTACACATTAGATAAGGTGTTGACTACTTTCAGGAAAGCTCTTTGTGTGGTTGGGTTTAGCCATTGAAAATAACTAATAGGATACCACAGACAGAGGAATCAAGTTCTTTAGGTTTGATGAAAATGTAATTTAAAGTTACATGAAAAGAATTAACTGAACTTTAGTGAGGATGAAAGGGTTTTTCATCTTACCCCATCCCTCACATACACTCAAATATATTAAAAGAAAAAGTATTTATTATTTTATCAAAGCTTTTATATGTATGAGTACCAATGCAGTCAAAAGCGCGATTCTAACTAGAAACGGAAAAGGGATAAAATTGTAAAGTGTAGAATTAAAGCGTAAAAGCGTAAGTTTTTAACGCATACTATAAAATAGCCAAAAATCTGTTTAGTACGACATATAGTATGTAAAATATGAGTGCAAGGAATTTAGATAAGGTAATAAATACCTAAAATTCATGTTTAAAGTAGAGAAACTCATAGCATCTTAACAATAAGTTCATAAATATAGATCTCAACAATAACCCACCTTCCGCGCTTTGGTAATGAATTTGATAAGGGCCTAGCTGGTGAATCAGATTACTCTATTGAAGTTGAGAATGCATTCAAGTACCTAGTATGTTTCTTTTAATCTCAAATGTATCATATTGTTGGTGATTTACCTTTAAAATGTACTTTTTATAATTAATTTCATGAAAAGAATACCCATTAAGTGAACTAGAAGCGTAAAAACGTAAAGCTTTTTGGTGAACTAGAAGCATAAAAGCGCAAGCTTTAAAACGAAATTTAGTTCGATTTAATACAATAAAGATTTTATATAGAAAAGAAAGCGTTTTGGTGACCTAGAAGCGTAAAATTGTAAGTTTTTTAATTTTAAAGCGTGATTTTGACTGCATTGTGTATGACTAGGGTGGGAGATTGCTTTGTATAACCAAATCGAATCGAAAATAAAATTTGAAACAAGTAATTTCCTTAAAAATGAACTATTAAGAGGGTTAAAATGTTCAATGTGATTTCAAGAAAATGAAACTCGAATAAATTTAATAATGAGGAAAATTAATCTCCGAATATATGTTGCTCACTGTGCACATCTTACTTTTTTTTCCCATTTACCACATGGTCTTATTGGTGGTTGTTGGTCATGAAACTTAGTGCTTTATATTGCTATGGATTTGGTCAATTTGTTCCACTATCGAATTGTTAAGTTTTGCTACATATACAGGTGATTGCTACAATTCTATCATTTTGCTTCCATCTTTACTTACTTGATCGGATTTGTGTATCCAACGAGTTAACTGGTTGATAGAACTTGGATCCAATAAATTATATTATGAATGTTCTTTATTTTTTGTTAATAAATTGGACTTACAAGAGACAACGGTTAGTGATGTCTTAAGTTGTGTGGACAATGATAAAAAAAAATTGTTAGTGAATTAGAGGCGAGGTGTTGTTCATGTTAGGCTTATGAATAATAATCATATGTATGCATCACTTTTAATGTTGAATTCGCTAATCATATGAATATGGAATCGCTTCATGTAGTGGTTAATTCATTGTATGTTTCATGATCAAAGTCGAATTGGTGCTCGATTGATAACCTTCTAACTCTCTTCCTCACTCACAAAATGTTGAATGTTATTATTCAAAGATTTTTTTTTAATTTTACCCGTTTTCTCCAAGAGTTTTTATGATATGAGTTGTGATGGTTAGGCGTAGCTTTCTTATTTATGCATTGTTCACTCGATACACAAACTTAATAAATATGTTCATTCCTCATTTTACTAGTGACTAGGTAACTAAGTATTGTTGGAAATAATCATCAACTATAAAAATGGTTAATAATATAATGGATGGCGAAAGTTGAAAGAGATATGAGGTATCAAATGCTAATTCACTCTCCATTTATCAAGAAAGGCCAGGTAGATAACAAGCAAATAAGAGTTTTTTGTTCCCAGTTTGGTTGGACCTGCCAAGATTTTATGTCATGTAAATGTAGAACAAGTTTTTTTATCAATTTTTAATTTGTTCTATATTGTTTGGCATCTATTGCGTACTTCATTGTTTTTCTTTCCTTTCGTTAGTTTTAAGGAAAGGAGACCAATAAAATGAACTATGATTAGGGGTCTACATGAATCAGGGTGAGTTAGTTTTGAACCCTCTTAACCATGCAACTCATATGCCTTAGGTCAAGTTATGTACGACCCAAATGAAATTATAAGACACATAAATCCATGTGTTTCGGGTGATGTGTGGGTCGAATTGGATTGACACTAAACATGTCTATACATTAACCAAATAGGGTTGAACCTCGGTTCAGTTTATGTTAATCAAACTGAATTGGTTGGTTATCCAAAATCGAATTATTGTCATTTTAGCAATTGTAATTGTTGTTCTTGTTGCGGTTAACCGTGTTCAACCAATTAACCTATTTGTCATTCTTTTTTGTTTAGGTTACCTAATGGTGTAGGCCATTGGGCTTTGGGGTAGTTTAATTTTTCGACTATCTCAGGCTTTTGTTTTGCAGTTTGTTGTGCACTTACACCATACACCAAAGATTATCTAAAACCAAATCTACAACTATTCTATTCCTTCATTTTATTGTTCTCGATTAACTATTAATCGTAAAATTCGAATTCAACTTTAGTTAGCATCTATAACCAACCAAATTTTCTGTCTTATAACCAAATACTCCCTGTGAAGTAACCGCGGGTATTGATTCTAGTTCTTAATTTAACACCAAGTAGAAAAGTAACTGATAAAACAGAGCATGTGCCAGAGTTGTAGTATCTGGAGCTCTTTGTTTATAAACCAGAGAACCCAAAAACAAAATTTCATCAAAGACTCAGAAAATGTGTCCTGAACTTGAATTCTACATTGCCAGGTTTATTAGGCACATAAACTCTCTCATCATTATGCATTGCACTAATTTCCAACTGAAGTTTGTTGTTAGTAAATGGTATGGACAACTTTGTATCTGTATCTAAAGTTTAATGAGACAGATGATTCATCCTAAGAGGGGCTTCCTTTCTCCATTCTTCTTCACAACCAGTCGATCAATATATCCACACCAACATGACTTTCCAACGTAGAAAAGAGAACATATGAAACATCACAAGGAAACTAGGCTAGCTAGTAGCTACAGAGTTAGGAAATGGCAGGGCAACCCTTGACTTGGACGCCCGGCGCAGTGGGACACTTAGCCAACGTGCAATGGTCCGACGCATCGAGACCCCACCACTCCGGGCCATAGATGTCCTTCGACTGGAGCGCGAAGAAGAGAAGAATCCCCATGAAAGCAACCCCTGCATCCATTGCAGCAGACAGTATGTAGGCATGTCTAGCCCACCATCCTTTGTGCCTCTTGTAGACGTAGTAGTTGAAGAAAAACCCGACCGCTGCCCAACTCCAGTAGTGAACCGGTCTCGCAGGTGGCATGCTGGCCGACGCTCCGAGGATCAGCGGCATGTGAATCAGCTTGATCCATTTCTTGTTTGGGAACTTGCGGGACAGCAGCCAAACCGGGACCGGAGCAAGCAAGCCGAGCAGGAAGAACCAGTACTGCTCTCTGTAGATGCCTAGGTCTCCGAACATTCTTCGTGGCGACACCACTCCCCAGATGATCGACGCGCTGTAGAACACATCGAAGCCGGGACACGTCCATGGACTCCCCTCGGGCAGGACGTCCAAGTCGCAGACGTGGGGCACGCTCTCGAGTATCCACCACGCTGTGGCGAAGTAGACGCTCGAAGCAACTAGCGTACCAACGAGCTGCAACAACGTTGGTAGGTCGATGAGATTGTGTGATTGATCGTTAATTACGACATTGAATTGGAAGTATATGGAGTTTGATTTTGGTTACCTGGACGATGAACATGGATTTGGGAGGGATTTTCATGTAGTGTCCGAGTTTGAAGTCTTCCACGAAGGAGAGAGCTTGGGCCATGCTGATGTAGCCATAGGTCTTGAATGCCACATTGGCTAGAGGCTTTCCAGGGTAAGCATAACCGATCATCAGCTCCGTGATCACGTTTAGTCCGATTTGCTGCAATTCGAAGCAGAATGTTATGGTTGTTAGAAGATCAGTACTCTAGAGAGAAATCAACAAGAATGTCAGACTGTTGTTCTAGATAGTTAGGCTACTTACATTGTTTGTAGTGGCCTGAATTATACCGATTGGAAGAGTGGAAACCATAGCAAGGACACAGGCAAAGATGAGTCCCCACCAGGGAAGTTGCAGTTGCTGCCCAAAACCCTCAACGGCATACAAAGCCATAAAGAAACTCAATATCAGTACAAGAATAAACCACCATTGTGGTACAACGTCATAGTTCTTCTTCATTATTCTAGTATGCACATCAGCGAACCGCGCTTTGCTTGCTGCTGTCGCCTTCTTGAACAGATCCACAATCACTCTGCCACGTCGCAACAAAATAAGCAAACGGTTGGAATCGACAACCAACTCAGTGAAAGAACACAAGAAAAAGAGAACTTACTGTCCATCGAAGAGGGCAACATGTGAAATGGTAGCAGTCAGAGTAGCGAAACTCAGCCCATACACAAAGGCAAAGAAGATGGAGAGATGGATCTTGCTGTAACCATCATAAGCCGCCAAATCGATGTCGAAACTCTTATCATTGAGTATCCTCGTAATGTTATAAGGGTGCCCGGTACTGTCAAATGTCCCCGACGAGAAGATGGGGAAACGTTTCGCGTGGTGAACGTTTCCCCAGTAAGCAATGGGCAGAACCACGTAGATCAGCAGCACAAACCCAACAAATGAATTCACAATGGCATACAGAGGATTGGCAATCGGACTACCGAGGAAGCTAGCAACAGTGGCCCAATCGAGCCCGAAACTCCCAAGGCCAAGTCCACTCATCCCGGACCCAACCTGCTGCGCGGTAATGGACCGGCTCCACACCAGGCAAATCACCGATATGGTCGAAATCGAAGGCATGAAGTAACCGGGAAATGCGTAGTAAGCAAAGCTGCAAATGAAGACAATGGTGAAGAACTGTAGCCTCGTGTATCCACCTTTCGCCCTCTTCTCCTTCTCGTGCAGAGCCCTGAATAAGGAAACCTGGACCAAATTAGCCGGCCACCACATGAAGGGCGAATCGACGAGGATTTTGCGGAAGAGCCCTGCCCATCCATAGCCGAGCAGCTGAGTTGTCTGTGCCAGGAGGAAAGCAGCACCAGGATGGAGGCCTCTCTTGTAGAACGCCTTGATGATTGTGATGATATTAACGGCGTAGACGCCGCTCGAGCCGCAGCTGGCAAAGATGGTGATGAGAGCGTGCTCCTTCATGTTGAACGGCCCCGGATTCAGCGACCATGTGTAGTCCCAAAAGGGGGAGATTCTGAATTTCCTAGTGGGCAGAGTTGCAGCCATTAGTTTGCCCAATGGAAGCACCACGATTTGAGCCGAAACCGAGCCCACGAAGAGCTGGTTCTGACGGTAGCCGAAGAATTGGTTGACGAAGGAAAGAATTGCACAGGCTAAAATTCCGAGGACCCATGTTCGGAAAGTGAGGACCGGTTGGGTCGGGTCGTCGGTGATTGGCACCGTTAGCCGGACTTGCTCGATTGGGTTGTCGTTCACTTCTTCTTCCTTCTCATCGTCTGCACAGACACAAAGAATCAAAAATAAAAAATCAAACACGAACCCATTATAAAATCAATCGTAATCGACAAACCCTTTTAACCGTTTGCAAAAATGAAGCATGCTCACCAAGAACAATGCGCTGAGGAGGAGGGGCTGCCTCAACTGAGAAAGACATGTCTTTTTTGGAGGCCTTGTGGCCTCGGATTCGTCGTCGATTGCAGAGAATATGTGAAATTTATGACAGAGAGTATCGAGTTTAGATGCAATGTAGTAATGAACTGAGTGGTGGGCGGTTGTTAAATGGTGAATTGGACATGTGAAGAGGGATTGGAAAGGTGGGAGTTCTTTAATGGCAAAAACCTTTGCCAGAATATGTTGGTTGGAGGAGAGCGGTGTGCAATTGAATCTGCTATATTGTCGGGTTGGCAATTAAACTTGGTCAGTTGTCTACTTGCCTATCTTTTTCCTTCCTGTTTTGGGGGAGGATGAGTTTTATCTCCGCCCGCCATTAACGTCGTAATAGAGATACCACATCTGGTGAGGATCTCTCACAACTGTCAAAAAGGCGCCATTTAAGACCTACCTACATAAAAACTAAAACGAACCCGTGGTTTTTGATTCCTTCTCTGTGAATCTGTACCATATTCGCATCCAATTTCATTTGCTCTGTTTTCAGAATAACAAACAGAGAACCCATAATCAGTTATTAGTGGTAAATTAACTTCCTTGCATCTGTAAATCTCGGAGATTCTGCTGACCTTATCTAAAGAGGATTCTGGTAATGCTTGCTCCCGTGATTTCGGATTTTGTTATGATGATGGCCTTTTTTTTTTTTTTTTTTTGAGATCTGGTGCGTAAAGACAGAACCTTGAGACGACTAGGAATGGATGCACTTGCAATTTGTTTAACATTATACGGCCACCCACCCCACCAATTGGCAGAGTGCAGAAAATGGCAGAGGGTCAAATTGCACTCTTTTTCTTTATAAAATGGAGTTTATTTTGGCTTTAGCAATTGTTTTATTTAGTATATAGAGTATCTTTATATAAATAACTCCATTTATTTTTATGAATAAAACAAGGTTGACTTGGACTTTCATTGTAGTGACGTGACGTGAGTGTGAAAGAAGAAGGGTAATGTGGAAATAGGGCAAAGCACAGGAAAAATAGGATCATGCAGATTGTGTCCCGTAGCTGCGTAGCATAATCTAATATCTCTTTTTTTTTCTTCTTTTCTAAATTCTCAACTCCTTAATTATTTTAATCAATTCATATTTTAGTTTTTATACATTTTTTTTGAAAAAAAAAGTGTAAATGATGCCTAACTTGTTACATTAATGGTACAAGATTTAAAAGGGTTATAGGTATAATATGTCCCTCTACTATGACGTTTTAACAAACATGCCCCTCTACTATTTTTTACATCAAACATGCTCCTGTACTTTGGAAAACTTATCAAACAATGTCTTTTTGCTAAAATTTCCATCCAAAAACCGTTAACCAAGACCGAACTTTGGTTTGAGCGACCCAAATATCTAATATATCTTTAATAATTTCACGTTAGAGTTTTTTTTTTTGTTCTTTTGTATTGCCAAATAATTATAATAATTTCACTTTGATGAGACCTAGAAAAATAAAGCAAGGTCAAAACTGACATTTCCCCTCCTATTTATCGATGTCAGGTCGTCTAAATCTCGGTTCAACCATGATTGACGCTTTTTTTCAATGAAAATTTCAACTGGAGGGCATGTTTGATAGTTTTTCCAAATTACAGGGGCATGTTTGATGTAAAAAATAGTAGAGGGGCATGTTTGATAAAACGTCATAGTAGAGGGGCATATTATACCTAAAACCCCAACATATCATAGTTCGGTGCATGAACTTTGGCTCTCCTTACAATCTACAAGGTGGAAACTACAAGTAGTAAAAAAAAAAGTCTCTTAACGAGATAATTGACGACATAATTACCTTCATAGTGCAAAATTCCCACTAACTATTGAGAATACTTTTTTATAACTGGCATGTATTGATTAATTAAATTCATGTTACAGAGCCATCAGCTAATAATTGGGGTACTAAAAAAATTGGAGGACGATTAAACCAAACTTCCGTCTCCTCTAGTCGACAACGCACTCTCGCCATCGCGTAAGTGCTCTCATTTCCTTTCCTCCCCTAGAATCGCCAAAGAACATTTCAATCCTCCCGAGCCAGCTCCCTGATTTAATCACAAATCCCCTCAACTTCCCAGATCGTAGTCTCCTTTTGATCGAACTTTTGAATCACCGATTTGCAGTCCGTCTCCATGAGCAGCGGCAGGAATTGGTGCGCTTTGACGAGCCTCAGTCCCTAGAGAAGGGCAAGTGCTTCAGCCATTTCCGGTGGCCACTTCGTCCTTGTACGATGAACCGCTGCCACCTGGAATTGCCCCTCATCATCGCGGATAATCAGCCCGTACCCAGTCCCATCCTCATCCAAGATCGCAACATTTATTCAACTTGAAAGACCCTTGTGGCGGAGGTTCCCACCCTAAACGGGTCTTCACAGAGGGGTCCTTCACTCCATGGATCTGCTGTTGTTGATATTATTCCAGGTAGGGCTGAGCCCTCGTCACCACTTCTCATTCCTCTAGTTTTGCATTGTTGAATAAATGGTTGTTTCTCTCTTTATAGAGAAACCATAGGGTGATTAGCACCGCATATAGTTCTTCCTTGTTTGTGCCCTCGATTAGGTTACAGAGCTATTTCTCGTAGTTTTTTCCTTCTCCCATCAAGAAATACTTCGCCAAATTGCTAGGTCTCCAAACTCGACTTGCCCAGTCGCAATCCCTAGTTATGTGTTCTTGAGTTTCCACCAATCCATAGAAGGGACATTCATCATGTGCCTATGGGATTCTTCTACTGAGGTTTGCTCCTGTAGGTAGTATGTTACTGCCTTATCACCAAACAAAACTCGAACCTTTGTAGGTAATTGCAGCGTCCATAGGTGTTTCCAATCGATTGGGACATAGCTTTCCACCTGATCACTCACCTATTTCCTCGTCCATTCTTTATAACCTAAACGAACTGAGTATTTCCCAAACTTCTCCTTGCCTCAGACCCTCATATCTGCCCTGGGGTGAAAAGGAATTGGAATTTGATTGATCCGGTCTCGATATGTTGGTTGGAAGTTTGCTTGCAGAAGATTGCTTTTCCAAGATCGAGTGTCCTGATCAATTAATTTCGATACCTTTTCAGTGATGCCCAATCTAGAAACTTGTGTCTGTACTCTGTAGTCAGCAGCTGTTGGGATCCAGCGATCCCACCATATTCTCACACTCTCCCCATCCCATATTCTCCACCTTGTACCCTTTCTAACAAGTGTTAGAGCTTGCATTAGACTCCTCCAAATATAACTAGGGTTGTTGCCTATCTCAACTTCCAGAACGTCACAATGGGGATGATAATTGGCTTTGAGTACTTATTCCACTAGGGTGTTTGGATTTTGGAGTAGGTTCCATACTTGTCTTCCAAGCAACGCAATGTTAAATCCATGTTGGTTTTGAAAACCCATACATCTCTCATACTTTGGTCGACATAGCTTATCCCAACTCATCGAGTGAATCATCTTCTCTTCCCGTTTCTTACCCCACCAGAAACTAGCTATCATACTCTGAATTTCCTGGATCACTCCTAGAGGGATCAGAAACATTGACATGGCATAAAGTGTTTGCGCTTGTGCCACAACTTTAATCAGTATTTCTTTAGCAGCATTTGAAAGAAGCTTCCCTTTCCACATTTTGATCATATTGCGCACTCTATCAATGAGCTGTGAAAATACAGCTTTCTTTGCTCTACCAATTACCGTTGGGAGTCCCAAGTATTTGTCATGATACATTACAGTTCTCATCCCCCAATGATTCAGCCATTTCCTTTCGATCTACCTCTGTGACATTCGTACTAAAAGACTGTTTAGACTTGGCAAGACTAAGTTGTTGTCCTGAAGCTTTCTCAATATTTGTAGAATATCCCTCAGCACCTCTCCTTCCTCCTTCTTCTTCTAAAAAAGAATATACTATCGTCTGCAAAGAAAAAGTGTGGAATCATAGGGCCATTGCTACTCACCTTGATCCCTCGTAGTTTCCCTTCCTCCACTACTCTTTTTGTCAAACCTGGCAGCCCTTCAACACATAGAAGAAACAGGTAGGGAGAGATAGGATCCCCCTGTCTTAGACCTCTCGAGGGCTTAATGATCTCAGTCTGATGTCCATTTATCAAAGCTAAATAGGTGATAGTAGACATACATTGCATGATTAAATGAACCCACTCCTCATGGAATCCCAATTTTAGCATAATACCCTCTAAGAAACTCCATTCCACCCTATCATAGGCTTTAGCTATGTCCAATATGCCCTTCTTTCCCTGCTTTCTGTTTTTAATAGCGTGAAATCATTATAATTTAACCATTATGTTTTCTGTGATGTTTCTCCCAGGCACTAAGGCACTCTGTGTTCATGTAATTACCAGATCCAGAATCCTCTTCAACCAATTTGCAAGGACTTTAGATAGAATTTTATATAGTACCTTACACGGGGCAATAGGCCTGAATTCTTTTGGGGAACTTGGCTTCTGAGTCTTGGGTATCAATGTCAGTAAAGTGTGGTTTAGGGTGGGAGGGATTTGTAATGTTAGGAGGATTCGTTGAAGTTCCAAACAGACAGCATCCCCAACCACTAACCAATTCTTTTGGAAAAAAGGGTTGGCATTACATCCGACCCTGGAGCCTTAGTTGGTGCCATCATTTTTTGAGCTCCCCAAATTTCCTCCCTAGTGAAAGGAGCTAGGAGTTCTTCATTCATTTGGGGAGTAATCTTAGGTTCCACAGCTGCCAGTACCTCTTCCATATTCATTATTTGTCCTGCTCAGTATAGTACTTTAAGGTACTGCGAGAAACACCCCATAACCTCCTCCTGACCTTTAAATTATGTACCATCGTCATCTCGCAGCTCTTTAATTGTATTATGTCGTTGTCTATTCGAAGCCTTGCGATGAAAGAAACCTGTGTTCTTATCTCCCTCCTTTAACTAGTGCGATCGAGATCTTTGCTTCCACTTAATTTCCTCCAAACTCCGCACTTCATTCAGTTCCTTCTGTAGCACTCTACATTGTAACAGCATCGCCTTTTTCTTTCTTTGTTTGGTAATCTTGGCTAAAGCCCTTTCAATCTTCCTCTTTCTTGCTTTAAGACTACCAAAACGTTCTCTTGCTCCAGGTCAAGAGAGCCATTTCACAGTCTTTAATTTTATCTTCTAAGGTTTTGTCAGGGTCTTTATTCCATTATGCTTCTATAACAACATAGCAGTCTTAATGGGTTTGCCAATAAGACTCGAATTTGAAATGCCATCCTCATCTCACTTTGTCTTCCTGCAAATTGAGTTCCACTTTTATTGGCAAATGGTCAGAAACCCATCTGTCTAAGTGATAAACTCGAGCTTCTAGGAACCATTCTCTCCATGCATAATTTTCTACTGCTCTATCAAGCCGTTGTTCCAAGAAGGTTTCATCCACTCTCCCAATGTCCCATGTGAACATATTGTCATAGTAACCTAAGTCTTCGAGCTACCATTTGTATAATGTCATTTCAAAATCCTCCATGTTCGGTTGATCAGGTGGATTGATTCCATTCTTTTCTTCATAGCTTAGGACTTGAATGAAGTCACCACAAATCATCCATGGCATATTCTGTTACCCACTTAGTCGCCTGATTAGATCCCATGTCATTGGTTTGTTTTCTTGTTCTGACCACCCATAAATCCTAGTTAAACGCCACCTATTTTCTTCTGGATGCTCAATGATTCGGGCATCTATGTAATTACGAGGTAGGGCTTTAATAATGACTTGGATCTCTTCCTTTCACAATAGTAATAGACCTCCTGCTCGGTCTCTAGATCCTACACCCTTTCCTTTTGACCATCCAAGTTGTTGGATTGTGTCTTCCCATTCATGTTCTTGCTTCTTAGTCTCCATAAGGAAGACTATACTGGGGTCTTGTTCTCTGAGTAGCTCAGCTACTCGTGCACATGTCATGGGATTCCCCAAGCCACGACAGTTGTAACTTATAATACTCATTGGGCTGGGCGGCCCTCAAACTTCTCAGGGATCGCCACTCCGCCAATCAATTGTTTGTTTACCGTCACTTCAGCTGCCTTCCTTGCCTCCTGTTTCTCTTCCTTGTTTCCACCCTTACTCTTATCAGTTGTTTCACCCTTACTCTGGATGTTAGTTCCATCCATCACTGTCGTTAGAACTTTTCCACCCATACCAATTGCCTTGTCGTGGTCAACACAGTTCTTCTGTTGTTCCTCCCCACTTCTCATATCCTCCTTTTATTTATTCTTCTCCTGTCCTTTCATGTCCATGAATGATAGAGTTATGGCTTTCTTTTGGTGTGTATTATCTGTCTCTTGTATCTCCTAGCCCCCCTGGTAGCTCCATTGTGCACTTTTGAGGGGTGAGCTGCACTGGATTTGTCTCCCGAGCTCACACCTGTTCCTGGCGCTTCCACACTTGGTCTTCTCTGCCCTTTCTCTTGCCTCTCTTTCTCAGAGAATTTCTTGACCGCACCCATTGTCAGAGAGGCACTACTCTGCCCGACTCTAGCTGTAGGGGTTCCCCTTCCAGCAGTCTCCTTTTGTGTTACTACTTTTTGTTTCTCTCCCCCCTCTTCTGGATGCATCCTCTTTGATTCTGTTCCTATGTCCATAGGGGCAGGCTCCGTGCTTCTGTCATGATGGTTTGATTCCATCTCAGTATGGTTTTCTTCCTGCTACGGTGGTGAACCTTTCCCAGAATTCAATCTTGAGCTTTCTAGATCAAATTTTATTCTAAGTTGTCTCCAAATATCCACTTCCTCTTTCTTTGCTCTATGCGACAACCAGTTCCTTGGGACAGGAGGAGCTTTTCGCACATCAAAGCCAAAAGGGTCACTTTCCAACTGTGATGGTTTGGGACATATGGTTTTGATATGTCCTATTCTGCCACATGAATGGCAGAATAGGGGAAGCTTCTCATACTTTATCAGAAACTCCATCAGTTCTCCTCCAACGTTCAGCTTAATCTTCTTCTTTAGAGGATTATTGATGGAGATGCTTATACGAATCCGTAAAAAATCATCCCATTATTTCTCTGAACTGTCATCAAAGAAATTAAATTCACCAATTCTATTTGCTATCTTCTCTGCCATGGACTGTGTTCTAATTTCAGCGGTAAACTATTTAACCTAAATCCATATTTTCATCTTGTGCAGATCTGCAGGTGTTGGTTTCTTGATCCACCAACTTGCTGTGAAGAGCATCACATTGTTCTCATAATCCCAGGGGCCCCCATAGCAAACCTTATTACGATTATCCAGCTCCAAAAATTGAAAACCAAAGAGGTTATTACCCAGCTCAGTAATCTGATAGCCTTTCTTCAATCTCTATGCTTTTGTCAATGCGTATTTCATTGACTTGATAGTTGGTTCCTCCTCTACAAGCAATCTTCCCACTAGTCCCAGATGACGAATAACCTCCATTCTTACAACATCGACATCAACATTTTCAACTTCCAACGGCTCTTCATCATCCTCCTCCAGGGTGATTTGATTGAGTTTTTCTTCCAGCCTAGCCGAAGGGTTAAAACCTCCCTCAACAACCTCCTTCTCAGATGTTTCCTTCGCTCTGATATTTGTGGATTCCATCATTAAAAGGCTCGCTTGGACTCCTTTTTATGTAACTTGGGTTACACTCCACCTTGTTTCGTCGAATTTCGTTAGGTTTTCGAGAGAACACTTGTTTCCGCTTCGTCTCAATATAGCTACGAACTCGTTGCAATGTAGCCCTGGAGGTTATCCCTGCTAGCTCTTAGATCAACTTTCGTATGAGGTATACCGTATCAGAATCAGAGATCGATCACAGTTTTGCTCTCGAAAAATCTAGGGTTTCGGCCGCCACAGTGCCTCTCGATAAACGAGAGAAAGTCGTGTTTATGCAAGGTCTGGGATTTAGCCCTTTTGAATGCTTCCTTACTTCTCTATTGAGAATACTTACAGCAGGCCCCAAATTCTTGGTAACTAGTTGTTTCGGCAGCATAGTTCTGTAATCGTCTAATGAACTCTCAATGACTGAGACCTGGCTCTTGATTCTTGCCACCGGAGTTTCCGTGACAACACCTAAGAGACAATAATTTCTTCCATTCCTTTTTCTTGCTAAATTGAAAAAGAAAATATTGTAATTAAGTTATGTTCAGAAAATATTCCAAGAAAATAATGCTTACTACTATTAAGTTATGTCATGACAAAAAAGTTAGCACCATGGCAAAATTATATGCAATACACCTCTCGAAGAATTGCACTCATATCAAATAGCATTCACATGCATCCACGATTCATACACCTTTTCGATTCCTCGACATTACATGTGTCAAGAATCTGTTGGGCCTGATTACTCGGATTACTTGGAGAGATTCAATTATAAATTTGATAATTTATTAACCTGATTCATTAAATGAAAGTCATCTAATATGAACTTAAAATTTACATGCATTCGAATATCATGTATTTAACAAACAATGATCATTAGAATTCAAACACGAGACATCTCAATCATCAAAACTCGGAAACTATGTCAATAACTAATTGATTTCCACAATTATTACCTCCGCTTCCCAAGGCGCCTGCAGGTGGAATGGTTGAGAGGAGACTGGCGGGATGGGCCACTATACTATACACTGGACTGGCACTGCACATTCCACATTACGCATCAACAACTGGCTGGCTGGCTTCCCCTCCATTAGCTGGCTAGATAGCAACCATGCTTAAAGTAATTAGAAGATAATTAATTAAACTGCATGTGCTTACTTTAATTCTTCTAGAGCAGAGTCTAATCAGTTTGCAAAGTCTCCCCATCAAAATCTTAGTCGTCTTAGTCTGCGTAACGTACGATCAAAGGTCGCATTAGCCAATTAATTCGGCTCCCAAACCCCCCACTAAACACTACTGAACACGACTAATTGTAATGCTTTCTTTCATATTCCGGTCCCTTTCTTGTCTAACACCGACTTAATTGCAATGAATTTTGTTTGCTATTGTGCTCACTAGCATCTAACGCCCTTGAATCGGATATGAGTGACTGATTTATGTTAAATTGTCATTGCTTTCATGCAACTATTACAAATCGGATATGACGGTCAATTATATTATTCTGATTCTATATCAGTAGGTCTGGACAAGTCAGGAGGGCCAGATATGAAAGTATCTACTTTTATGGTGGAGTTGGAATTTGGAAAATATATAGATATACGTACACTCCTACAGACTCCCACACTCAGGGAACGATGCATTGTCTATATCCCAAAACTTCGTGTGATTTGGACATTTATCTACCCCATTTTCTCCCAATTGAACCCCTAACTTTGGAGAAGGTACAAAATATAATGGACATTTTCCTTTTGTCACAATTGTTGGTGAATGCAAAACTAGTACTGCATGCATGTACGTTTGTCACAATGTTCTTGGAAGTAGCTTGGGGTGCGTGGCCCTTGTGCTGTGAACTACAATTTCTCATGATTAAAGGGTGATTCAGTAATTGAGTTAGAAGGTGCAATTTTGTATCCAATTCATCCATTAAAATATCTTATTAATACCATCTATTTAAATTTAATCCATTTAATCCAAACTAAAAATCTTAAATTGGATTGGTGAATTCAATGCTTGGATTCATGGATATTTGAAAAATTACAATTTAGTACCTATATCTTTTGTAATGTACATTTTGATTCATAAATCTTAATTTTAACGTAAAATATCATTAAAAAGGTAAATTTTGGTACCTTAATTTTTTATTATGGCATATTAGTACGTAGCTTATATGCAATTTAATTATTTTTCTAATGTTTATATTTCACTTAGATTCATCAATCCATTTGATCCAAATTCATGAATCCACCAACCCACCAGCAAGTGAATCAATCCATTTACTACATCTACTTGGAAGCCATCACAGTTGTTTTATTTCTTCAGATGGTTGAACTTGTTTCCCATTTGGCATTTGATAGCTTTGATTGTTGACATTTAACAGGGAATATAAACTCACAAATTCATATACCGAATTTTTACATTCATGATAGATTTGATGATTCAAAATTTCATATATTAGAAATTTCGAAACTCATGTTTACACACAAAACAACCAATAGAAATGACAGCTTTTATAAATATATGAATCCTACGAACACATACTCCAAATCTCATTCTCCAATAAAATTCTCTAGAGAAAGTAGAAAGTAAAATTAGAGTGAGAATGTGAGTTCAGAAAGACAAAAGTGATATGTAAACATGATAAGATGGAAGGATGGATTTTTAACTTGGGCTGAGTGATCGAAAGTAAGTATACAAGTTGGGTGATCAACATGCAACTTTCCCGGTCTTCGCACATGCTTTTCAAATTTGTCGCTATACTAAAATGATTGATGGGTCAAATTGCTTGGAATTCCAAAATGGTCTGTCCATTTTGATAACAACTGTGATGGAGATGCAGCCACTACGTCCAACATCAAAGATAAGAGATGAAATGAAATCATTAATTAGTTGGAAGCCCTTACCCTACCTAGTGGCTTGTTTGTGGCCCATTCACTTCTCGAGAAGACTCTACTATGGTGACCTAATTTAGGACTTAGGAGCATGTTGATAATTATTAATAATGAATGAACTGCCCTCATTTCTAGGAGTATGGCAGTAGATGAGGTGAGTCGAGTGGTGTTTTGATCTAATTTGAGCTCGAATAGTTAATAAATGGGTCGAATTTGGAACTTGGATTGTTTAAATAAAATATAGACTTGTATTTGACTTGAGCTAGAATCATTAATGAGCTCACGAGTTTTACTCGAGGTTGGCTCATCAATTAGCTCACGAGATAAGCTCAAGCACGAGTATCATATCATTTAGTTCATAATTTTAATTCTTCATATGTTATTTAATAGTAATTAGTATCTAAGCAATTTAATACATAATTTCTCTTTCAAAATTATAAATGAGACATATTCGACCATGTGCTCAAAGTATTAAACATCATACGTGGTGAGATATATAACATAACAAAACTATGAATTATCAACAAGCAACTATTGATCGATTCTCTCATAAGTTGCTAATTAAGGTTGCTCGATAGCCATACTATCGATCTAGCTCATAGTTCAAAACGAATTAGCTCACGAGTAGAGCTCAATAAGCCACCGATTCGAGGTGCTCACGAGCTTTGCGAATCGAACAAAGCTTAGCTCAAACTCGACTCGTTAGTAAAAGAGCCGAGTGTCCAACTAGTTTTCCCGAGCCGAACACCGAGTCGCTCGTAGGTAGCTAGGCTCATTTACAGTCTATCTGGGAGATATGCGGCCTAGGATTTTGAAATTCTTTTAATTTCAAGATCGTGAGCTTCCACATATTTGGAAGAAAAAAAAACTCAGGTTTGAGGCCATATTGGACAAATCATTCACTTATACGTATTGCTCTTGAATTAGGATCATGAATTTGAAACCCAAATTACACTCATCATCGATTTGTCAAAATGCATTATTTGTTTATAAAAAGATAGCAACCAAATTCGTGTATCCCATAAATTAAATTATTTTTTGTTCCAAATTTGTAAACCTCACAATGAATTTAGAAACTCTTACTAATTGATGTGAACTAATTGATGTGAGATTTGTCACAAGCAACACTACACCAAGAAAGGGCTTTACGTGCCTACTATGGATAGTCCTTCTAACAACCTTAAAAACCCCACTAAACTCTACACCGTGTGTAATGGCCGAGATCACATGGAGACAATCACGACCAGTGGCGGATCCAGGAATTTTTTGTAGGGGTGTCATCTTTCAAAAATTAAATTAATAATTAAATAATACATAAATAATAAAATATCCAATTAGTACAAATGTTGACAAAAAACCACGATGTGTTTTCATATTTCGAAAAAAAAACATAAGATAGATTTGGTGTCTACACTGCTCAACAAATCGGTATATCCTACTAAATCGCGTATTCTATTTCTAACCTTGTTCATGATGTAATTCAAAGTTGAAAAAACTGTTTCAACACTTGTAGTGTAACCATAAAATCAATTCAAATTAGGGGCACCCTCGCCATAAGAAATCGTGTTTTTACCATTACATAGCATTTAAAATCGAACAACAAATGAGTTATAACCTAATGGAGAAGATGTTTATTAATAGGAGTGTCCTAGATTTGAATAACACAGAGTGCCACTTATATTTTTTTAATTATACGCAAACTACTATCGAGGGTAAGATAATCGTTTATTAAAATTTAGTGGTGTCTCATATTACCAGTTATATTTTGTTTATCCATACGAAACTACTACTAGTAGTTGGATAATCGTGTTCCCAAAATTTAGGGGTGTCCCGGGACACCCCTAAAGCATCATGTATCCGCCATTGATCACGACACTTTGTGACCATTTATAAAAACAGTTATTATGTTACCGCTTATTCTTTAAACGAGCGAATCATAATAATTTATTATTAGTTAATCATAAATATCAAATATTAATTATATATTTATATTATGAAAAAAACGCTCCTAATTTCAGCTCGGAAGTCCGCCATTCTGCCACAATCAGTTTCTAAATCAATAAGACTACAAGAGTTGAGCGTCGACTGACTCAAGATAGGGTGCATAACCCATCACCCATCAACAACCAAATCTGGACCCTTTATTTAGAAAATACAGATCTAAGGATGGAGAATTAAAGATCATTTTTATTTTCCCTAACTTTTTTAATCGGCTCATATCTTTTTTTGTTTTAACTTGAATTTTAATTTTTTTTTGCACAGATGGAACGAGTTCATCGTGCTCTACAAAATGAGATCAATTTTCAATATTTTTTGAGAAAAAAAATTCTGGCCTCTCGGTACCAACTGCATACCATATGATATTTTCTTCGTTTTTAATTCGTTTTTGAAAACGTTTGCACAGAAGGGACGAGTTCATCATGATCTATTGGATCTACAAATTTCTGGGTGAACAAATTACATGACCAAAAAAATACCACACAATACCATACAATACCACCCTGGTACGGGGTGGTATATTGTGATACATAATGATAAAAGTCGTAAATGACAGTTAATATACTTCTACTATCATGTATTCAACCATCCTATAGTCTTGGTTTGTTCATACCATCATGGTACGCTTTTCAAACCATAGGTATGTTCTTATTTCAATACCAGTCAATACCATATGGTATAGACTGGTAAAAAATGGCTCAATTTTTTTTGTTCGAAAAATATATCAATGTGGATATCATTTTGAAGAGCACAATTAATCTTATCTAACTGTGCAAAAAAAATTAAATTTCGACTTAAAACGAGTGAGAAATCGTCCGTCAAAGATTAAGAAGGGGAAAATTAAAGGCTTTCCAGAAAAGAGATGCTGATGTGAGCTAGTTACTCATAGTTACTCACCATAAAATTACTGACCTGATCTGTTCCCGCGTCCACCATATCAGTACAGTACCATACTATGCTACACAGTTTTCCCACTAGTATGAACACAACCTTCGTCCCACCAATGGACCCAGTTGGCAGTTGTCGATGGCAGCTTTTTTGTCTTTATGAATTAAACAAAGTTCATTTTCTTCTTCGTACTATTTAACAAATATAGTCTTCTATGATCACTGTTTTGTCTTATTGAATAACGTACAGAATCTCTTAATCCATAGATGGATCGAACGTCTTCTCCCCCTTGCTCCACTGTAAACAACTGACCTTCCCCCTGCATGTGAACAAAATAGTTTGTCCTCTTTAAATTTCAGAAATTCAAAACAAGAAAAACAGAGTAGCCCAAGAAATGAGAATCTTAGCCGACAATGGGACTCCCCCAGTTCCAGATTCCACGATTCCTGAGAATTACGCTTTCGAAATTGGTAAACAAGGTAAATCATAGAAACCTTTCCCAATTTACCCGAAAGATGTAGCTCCAGCTGAGGTAATTTTTTGATAGCAAGTCAATGCTCTGTTTTTCTGGCCTCTCTCTGTTTGTAAACAGGGGAGGAGGCTGCAGTCCAAGAAGAAGAAGAAGAAGTGAACGACAGCCCGATTGAGCAAGTGAGGCTCACGGTTCCGATCACCGACGATCCAACTCAACCCACCATAACTTTCCGGACATGGGTTCTGGGCCTAATCTCTTGTTCCCTTCTCGCTTTCATCAACCAGTTCTTCGGCTACCGTTCCAACCAGCTCTACGTCAGCTCCGTCGCCGCACAAATAGTAGTTCTCCCACTTGGGAAGTTAATGGCTGCCGCAGTTCCCAAAACAGTAATTCGAGTCCCCTTGACGAAATGGTCCTTCTCGCTAAATCCAGGGCCGTTCAATCTGAAAGAGCATGTTCTGATCACCATATTCGCCAACTGTGGAGCCGGGGGAGTTTACGCAGTCGCCATTATCACCGCTGTCAGAGCTTTCTACCACCGTGGAATCCACGCCGCCGCCGCCATGTTGCTGGTCCAAACCACTCAGGTAAAAGAATTATCGATTCAGGATTTCAATTTCATGCTTCAGACGATGCAAGTTCAAATCTTTTGAATATTTTTTTTCCAGATGCTTGGGTATGGATGGGCTGGCATGTTCAGAAAATATCTCGTGGATTCACCTTACATGTGGTGGCCTTCAAATCTCGTCCAAGTCTCCCTTTTCAGGTACCTAATTATGGTATCAAAGTTCGGTACTTTTTCCCCTATAATTAAAGTCTGAGTTCGAATCTTGATAATACGATATGTGGCAGGGCGTTACATGAGAAGGAGAAGAGACCAAAAGGAGGGCAGAACAGGCTGCAATTCTTCACGATCGTGTTCATATCAAGCTTTGCATACTACGTCGTGCCGAGCTACTTGTTCCCATCGTTATCGACTCTGTCATTCATTTGCTTGATATGGAAGAACTCCATCACAGCACAGCAGATTGGTTCAGGGCTAAAGGGGCTAGGAGTTGGCTCAATCGGCTTTGACTGGTCAACCGTTGCCGGGTTCTTGGGGACCCCACTAGCCACGCCATTGTTCGCCATCATCAACACTCTAGCTGGGTTTGCCTTGGTTGTTTATGTGATAGTCCCCATTGCTTACTGGAACAATGCCTTTGAAGCTAAGAAGTTCCCAATCTTCTCCCAACACACTTATGACAGTGGTGGTCAGATCTATAACGTGACGCGGGTCCTGAATGAGAAGAGCTTTGGGATTGATCATGCTGCTTATGAGAACTACAGCAGGTTGTATCTCAGCGTTACTTTCGCGTTTGTCTATGGCATGAGCTTTGCTGCACTTATGGCTACCATTTCCCATGTCGCTCTCTTTGATGGGAAGTAAGTATGCCCCCTAAAAACTTTATTCAATGAACTTCCTAATATAGGTCTAATGTAGTGAAAAAAATGTTACTGACCTTGTTGGTATTTTTTGGGCAGAACAATTTGGGATATGTGGAAGAAGACAACTGGTGCAATGAAAGATCAGTACACAGATGTCCACACTAGGCTGATGAAGAAGAACTATGAAGCTGTCCCACAATGGTGGTTCATGACTATCTTGGCTATATCTCTGGCCCTTGCATTTGTTGCTGTGGAGGGTTTTAACAAACAGTTGCAGCTCCCTTGGTGGGGACTCCTCTTAGCTTGTGGGATTGCCTTGTTCTTCACCTTGCCAATTGGTATAATTCAGGCCACAACTAATCAGGTAAACTCAGAAATTTACCTTCTAAACAAAAAAGTACTGGAGTTTTGACATTAAAAGCCATAAGCTAAACCAGAACTTGGCTATGGAATTATGCAGCAAATGGGACTGAATGTAATCACAGAGCTCATCATCGGATACATGTACCCCGGTAGGCCACTGGCGAATGTGGCTTTCAAAACATATGGCTACATCAGCATGGCACAAGCACTTAGCTTTCTTCAAGACTTCAAGTTAGGTCACTACATGAAAATCCCTCCCAAGGTCATGTTCCTAGTCCAGACAGTAGGGACGCTAGTTGCTTCAACGGTCTACTTTGCAACATCGTGGTGGCTTCTCACGGACATCAAAGACATCTGCAACCCGGACTTGCTCCCGAAGGGAAGTCCATGGACCTGCCCTGGAGACGACGTCTTCTACAGCGCTTCGATCATTTGGGGAGTGATAGGACCCCTCAGAATGTTCACCGATAGCGGGAACTACCCTCAAATGAACTGGTTCTTCCTTGTCGGTCTACTTGCTCCGGTGCCCGTGTGGCTATTGTGGAGGAAGTTCCCGGAGAAGAAATGGATAAGGCTGATCCATATGCCCTTGATCTTCGCAGCAACAGCAAATATGCCACCAGCCAAGCCAGTGCACTACTTGACCTGGGGCACAGTTGGGATTTTCTTCAACTACTATGTCTACAGAAAGTACAAGGGATGGTGGGCTAGGCATACTTACATTCTGTCAGCTGCAATGGATGCTGGTGTTGCCTTCATGGGGATACTTGTCTACTTCACACTTCAGAATAAGGACATTTACGGCGCAGAATGGTGGGGATTGCAAGCTGATGATCACTGTCCCTTGGCCAAATGCCCTACTGCTCCCGGGATTCAAGTTGATGACTGCCCTCTCATTCATTGAGATCTGTCCATACTTACTGCAGTCTCCAGTTTGTGCTGCATCTTCTGGCTTTGATTGATTCTGTCTGTAAATTAGTTGCCAAGCAACAACAACTTGTCATATTTTCTTAAAGTTGCCAAAGAAAATCAAGGTTTCTTTTCTTTTACTGCAAGTTACCATTATTACTGTCATATCTAATGCTTATACAGAAAGCAACAAACCTAAAGGTGTGGAGTACTGAAATGGAATGACAAAGTCACCATTTCTCTCTACACAAATCAATTACGTTATTCCGTATCTTTTTGGCCTTAACGTTAAGAGTTACCTTTACAGTTCACATTATATATAGTAAAATCGAATGCAATCACCATACCTTAATGATTCACCTAACTAATAGAAACAGTGTAAAAAAGTAGAACACATTCATCTCCTAGTGACAGTCAACCATCTCATTTGAGTCGGTCAAGTCCAATCATAACTTGAACTTCTTCCCCAGATTTCACTACCAAAAGTATGACGCTAATTGACAATCATCTTCCTTTCCTCCCGACCAAAATAAGTTAGGCATGTTCCAATGTGAATCATTCTCTTAAATGAAGCCAAGGTGAATCATTAACATCAGAACATTCTTGTGAAAGAAGCCAGAATAGGGAATATGATACTTACTTTTCACTGTTCCAAACTCCAAACATCACATCACTACATCAGATCCCCTCTGTTTGCCGGCACAACCATTAAAGCACTATTTAAAAGCCAGCAATAATTCCTTGTACGTACGCCTGTTCAAGGCTATGCATTCGAAACAATTATGCATCTAGATTTTATCAGCAAGACATTCATCGAGGTAGCAGACAATTACCAAGAAAGCAAAAACAAATCCGATACAAACAAAGGAAAAGCATGTTCCTTTACCTTTAAGACTTTACGAAGCAGTACAGCAAACATCAATTGATCCGCCAGCCGGGGGTATATTATATGGTTTTTTTGTTTCCACGGATAGCTTCAAAATACAGAGGCAGAGAGGAATATACATTATTATCTTGTTGGTTTCCAGTCATTTGCTTTGTAATGACATGGGGATCCACTCAATACCTTTCTTTTTGGAGTTTAGCTACCAGTTCGTGTAGCAGTTCCCGGCATCGCTGCCGCTAGCGTGCAGACAAATGGAGCCTTCGCTGCATCCCATGGCCTACCATTTCTTATCGCTAGACGTCAACTACTTTCCCCTGCATATAAAACCAACACATGACACTAATTAAATAGAAAGCAGAATCCTTTGGAAATGTTCTTCTCTATTTCATGAGATAAGAACTCTAATGGGGGAACAGGATAACAATGGGTTTGACGATGACCATCCCAAGACCAAGCCTGGTGCCTTCGAGATTGAGAAACCTGGCCATCTTCCTTCATTATCAGGTGGGTTTTCTCTATTTTCTCAAAACTAACACTGACAGCAAAGTTTCCAACTTTTTTCTTCTGGGTTTGGTGGGAAAGGCTACTGCTGCTGGTGTGACTCTGTTTCTCTTTTGGCAGAGGAAGAAGAGGTGAACGACAACCCGATTGAGCAAGTCCGGCTGACGGTTCCGATAACCGACGACCCGACCCAGCCCACATTGACATTCCGGACATGGGTTCTGGGGATAGCGTCTTGTGCTATTCTAGCGTTTGTGAACCAGTTCTTCGGTTACAGGACCAACCAGCTCTCTATCAGCTCCGTCACTGCTCAGATTCTGGTCCTGCCACTCGGCAAGTTGATGGCTGCCACGCTTCCCAGGACTGTGATTCGAGTCTCCCTCACAAAGTGGTCTTTCTCGCTGAATCCAGGGCCGTTTAACTTGAAAGAGCACGTTCTGATCACCATTTTCGCCAATTGTGGGTCAGGAGGGGTTTATGCTGTTCATATCATTACCTCAGTCAGAGCTCTCTACCATGGCAGCATCAGCCCCATTCCAGCCATGTTGCTGGTACAGACCACTCAGGTAAATTGAACTGAACCATCACCATCCTCACAAGCATATATGCATCTGATTCTAGAATACATGAGTTTCGAGAAATCATATATTTGGTGTTTTTCAGTTGCTTGGATATGGATGGGCGGGTATATTCAGGAAGTTCCTGGTGGATTCACCTTACATGTGGTGGCCAGCAAACTTGGTCCAAGTTTCACTCTTCAGGGCATTGCACGAGAAAGAGAAGAGGTCAAAGGGAGGCCAAACAAGGCTGCAATTTTTCACCCTGGTTTTTGTATGCAGTTTTGCTTACTACATCGTACCAAGCTACCTCTTCCCATCGATATCGACCATATCAGTCATCTGTTTGATATGGAAGAACTCCATCAAAGCTCAGCAGATTGGATCGGGGATGAGTGGCCTTGGGATTGCCTCAATTGGGCTAGACTGGTCTACTGTTGCCGCCTTCTTGGGAACTCCCCTGGCCACACCACTGTTTGCCATTGTCAACACCATGGTTGGTTTCTTCATGGTGATTTACGTTATCATCCCGATCGCTTACTGGAACAATGCATACCATGCCAAGAAATTCCCCATCTTCTCCTCCAAGACCTTCGATAGTACAGGGCATCGCTATGATATCGACCGGATTCTGAATAAGAAGACGTTTGACATCGACTATCCTGCCTACGAGAGCTATAGCAAACTTTACCTCAGTGCCACTTTTGCCTTTGTGTATGGGATGACTTTTGCTGGTCTCATGGCTACCATTACACATGTGATTTTGTTTGATGGAAAGTAAGTGAAACAAGAACCAATTTTTCCATACTTGTACTGTAGATTGTGAAGAGATTGGTGGGAACTGATGTTTTATCCTGTTTGTGGGAAACAACAGAACAATTTGGGAGCTGTGGAAGAAGACTACGGGCGCGGTGAAGGACCGGTATACCGATGTGCACACGAGGCTGATGAAGAAGAACTATGAAGCAGTACCGGAATGGTGGTTCTTGATCGTCCTGGCTATCTCTCTCGCTCTGGCGTTTCTTGCTGTTGAAGGTTTCAACAGACAGCTACAGCTTCCATGGTGGGGACTCCTCTTAGCATGTTGCATTGCCCTTACCTTCACCTTACCAATAGGAATCATCCAGGCCACCACAAATCAGGTACTCAATCTACATCCACGAATTCTGGTGACGACTGATGCAGCCAACATTACTACTATCTAATGTTTGCTTGGATACGCAGCAAATAGGGCTAAATGTGATCACAGAGTTGATTATCGGGTACATGTACCCCGGCAAGCCACTCGCGAATGTCGCTTTCAAGACCTACGGCTACATCAGCATGGCACAAGCCCTAGGGTTCTTAGCAGACTTCAAACTCGGCCATTACATGAAAATCCCTCCCAAAGTCATGTTTGCAGTTCAGGTAAAACCCAATCGAAACCCTAATTACTGATTACTATGCCACAAACAACCTCCTCTACGCACAATTTCCACCCACATCAAGACATTCTTTTCCCCTCTTCCACAGACGGTGGGCACATTGGTGTCTTCAACAGTCTACTTCGGGACAGCCTGGTGGCTACTCTCATCGGTGAAAGACATCTGCAATCAAGACAACCTGCCGCCGGGGAGCCCATGGACGTGTCCCGGGGACAACGTCTTCTACAGCGCTTCGATCATTTGGGGGGTAATCGGTCCTCTCCGAATGTTCACGAACAAGGGCATCTACCCAGAAATGAACTGGTTCTTCCTCATCGGTGCGCTCGCACCGGTTCCCGTTTGGCTGCTGGCGCGGAAATACCCAGAGAAGAAATGGATCAAGCTGATCCACATGCCGCTCATATTCGCGGCCACCGCGAACATGCCGCCGGCGAGGCCCGTCCACTACTGGTCGTGGGGAGTGGTGGGGATCTTCTTCAACTACTACATCTACAAGAATTACAAGGGGTGGTGGGCTCGGCACACTTACATCCTGTCTGCGGCCATGGATGCCGGCGTCGCCTTCTTGGCTGTGCTGATTTACTTTCTACTGCAGGACAAGAACATCTACGGCCCCCAGTGGTGGGGATTGGAAGGGGATGACCACTGCAAATTGGCGACTTGCCCTACAGCCCCCGGAGTCAATATCACGGGTTGCCCTGTTTTGTAATTCTAGTAATGTTATTTTTTTAGCCCGCTGTGCTTCGACATTCCACATCATATTATAGGACAAATCTTAGAGGGGAAAAAAAAAAAAAAACAAAGGGAATGAAGTTCTCGTTTGCTTGTGGGATTTGGGTAAGTGATTTGGCACTCAAATCCCAAGTATCATGGATTTGAGACAACTCCATTGTTTGCTAAGGGACATAAATCTGTGGGGGCCACGGATTTGAACCCTTTTTTTAGATCCAAATCCGTGAACCCCACGGATTTGCAAATCTCATATTTCATTTGGGATTTGATCATGGAAGGCAAAGTTGTGAGACAAATCAATGATAAATCCATGATAAAAATTAACCAAACAAACAATGAACTCTTCCAAATCCATAATGCAACAAATCCATCATAAATCCAAAGGTTTTTAAAACTCAAAACCCTCATTTTTCAAATCCAACAAGTATCCGAAATGCTAGGAGTTAAGGTTTTTGTTTCCTCTTTGTTTCCTCGGGAAAACCAAATGCCACCGCCGGTGCCGAATTCGTTTCCGGCGATGTTGATTTGATATTTCGCGGTGGAAACTCTTGCGGTGCCGTTTGATCGGAAGCACCGCTGATTGCTGAAATCGAGACGACCGTCAAATATCTGCCGCCGAATGTCGGCGCGTTGATTTGATCGATGCACCTCTAAATGGTGAAATCAACGTGACCGTCAAATATCCACCGCCGTGCGGTGTTGATTTGATCGATGCACCTCTGACTTCTAACCAACGCGACAGTTACTACGGTTCGCACCTCTCCAAACTACGTTCGAACGAGGGTGTTTGAGTTTTGAGGAATCTACGCTACCGCTACTCCTATTGAGATTCCTCTGGAGAGCTCCGCGACTACGACTAAGACTACAACTATGGAGATCCTTCCTGGAAGGAGAGCTCCGCGAAGGAGTTACAGAAAAAAGGTAAAGTTTTGACAGAGTTGTTCTGTGTTGATTTGGTCCTCCACTCTCTCTCCTTGCTCCACTGCTTTTATTTGAAAAACATCTTCGTAGCCTTCACGCTCCATGAAACTGCTTCCTCTGCTGCTCCGCCGTGAACTCCCACGTGTCTCAACCGCCTCGATTTTGATTCTGCGTGAATCTCACATGGAACAAAGCTACAATGACGATGTTGTTTTGGGATAACAGTGGCGTTGGACCTAGCGGGCCACCCTTGGCCGAGCTCTTAACCACTGTGATATCGTTTTTAACCAAACGATATCGTTTATGATACCGCGATGTCGTTGATACCTCCCGCGGCGTCGTTTAATCTTTCCGCGACATCGCTTTTCACTAATCGATGCCGACCTATAACTGCTCCGTCCCGTTCCCATCAAACAATGTCGTCTTTCATTCTGCGACATTGTTCTCTACCAAACGGTACCGTTTTTCTTGTCTTGCGGTGTCGTTGAGCTTGCCGGGCCACTCGCCAAAATCCAAACCATTGCGGTATGGTTTCTAACTAAACGACATCACTTAGTAATACTCCGGCGTTGTTGATGCCTTAAACGGTGTCGTTTTTAGCTAAACAACACCGCTTGATTATACCCGCGACATCGTTTTAATATTAAACGACTCCGCTTCCAGCCTTGCGGTGTCGTTTTCTTCCCCAATCAGCTCCGTTTGTTTTTTCCTCCGCGACACCATTTATTTTCAACACTGTCGTTTGCTAGTACAGCGGCCCCGTTGGGCATACTCGCGGTGCCGTTTTGAATTAAACCACACCGCCTAACATAATAAAAAGAAATACCAACGTTAAATTGTCGCGATTTTGAACGTTTGGCTTGGGCGGATTTTTGGGCCAATCACTTACCCGATGTGGTTTTAATTAATCGGTACCGCTTATCAAGGCTCTCGCGGCATCGTTTTCAGATCCACAGCACCGTCTTAACTCTCCGCGGTGCCGCTTTTCCCCTTCCAAAAGGAATAAAAATAATAATTAATTAGAAAACTCCTTCTCCATAACCCACACTAAACGCGCGGCCCCTTTTGCTTTTTGGTGAGCGGTGTCGTTTCCCGTGCCACGGTACCGCTGAGTTTCCTTTCGGTACCTTTTTTCTGTATCGCGGTATCGTACTGACTCTCCGCGACGCCGCTTGACTCCAAACGACACCGTTTTTTACCCGCGGTATCGGATTAAATGCCGAGACTAATTAATGCGGCATTTAATTCTGGCCACATTAATTTTAGGTGTCAACAAATGCCCCCCACAATTTGGTTTATAAGAATTATGAACCAAAGTGTTGACAAAATAGTATAACACCTAAAATACTTGGCTCAAAGTGTTGAAACAAAATAAACACGTAGGCTAGAGTTAGCAATGAAATCTTTAATTACCAATTGTATAACCCTCATGCATGGCCAAATGATTTTGGCCACCAGCATTGCGGCTAATTGCAACAACGCGGCCAAACTTTTTTTTTTATATATATATTTTTCCGGCTATTATTCTCCACCAGCGCTGCATCTAATTTTTTTTTTCCAGAGTTGTTAGCGGCAGCGCTGAGAGTTTTTTCCCGTTATTCTCCACCAGCGCTGCATCTAAAATTATTTTTTTTCTTCTTCAGAGCTGTTAGCGGCAGCGCTGAGAGTTTTTTTTTTTTACAATGTAGCACACCTGGCGGCCTCCTTCCCTTAACCGCCAAATTTTTTTTTATTCATGGTTGTTTGGCCGCCACCCCTCTGCCCTTTTTTTTAAACAACTCTGATTTTTTTTTCTTTTCCTCCAACAGCTTTGCTTTTTGGCGATAAACATCTATTATTTTTTATCAAGGCTATTGCCTAGCAGTAATAGATGTCCACTATAGCAAAGCCGTTTCTCTCAAAACAACTCTGATTTTTCTTTCACCAATATTGTTTTGGCAAAAAAATTTTACAGCATTGTGTATCCTTCCAACGATGTTGAAAAAAGAGAAACCAACACTGCTTGACATTTTGAATTATTGCCAACGATATTGTGGCTTCTTCTTAGCAATGCCGCTTGATTCTATTGTATAATATTTTCTCTATAACATATTAGGTGGACTAATTTAGCCACGTTATTTATCTACACATAATATAATACACCGAAGGGAAAAACGGGAGCCCCATTTCAAATTTCCTGCAACGAGAGTGAAAGTAGGAAGGACATTTTGGTATTCACACTTACTTTTTTTAATTCATTAAAAGGACACGTAGTGGGATTCGAACCATGACCATTTTAAGGAAAAGTAAGGATCATAACCAATCACACTAAGTACATTTGTTGCATCTTTTTAAATTAAAAAGATATAATAGCAGAGAGGAAAAAACCCTTCCCCCATTTCAAATTTCCTGCTCCAGGATCGTTTGTAGGAATGATAGAATAGGGAGTGTCAATTTTTTCCTCTTTCCTCTGTGGAACGGGCCAACTTACCGTACACATGCGGATTTAAACGGGTTCAAGAGTGTCAATTTTTTCATTAAGCCCTTTTATTTCTCTGTGGTAATAAAATATATATGAAGAGGCAAAAACAATACTTCTTTTTATTGCTAAAAATAAAAAATTTAACAATAAACTAATGCATGGTATCTAATGGGCTAACCGCTAACCATAAAATAAAAGAGTTGAATTGGTTTGACACTTTGACCTACACGGGATTTGGCCATCAAGTAAAACAAATGAACATCATTGGTTTGACATTCTAAAACAAGCTATTTTCTCTGGCATAATATATTATGCTATTATTTTATATCTTAGTGGCTAAAATATAATGTATTTTAAATTTATTCAATGGTTCAACCTCGACCAACCCAATTAGTCCAATTTTTATCATTTCAAATATATATTATATAATTATTTGATATCATAATGATCAAATCATAGTGTATTTTATAGGGAATCGTTTGGTATTTGTTAGTAAAAAACTAAACAGAAAGATCTATTTGGTTATTTTAAACATTAAAACGACCCTAACATTTTCAGTTCCTTTTGAATTTCTATGGTTTTATTCCCGAATAAGTGATGTGCAAATGGCAGTCATCTCTTTTCTTTCACTATTTTTTATTTTCAATTAAAAAGTTTAAAAGTAAAGAATAATTAGAATTTGGCATGGGTCGGTCAAACAGGCTGCATTTCAAGTTTTGGCCCCCTTTGATCAAGTCTAATTTATAATCACATGGTTCCCTGATACCCGATAAAAATCTCAATCAAAACCAGTTTGGCAGGTGAGTCCGTGTTTACCACCATTTTCTAGGGATACGACAACGACGGTTCATATCCCAAATCGTGTTGTTCGGTCTTTATTTCCTTAGATTTTATCATAGCCTGAAAAAAACCAGAAAGCACAATGACGACAAGATGAAAGTTTTATAAACCAAATTAATCGGGCAACGGGCCGAGTAAAAGCTAGCAACGATTGTGAGATGCTCATTTCCCGAAAACCGACGGGATAGGCGATTTTTTATTCAATTTTCTGGAATTCAGTTTCCATAAAACTTACTCCACCTCATCATATTACCAGAAACAATATTGTTTCACAAGGTAACAGGTACTTGATTTTGGTTCATAAGGCCGATTTTTGATTTGTTGCATCATTAATGTCTCTTTCCTGCTAAAATTCACTATTTTTATCACGTGTTTCCCAAAAAAACTATACAACAATAAGTTATACACCCCATTACATTATCAAATTTCATACCTCACCTTCCTCTAGGGATGAAAACAAAATCCGAACCCACGGGTACCCACCCTACCCAACTCGGTCAACGCGGGTAAAATCCGTGTTGACGGGTTTTGGGCCGGGTTTGGGTTTAAACCCGTTCAATATTCATCGGGTTTGGTTGGGTTTGGGTTTAGGTAAACCCGACCCATGGGTACCCGCCCACACCCATATAATTAATTTTCTCGATATATTTAATATTCTAAACAACTTATCTTATTTATGTTTGTGGAGACATGTCTAATTTTTTCTTTCTAATTGTGTAGAATGAAGTTGATGTTATCGAGTGGAGAGTGAAGAAACTTAATTGAAAGGAAGAAACTTTCACTTAATCATGTTATTTATGGATAATATGTTATTTGCTTGAATTTTCTAGAATGGTATTTTATATATGGATAATTTGTATTGAGAGATTGATATTTGACTTTAATTTTGATAGCAACTTGTTATTGTAAATTTTTTAAGACAAAAACCTGTGGGTACCCATGAACCCGCGGATACCCAGGGGGTTGAGTTGGGTTTGAGTTTTTCAAACCCAGTGGATTTTACCCCAAATTTTTTTCACGGATAAACCCATGAATTTGGATTTGAATTTGGCAAAACCCGACCCAACCCGACCCATTGCCATCCTACCTTCC